GCCCCCCCCCCCCCCCCCCCCCCCCCCCCCCCCCCCCCCCCCCCCCCCCCCCCCCCCCCCCCCACCAGTGGCCAGTACGCGTTCTGGCATACTAGATATATGACGATACCGATAGAGGTGTACGGCCTCAATAATCACAATCATATTCACGATAACAGTAAACAACAAGTCAAATTTCTCAATGGGTGAATCTGTGATTATTAAGGTAACTATTGTCCGAGCACAATGTTTTCCATAGCATGAGAAACCCCCAATGTCAATTCATGAAGCCAAATCCGTTTTCCGTTTCCATCCCCGCAAGTGTCCGTGACGAAGGCATTAGTATGCAATAGAAACGTAATGACCCCCTAGAGTACATCGATCATTAAAACCTGCCCTCATCATCCATGCATGAAAACGCGATAATGCAAAGTCGATACCAGTAGTATGGCAATTGTATCCACAGAAAAGAATCGAACGCGTCAAATAGTGAAAAGACCATTCTGCCTCGAGATGCCAGAATAACCCTCCTCCATCAACAGCTCTTTCTCTCCTTAAATGTGGACCAAAGCGGCAAGGACTGCTCCGCCGAGCACGCCGTTCATGCCCATCACACCGGTAGGTACCGAACCCGCAGCCGAAGAAGGCGAAGGAGTCGCGTTGGTGTTAGAAGGGGTACTAGCGGGATGAGTGCTGGAATGACCCTCACTGATAGTGGCTGAGTGAGGCTGGCTCGCGGTGGAGCTTCCGATGCCAGTGGAGCTAGCGCTGCCACTTCCGGTGGGCTGAGTCTCGGAGCCGGGAGCAGTAGTGCTGCCGGTGCCGCCCGTGGTGACCGAGCCGGAAGCGGAGCCGACAGTGGGGGAAGCCACAGAGGACGAGGGCGTAGCAGTCTCGAGAATGCTAGTGGAAGTGTAGCCGGTGGAAACACCGATGACAGAAGTGCTACACTGCTCAGTAGAGGCCGCGGCGGTGACCGTGGTAGTAAAAGCGGCGGCGCAAGAGCAGGACTCGGCCTCGGATGCGACCTGTAGTGAGAAAATTAGTCATTAATATATGTCAAATGAAATTTGCAAAGTGGGTATGAATATCACATCTGATATAAAATATTTCGAGTAAAATATGAATCAAAAAGATAGAACGAGATAATATAATAGAAAGGTAACAAACGCGACGATGAAATATTATAACTAGGTAGATGAGAAAACTTACAGCGCCGATGGCGATCATGGCCATGGTGATAAGAACCTTAGAGTACTGCATCTTGAAGATGTGATCTAGTCTACTCGAAGTATTCTGTGGAAGATGTTTGATTGCGGAAAAAATAAAGTAGTGATGATCGTAATGATCTTGCTGTTGATAGGCGAAAAATGTTTGACGGGCACGTCTATCTGTAGAATATTGTTAATGTTGGATGAATGACGAGAGATGTAAAGGAGAGGAAAACAAACCAGAGAGTGGAAATAGATTGCGAGTTGGGTAAGTTCAGAAGGTTGAGTGGGTTGGAAGGTGGTCGGTAACGAGGTGGAAGGAGCGTAAGTGTTTGAGGAAAAAAGGAGGAAAGTGGAAAGGTTGAGTAATTTCAATTCCGCGTTTATATCTTCTGCAGTTGCACCTCCGACTCAAGGCTGATTAGGGATCTTGCACTGTTACCTATGTATCTAGACCTGAAATGGAAGTGTTTGGGATTTTATTTTTTTATTTTTTTATTGTATCATTTTCCTTTAGAGATCGATCAGTTCTCGTCTGTTCTCATGGGGATGTATTGCTTTATACCAGATCAAGTCGACCGATTCGTATGAATCAAGCATGGCCTACAACTGTTACGGGCGAGTACTTGCGTACATTTATATTAAATAAATGTATATACATAAAGACTTGGGTACATGTTGACATCTGAATAGGTATTTACATACTACCTAGTAGGTAGGTAGAGATATTCAAAGATGTACCAATGTAAAGGGTAGATGGATCCGATAAAATCAGATTACCCCTTTTTTTCTTCCGTCTCGAAATTCTACTAATAATATTTCATGCCACCACCCGCGCTCCTGCAGCATCCAGTGTTTCCCCATCCAAGTTATTTGTTTGCTACCCGCCTCCAAGATATACTTGATTTCGCTGCCGTGGTCTGGTTACACACTCATTATAATGTGATTTCACCTTCTCGCGTGTAACAGTCTACCAAGCTCGCCGTCTCATATCGCCCGGTGCCCAGTGCCATCTACTTGCGACATATCGAATGACGATTAACTGTCCCTAAGCACTACATTCTTCAGCAAGATGAATAGATCGAGCTCTTATCTGGCATATCCTTGTCTTGTGGACGGGAATGTCTTACCGGATGCATGGCTCAGGGTTGGTTCGTATGTTGGTCTACCTTCATACATATAGGTAACTCCAACAAGCCTACAAACCGGGCGGATATAGTTACACATACGAGCCAAATATAATTCGTGATCTGAGACTAAAGAATGAGCCTGTATGGACATCAGCCTCAAACGTGATATGTCATTTTTTGTAACGTCACTAGTATTCCTGTCTCAATTGTTTGTCATTAATAAAGAAACCTAAAATTTGACTTAAGCCTGGCCTATGGATATATCTGTGATTATCTTCTCTTCCCATTTGAAGGATCGGAGCTTTTGCGGCATGCCACATACTGTCGCGAACATGTCTAGAACCGTATGCGGATTAACTGGGGGGGTTTAAAAGATGCGTCCACTAATTTAGCTTGACAACTGCGATGAATGTACACCGTTAGGGTAGTGGTTGGATGCAGTAAACCCTTGAGAATTGGACGATGAATTAATATAGGAAGGGAATGCCTCGGTTTGTCAGCATGTTTGGCTGCCTTCATCTTTATAATGATTGGAACACGCACCCCTAAAGTTGCATATTTCTCGGAAACTCCCATGCCATATTAATGAGACCGGAATCTCTGAAAATTCTACACGAACTGATGAATTCCGATCAAGGTCCCGAAGTAAACCAGACCGTTGGGTCGTGACCCGATGAGTACCTAGGTAGAGGTAGGTAGTAAAAAGCGACTATTGACGCCACATACAGCATTAATAGGCACCTACCACCACCTACCAGGCAAGCAAGCCCCGGTGGCTTCGGTCCAAAAACGCCCTTTTAATTCGAGCACTCGTCTTTGGAACCGCTTATATAACGGTCAATTATATGCACACTAGGCAGTGAAGACTTAAATTCCATGGTCCATTTGGGGAGTTCTGTATTGTATGGCAAGCCATCTGCCCGGCCCGTTCAACGTTAGACTAACCTAGCCCTAAACTTCACGGGCCCATCGCAGAATTACAAACGGCCCCGTACACATTGTGTGGTCTGTTAGATACCTGACATCCGAGCTACCGGATGGGCACGTCCTGGATCATCACACTCTCAGTAGACAGAAACTCACCAGCGGAGTTACGTCCTCAGATTTAAATCTGGATAACGGCGGTTCCAAGGGTGCCCTTCAAGGGCATTCCCTATATGTCCCTGTTGTAAGGTGAAATTCCCTTCTTAAGTTCACGCACGATTTCTATTGCTTCTTGAGTGCTTCTAGCTTCGAAGTCGTACCTCTTGCTCTCCGTAGCTTTATATACGAGAAGCTATATCCAACGTTAGCATCCGCATTATGTGTATAAACGGGGTTTCATGTCGACTTACCTTGAAGTTGGTTGGGTGGCGACGTGAAACACTGCATCCGACTACATTACTGAAATGAACAGTCGTGGTCTTGCCTCCTTCGCGCGTTGCCTTGCCTCCAGAGGATGGCTGAATGTACACATACTCACCATCGATGACGAGTATTCGCTCATTCATACCGACAAATCTCATCGGTTGCTTACGCCAGACAGTGTATTTCTTGTATTTCACATCACCACTACCGGCCTCGTCTTGCATCATGGTTTCCTGGGCAAGAGGGTGCGTTGTCATAAGCTTCTTCTTCCCCTTCTGGGGAACCTCATTCCATATATGTGGTTTGGGGGAGGGGCTGCTAGGAGAACCTGTCATTGTCAGGCCATCTGTTGCAAATCGGCGACGATGGAGTTCTAAGTCCATAGCATTGCCAATAGACGAAACTGTACGGTCTTCGTAGACCACAGCTCCAGAGTCGGGGAGTTTGAGGACATGTATGTTCTTGTCAAGCTGCCTCTTACGGCAGATGAGATCAAGAACCTCTGCCAAATACATATCGGTTGTGACATCAAGGGTAACCATTTGTCCAGGGGCGATATCAGATGACATGATGCGGACTCGTAGGAGTTTATGTTGCCCTCTGCTTGCAGCTGGCGCCTCAAGCTTACGTTCGGGTTTATCGGCCAGGGGCGCGTCCACTCGGTAAGTTGTAGTGATAATCGGATTCGATCGCGCGTGTGATGCTGTCAATGGAGAAGCTTGGGGCAAGGGAGTGCTCCTTGGAGTTGCTTCCTCATCGGCTACAGATTCCACTACATCTTGCTGCTCATACTGGGGAGTTTGAGTTTGGTTGTCTATGAACCCGGCCTCTGAAGCTTGTACTAAGGCAAACTCGTCGTAGGCCTTCGATGCAGACCGTGATCTTGCTGCTCTGTTGTTCGCCGTAGTGAATGAATTGACGGGTTTCTTACGATCCAATGGTTCGAAATCATCGTCCACCTCGCCGCCTTCCTCGACCATCCTTAGCGTCCACCAATTCACGTTCAACTTATCGGCTGGCACCGGAGGCTGGAGCTTTTCGGCATGGTATCTCCATAGACTCAGACCAATCAACTCAGCGACAGCCACTGGTCTGAAAGTTCCGTCCGCCTCTTGTATATTCCGCCGTATGAGGACCTCAAAAGGCTTTTCGGGATCTTCGGAGAACGGCGCATAGATTCGCATTCGGAGGGGGTCGGGGTCGCCCTGACCAGATAGGGTTGCAAACGTATCGAATGGCATGGATGGCTTAGTCATCTTCGCCTTGAGAGATTCCGATAACAGACTGCGAGGCTGAAGCATGCTCAGGGGCCTAACTGCGCTCATAGGTCGAGGAGGTGGGAGGGCTTGAAGCATCTGTGACTGAGGCGGTGGTGGCGGTTTTCTTACTGTAGATTGTCGAAGCAGCTGTTTCGGCACGGTTCCCACGACCTGTTGACCAGGTGAAGTGCCTACCGCCGGGTTCTCGACCGTATCCAAGATAGAAGTCGAATCAACACTTGCGACGAAAGCCGATGAAGTATCGGATCCGTCAGAGTTCTCGTCCTCCTCAGCCAACAACTCGCTTTCCTGGCGTTTGATTCCTTGGTTAGGTTCTAAGGAAGATTTAGAATGCGACCGTGCCGCTCTGGCTCTCGCAGCTTCTCGATGTTTATGAAAACCCGAAGCATCGAACTCGTTGTCGGATGAGACCTCACTACTAGTGACGGTGTCTCTTCGTGGCCGTTCCTTAACGGTCTCCAACGTAGGTTGCGACCCTCGTCTCGGTGCTGGTGCGGTACGCGGAGATGACATGGTAGTGGCTTGTCGCAGATTAGACGATTGAATTGGCGATGATCCAGCGCGGCTCCTAAGTGGCATCTTCGCGAATCTTATTTGCTGGGCTGCTCTCTGATCAGTATCATCATCGCTCTCATCGCTCAGATCACTGCTGTCATCTTCTTCCATTTGTTCTCGACGTCTTTCTCTTCGACGCTTCAAAGCGCTTCCAGGTCCTAACGTATCTCCCCCACCTCCAGTTAGCATGCCACCCTCCTCCGCTTCATCTTCAAGTGTTAAGCCGGTAGATCTGGGCGCAGCCTGGAAATATTCGGAGGCAATAGCAGTGGGTATCGGGGGCGAATGTGTTCGTTTGATGTATGATGGGTTAGATCGCCAGCCAGCGGCTTTGAAAGGAGCAGTGTTGAGGAAGGTATCATTGATAGTGATAAGGCGCTCGCCAACACCGTCAGCGATTTCGTTAAGATAGCTTGTTCGAAGCTGGTACGAGACCAAACTAGAGGGTGAGGTGAGGTCAGCATATCTGTCTCCTAGGTATTCTATCAAATGATGGCTGTGGCGGGGTGCTGTTACGTACTCTTCCACCCGTATCAACGACATTGTGAATAGCGACTGAATTCAGTTAATTAAAAAAGAAAGACTGTGGTAATCATGCTCACGACAATCCCATCATGTCGTCAGTGCATAAGATACAATATCCTGCGCGTACTGCATGCTCGGTGCATCTGTCACAGCACGGTTGCGATCCGGGATAGATGGTCAATGAACATGGATAGCAATTGAAAGGTGGACATGAATCAGGGGTTACTAGGCAATTTGTTAGCACTAGTGTCATTAGGTGGCACGTGCACCACGAATTCATCTGACTAATACGATTATTAAGGTGCTTAGTAAGAGCTTGGGGTTAGGGTTAGGGTTAGGTTCGAGCTGAATCTTACAACAACCCAGATTTGAACCAAATAGTATGATACATAATGTAAGACCAAGTGTCTTTTTAATCTATACCTATTCTCACCATTGTCCTGTCTGTTCCAAAATTCTTCTCTGGTTACATAAAATCCAGGCCAATCATCAATATTCGCCAGGTAACCCCTGGACATAATGCTGAGGTTGTATATTGACCGTGCTGATTTAGCTATAATCTTACCAAGAAGTCCTATATTAATCGTGCTCATTGGTATGAAACAGTCTTAAAGAACTCGATCCATTCATTCGCCTACGTAGTAGGTATTGATTGCAGTTACGCTTAGGTATGATACTAGTAAATCTTCAATAAATATGACATGTCCAACCGATCGTCAATGTACATTCCCCTTTTTACAATTTTCAGAGTCAAACCTAACATACTACCCCAGCCGTTTCGAAGTCAGTCGTCTCATTAGTCTTCTTGTGCCCGTTCACCTGGGTCTGGTAACCTTCAGGATACCCCCTATCGGCCCACTCCTTGAAGCTCAACCCCTTCGCTGCACTGGGCATCCTCACGACAAGAGGTATGTCCTCGTCCGGTAGCCCGGTGTCCTCTTCCTTATGGATCAGGCTCACATGCGTCAACCTTTCGAATCCCACGGCCTCATATAGACCCAGACCTGACTTTGACGCCTCTGTATATATAGGGAGACCAAGTTGCTCCGCAACATTGATGCCCCATTGCATGAGTAAGCGCCCAATCCCACGGCGTTGATGTTCTGGGTCGACGGCTATGACGCTGAGATCTTTCCTCGTCGCATTAGTCTAACGACGCGGTTTAGATATCCTGAGTTTCAACTTACAGATATATCGGTGTTTTTTGCCGAACAGCTTGTCTCTCAAATCCCACATGGCGCCCAAAATAGCATCACATCTCGCTTTTTCATCTCCTTCCAGCCATGGTATGCCCTCAGGTCGTTCCCATCCGTTTTCTTTCCCCGGCCGCCAGAAGACATCCCAACTAGCCATCCCGACGATCTTCCCTGTGTCGGAATCGAGACATTTGATCGTGTAACCTGTCTTGTCTTGAGCCCACCATTGTCTGGTCCCTTCTGTGTGAGCTGCTCTGTCGACACCTCGGGGGTAGAGAAACTGGAGTATGGGTTCGTTCTTGAATGCCTCGAAATACACATCGTACACCGGCTCGATATCGGCCAGCTGGGCCGGAAGTACGGCCAAAGACATTTCGGCTTAAATGTGTCTTAGATAATCCCTAACTCGGCCTGCTCTGGGAACAGTGCTTGTTTCGAAGCACATCATCCTCGTTCATTCTTATAGGATGGGCAGACCGGCCGAAAAAGGACAGGCCAAAATGATACAATCGGTCACCGTCAGGATTCGCCGCTTCTCGCCTTCATACCTACCTTCACTGGTTAGATCGCATTACTACATTCGGGGGGTGGGTCTCAACATCCGCGAATGATCTTACTGGATTGAACCCGACTTGTTCGTTTTCGTAAATTTTCGTAAACTTTTGGTAGATTTCATGCAGTAACCCACGGTCCCACGTGAATTTCTATTCACTCATCTAATGTCGCAATGTCAGATGAAAATTCGGTTTCTCGGCACTCGACTTAGTATACGCGGCTACGGGAGAAGAGCCGGGGTGTTCAGCATACTCGCAATAGAATTTCGAATCCTACACGGCACTACACCCTTGGCTCTCTCCTTGGCACATGGAGACCAAGGCGCGATTATTTTCATTGAGACAAGCCGAGGGATTTAGACGGTGGTTCTTAGTGCCCTTTCATTTATAGAAAGTACGGTATATCCTAATGGATTGTTACCTCGAGTCCTAGGACTCGGTGACCTATTAGACCTAGATACCGGAGCAGGAGTAGAGCGGGGTCTGTCTAAACTCGACGCAAACTATTTGTTAACCTGTTGATAAGAGGTTTGATCTTGTCCAACCAAGTTTACATAGCTACTACCCACGCCAGACTGCCTCGATGACAGCGAAGAAGTTTTGAGGATTGGCTTTAACATTTGCCACCTCGAACCGCTCATCAGCATCCCGGAAAATCTTCGCCCAAGCGTCGACAGGCCGCTCTTTTCCGTTGAATAACGCCATTAGTCGCAGGTCGGTAGCTGATCCCATTTGCTGGATAGAGCGCGGGAGAGCTGGTCCTTCACTTTCGCCCTGGTTACCGATGTATTCGAAAAGAATCACTCGAGCGCCCGGTTTTAGCGCCGGAATTAGTGCTCGAAGGATCTTGGACGATTCTTGGTCCGGCCAGTCGTGAAGAATCATCTTAAAGATATAGATATCCGCTTGGACGGGTTGAGGCTTGAAAAAGTCATGCTCTACGAAAGACACGCGGTCTTTAACATCTTCTGGTAAATTCGCCTCGAAAACCGGCTTTACTTGCGGTAGATCTTGAACGGTGATGCTGAGTTCTGGGAAATTTCGCGCTAGCACTATAGCATCATGACCCGCAGAGCCACCAATCTGCTAGCATTAGTACATCCATAGCTGGCTATAGAACATGAAATATGTTCTTTTAAAGGATTCAGGGGCTAGCGAAGACTCACATCAACGACCTTTGCCTTCCCGGCAGTTTTCCAGTCATGAGCGTCAAGTACTAAAATATTACGGTAAGTGGATATTCATGGATGATAGCTGTTCGCTTCTTTATATGTGGCCTAATAAATGCCCGGGTTATAAACTTACCAACCCCTTCAAGGTGGAATATCTCCTTGATATAGCGCATGAATTCGACAAAGTTCCTCTGTCGCCAACCCTGCTTCTCCCCTGCGCCATCATTTTCAAGCAGATCCCAGGAGTTTCCGTGTTTACCGAATTGCCCACCGCTATGGAATAAAGCGAAAGAAGTTTCATTTATGTCCTGGGTTAGTGCTGGTTTTCCGCGACTGTATCTGTCCAGAGCTTCATTCAAAACCATCATCGGTGCACCGGCGTCGTCCAAGATTGTGGAGACGAGAGCTTTCAGCCCCGAAGACTGGGCCAATGCTGCTGATCTGGAGTTGTGCCGGATCAGCGACGCACTTTTACCAGGTTCGGTCTCTTCGAAGATGCGGAGTGTTACTGCGTGCAGCAAGACCCGCCGAACTACATCTTCTGGGAGGGAAACCTTCTGCGCGATCTCCGCATATGAGGCGGAACCGTTCAGGGGCACCGCAGACCAAAAGTCGAAGTAGTTCAGCGTATTTAGAGCCGCAGCGTCGGGCAAGGCCTATGAACGTTAGGCAAATAATCAAAATTACTCTCTATTCAAAACCACTGGCTGATCGTGCTCACATTGTGGGCATAATTGAAGATGCTTTCGCTAGGACCCTGCGTGAGGTACCACATATCGGTTAGGGCATCTAACAGGTGCTGACGCGTCATGAAGATTTCGGCCGATAAGTTGCTGTACCTGGTTGGGCTATCCGCCGCGAATGTGGGTTCTGGCACATTGTTTTCCTTTAGGAAGCGTGTGAAGGTATCGGAAAGCTCCGTGATCTTCGCTGCTAACTCGTTGAGCGTCGGTTGTGGGCCTGCCATTTTGTCAACTAGGTATCTTCTATTTTAGATATCTATAAAGATCGAGAAGACTATTCGAAGGACAGGTGATAGCTAAAACCTGGGAGTTAGCTGCCTTTTACATTAAACCACGATGGCCTATGACCTTTCCGCGTATAGAAGGTCGGACCGCAGCCGGAGCTACATCTTTTCAGCTATTTTTTATGAATCTCGCGGAGGTGCTTGGCAAACTCGTATTTACGAGTAGTGGCCTGTTATCCCTCATACCCCTTATACCAAGACAGGGGTAAGATGTGAACTGATTGATTAGATTGATAAGATGATCTTATCAATCAGTTCCAGATCCTCCATCGAAACAGCCTACTTGGCATCTACATCTTGTCATGCGATGTCATGCGGTGTCCTCGTGGTAGGCTAAAACCGCTAGGGTATGCAGCTACGTAAGAGCGTTGTAGACCTATGAGATCAGAGATCGCTTGGACTCGCCCAGATCGTCCTCCGCAGTTCTAGTTACGTACGGTACTCCGCATAGGTGCAGTATAGAGTCTAAATCCTTTCGGGTCCTTCCTTTGTTAGCTAAGTCTTGGCTGATGTAGTCGGACCGCATTTCTCTTCTTGGAAGTTTTAGAAGTGCTACTCAACCGGCCTGCCGGCGCGGGTTGCTTTAAGAGGAAAGAAGAGATGTGATCTGTCTATAATTTAAATTAGTACCTGGTAGCCCGAGTTTAGGAGTAGAGGAAATACAAGATTCTTTCTGACGAGGTTGTTTAGTTGATTCCGATCGGAGGTTTGACCAACACCAACTTTTATAGTATTACTACTCTCATTTTGTAAATCATTTTCTTCAATCTTTCTGCCATTGCAACAAGAAATCATATGAGACTGATGACGAAATATATCACGTAAATCAAGGTATTATATGGGAGGTAGGTAGTAAGCTGAGAATGCAGTGTTCTGGTTGTTGAATTTGGCTGGCGCGTCCTGTCTACGGGCACAGGTCTCTAGCAGGTAATTTGTACCACTTCACGACGCCACCACACGCTATAATTAATCCGCTCCGGTCTTCAGCCCTAGAAATTTAGGTTCTCAGCGGCGTAAATCGTGCCTGACTTCTGCGACAGCCTTTACATAGGTACATTTAGACTTCAGCTATTTGTCTAACCCCTACCTCATATTATTCTCTATACGGTTGCTCCTGCCCCCGAACAAAAGGAATTCGATATGTCATGAATTTTGGGAGCGCCTTCAAGGCAACCTGGCCGACGCCGATCTTCCCATCCTCAAAGAAGAAGCAATTTAGCAAGGTCGCAAGAATAACAGCATCCTGGACTAGATCGATGCGCTTCTCCAGTAGTGTTCGAATATGCTCCGGCATTCCATTGAATAGTTCCGTCCAAAAACCCCTTTCCGTGACCTCGAATTCATCCGGCATCCAAAACTCGCCCCCGGTGTATTCGCCGGCAATGGTGTGGATACGACCGAAGCCGGCCCCGAAAGGCAGCGGGTTGGATAGTTCCCAATCGATCAAGGCAGTAACCTCGCATTTCTCGTCGATAAGCACGTTCACGTCGTTAAGATCATAATGGGCGACCCACAGCGGGAGCTGGGCAAAGTCATCAAGCCTCTTGGCGAAACTCTCAATAGTCGCTTTGTAGGGGAGGATATCTTCCAATGGTGATGCTAAGATGGCGTCTAGGTGCGGTCGAAGCTTGGTCTTGACAGCTTCATAGCTGTTGTCGGCGAGAAAGCCTTTTGAAAAGACGCGACCTAATGACTTATTGACGGCAATACGCCCTTCGGCTCCTTTCCCAGCGATTCCACGCAGCCACATCTTACCGGGCATGAGGGTGAGGGAGTAAGCCCAGGCACCTGCGTTCTCTAACTCTTCATTGCCGAGAGCCCCAACATCTGGTACATATGAACCTAACGCCACCTTGGCAGTCTTGAAGGAACTAACATCAAGCGGTTCGGTACGAAATTGCACAACCACCTCACGGCCGTTAGCGAGGGTAGCAAACAGAGTCCTACTAAACATCCCCTGCATGGGAGGCTTGTCGACGCGCGTTGCAGCACTATTCAGATGCTCGGCGACCAATTTCTTTGCCCATTTGACCTGCTTCGCGGGGGTGTCAAGCAATTTGGGTAAATCCTTGTCGGTGGTGACCATCGGCATTGTGGAGAGTAAGGATCTTGGGAGAATAGATGAAGAGAAACGAAAGCGGAGACAGTTGCGCAGGCGTGCCTGCAGCTACGGGTTCACATGTTCTATCTACAGTCCATCCCTTGAAATAATGTTGGTTTGTTTCAATGCAAATACCGATTTGCACTAGGGTATCGAGATATCGAACAGGGTTTTGATACAGCGTACATATTTACGGAAACACAGAGATTTTTTTTTAAAAAAAAATCTACTCCAAGATAGAATATTAGGATATATACTAGGTATGTTATAATGTTAAAATATGTATATTGTTTAGGGGGTGTTTGGGACAATAATCTTTTTTTGACTTACGGGTCCATAGTGGAGCTTCAGCAATAAGTTCAGCACTGCGTTTGTATGTATCAGTAGACTGAACCCTACCTAAATTTTGCTGGTGGATCGTCCCATAATACTTAGTTTAGTAGCCAATCAACTATATTGAAAAGACTTATGCTTATTGAAATCGTGAAAGGACCTTTTTAGAAACTTATCTTTAGACTTATGGGGTTTTAAGCCCTGTAATGCGCTATATTTATAAGGGACTTTAGCGATGTAATACGTTATATTTTCAGGGCAGTTTACAGGGGCTAAAATATAGCGCGTTGAATCACTAAAACTCCCTGTAATTATAGTGCGCCCATGCAGCCTTGTTGAACTGATTGAACTGTTGATTGAACTGTTGATTGAACTGTTAATTGATTTATGAGGCTATTTACAGTTTTAATAAGCCGACAAGGTTGCGAATAGCTTCAATTATTACTTACCTAATAATAAGTAACTTATGGACTTATAGACCACAAACATACGAAGACTTACCAACATGCAAATATGCGCTGATTGGTCTAAATTATAGTGGGAACTGCCCCATAATCTGGATCCACTTTCGCATACTTATGTACTAAAGTGTCACGGGCCATAAGTAAGAAAAAGATTATCGTCCCAAACACCCCCTTATGGTCAAGATTCTGCTGCTTTATTTAGGTAGGATTGAAGCTTGGTGAGATACTCTTCTGATAGGTGCTGATAAGATACCGAAACGACCCCAGGGGTATCCATAAAAAAAGCGCCACACCTTACAACGCCTAATGACGCCACAATCAACCTAAGCTTTTAATCAGAAGTATCCATCAACTATTAAGATCGTATCATCGAACAATTCACACAACCTCTTTGCAAACCGAAAATGGGTCTCGTCGACTATTCAGACTCAGAATCCGACTCCGAGCCTGTCGCCCAGCCAGAGCCTGCACCCGCGCCGATATCAACCTCTCAATCGGCACCAGCGAGTGGGAAGCGGCCCTTCCAAAAAGTTGTCGACCGCGCGAAGCCAGGCAAGATCCTCGTCAACCTCCCCCAGAGCGCATCCGGTCGCGGCGAGAGCAAGCCCACCGACGGAGATGACGCGCCGCCTACCAAGCGTGCGAAGATAGGAGGTCGAGGAGGCGGCGCGTTTAGTGGTTTCAACTCGTTCCTACCGCCCCCCAAGAATGTCGGAAAGAAGCCCATTGCGGCAAGTGGTAGTGGTAGTACCAGTAGTGGCATTGGGAAGCCAGCATCAAGACCCGTCGTAAACCTAAAGACCGGTGCTGCGCCAGGTTTCAGTAGAGAAACAAACGAGAACAGCGACGGAGGCGTAGGCGAGACGGTTTCGAGAAGCGAAGATTCAGAACCCGCGGCGAAGCAACCCTCCATACCAGCAGAACAGAAACCCGCCGACGAAGTCAAGTTAGTGGGCAAGCCCCTAATGTTCCGGCCATTATCAGTATCCCGAAAACCGAACAAGAAGGGCACTCTAGGCAAACCACCCACAGCCGCAAAAGCCACCACAACGCCAAAAGCCGAGACAGTTACTCCGGCTCCCACACCCAAAGAAGCAAGTCCGCCTCCGAAGAAGAGGGAGAAGATAAGCCTCTTCTCCCTCCCCGACGAGCAAACGCCGCGAGAAAACGACACCAACTCTACACCCACCACATACCCCTCCACCTACGAACCGATGTTCCAAACCACACCCACCGACGAATTCGCCGCCTACGACGCCCAAAACGCCATCACCTCCTCCACCCAACCACCACCCTCCGCATCCGCCACCACCACCTCAAACCAATCCCTCGACGCCCTCGCCTCCTCAATGAACCTCTCCGCCGCCGCCCGCCGCGAGCTCTTCGGGCGCGGGGGCACGGTGCCGGACAGCCGCGTAGTCAACTTCGACACAGACAGGGAGTACGCGCACAACGAGGCACTACGGGCCTCGGGCCAGCTGCAACCCGCGTATAACCCGATCCGCGCCATCGCGCCGGGCAAGCACAACCTGCGCCAGCTGGTCAGCCAGGTGCAGAACCAGCGCGACGCACTAGAGGAGAGCTTTGCTACGGGCAAGGGGAAGAGGAATGAGGCTGGGGCGCAGTATGGGTGGCGTTGATGAGAAGAGGGAGGATATGATAAGGAGAATAGGAGTAGGGGTAGGGGGCCGATGGTGATGAGCTCGGAGGGGGGAAGGTAGAGGTTGTTTACGGAGTGAGAAGAAACAAGTGCATTACGTCCAGTAATCAGGACCAGGAAGAACTAGCAGTAAGCTAGATCCCAGATCGATGGCCACAAACAAACACGGAAGCCACAATAATAGCAAAATCACATCGCATCGCATAGCATAGGTCGGCGTCACCAGCATTAAAATCAGTCAAGATATCCATCCTAATATAACCATTTGATTCCCCATCCCCTCACGTCCGGTGTATTAAACAACAGCCTAGGCAGCTAGCTAGCTAAATATGCACAACAAATTTCTTCAGAAGGGTAAAATCTAGCGGGTATCATCTAAGTATTCCAGTCTCAATCTCCGCGCTGGTGACTTGTTATACACAATCCCAACCAACCAACCAATCCATATCCCTATATACATATACATATATACACAATACAGTACAGTATGATGTACACATTTATCCACCCTCATGTTCAGCTCCATCCCCTCGCTCTCAACAAGTCTCCACCACCGCCGTCTTCCCCTGCTTCCACCCCTCGCCCTTAAACAAGAACCCCCACTCGCCCCTTGTTATCGGCGAGATGTCATCGTACCCGTTCGGCGTCTGCGGGCCCAGCGTCTGCGACTGCCGAACACTGGCGTTATCGCACGGCGACAACATCATCTCGTCGATGGACGCGCCGTTCCAGAACGGGAGGCCCCGGATCGGTCGCGCCGTGTGTTCTTCTTCCTCCGGTTCTCCGTCCTTGTCGGGGTCTTCGACGGCCAGGTTATCGAGCTTGATCTCTAGCTCCGTAACCGAGGGGCCTTGTTTCTCGTCGGCTTGGGGTTGCGTGTGGATTTGTATCTGTGTCTGCGACGTAGCATGCGTGATGCTCTTAGCCTTCGGCTTGAAAATCCGCGTTGTCGTGGCCGTCGCAAGTCTCGTATCTAGCTTGAGAACGGGCGTGGTTTGGGTTTTCGGTGGCGTCTTAGGTGGGGGTGGCGCGCCGATCATGACGACGGGTCGGGCCTCGCGCTCCCGCTCTTCCGGTGTGATTTCGAAGGCACCAACCCGGTCGATCCCACCGTACGCACGTCTGTACATGCCCTCAACATCACGTAGCGCGCGTGCATTCACTCCGAGCCAGTCGTAACTGCGGTATAAATCCGCCTTGGAGACCGGGCGTCCGCCATTAGCGAGGACCAAGCGGCGGAGCGAGTCCACCGCATCCTCGATGCGTGAGGTATCCGCGATCTTAGGAGTGGGTGAAGGCGAGGCGAGCGGTGATGAAGTGCCGCTTGTGAAACGGGAACGAGAGTACGCCGAGAGTGCGGCCTTGAAGGTGTACAGCCGGTCGAGGCCGAGCAGGATCAGACCCTCGGACGAGAAGAGCACCTCGTTCTGCAACAAACTCCTGCGGACCAGGTCCAAGTTCAGGCCGCATGCGGACGCGGTGGTGGCGGGGGGTAGCCAACCCGTGCCAATTCGGAACTTGCGCTCCGCTTTTTGAATTGTGGTTCGTAATGTCTTTTCGGCTTTGGGAGAGAGTAGGCCGGTGTAGATTAGCCGTAGGCCGAATTCGTTGGGTCCTTGTGATATGGATGATGCCGAGGAAGCTGTGACGATGCTTGATGGGGTGGCGGGGGTCATAGGGCTGCCAGGTGTCAGGGGTATAGCCCAGCGACGAGGGCTGATGGGTAGAGTTTCGGTCAAGGTAGGCAGAGATGTTGAGGAGGATGTACTGGCTGTAGAATTTGATGCTACAGATGATAGACTGGATGTAGAGCCGCTGGTTCCCCTTCGGACTAACTGTCTTAACCCAGCGACAGGAGAAGCAAAGCGTGTAGGAGACGGCGTGAGTGGAGGGGAAGTCGGTGTCGGGCACGGTGGAATCACTGTTGGAAGTTGATATTCCTTCCGCACGACTACTAAGGTAATATGCAGGGCCTTCCTCGCAAGCCTCTTCGATGCGTACTCCAACGCGCCTGTCAAGTGAGATGGTAGGTTATACGCGTCAAGGATCGACGGCCCCGCCTCTAAAGGGGAGGAGATGCGTTGCTTAGACAGCGACATATTGTCGACAGGAAGATGACGCAATAGAACTGTAGCTGTGTAGCCGTGTATTCTGCAAGATAAAAACAACCCGAGGGGCAGTGCAATGTATGTTCTTCAACTAAGAACCGTAAAGATCGAGGTCGGATGTCTTATCTCCCGAACTGCAGAGATTTGATTATAGATCTTGAAGGATGATCCACCGAGTCTTTAAGAAGAAGCGAAGACCAGCTTCGATAGTAGATAGATATATCACGACGTCAGGGAAGCTCGAAATAGAGAAAGCCAAAAAGGGAAATGAGCAAAGTCAAGAAAGAAAGCCTTGCTACAGGGCGAGAGAGGATATAAAAAGTAAGGGCGCTTCGAAACTTGAAACAATGGAACAGTGAAACAACGAAACTACGATCGACTCGAGTAGGCCACGAGGTGATCGAGGCGTTCGTGGGGTTTGATGTTTGAAGAAAGGGTGGGTTATGGATCCGACGATGATCATTGGTGCGTTGTTTTACCCTTTCCCTCCCTCCCGTTCTTCATCATTCTATATTCGGACATGTTGAAACTTAGCGTCAGGCTCACCGTACCCGCCGCTCTCGACTGGTAGTCAGCTCGTCATGAGAATGCTTTGTTTCAAGGCGAAGATACGTACGTGATTCGTCAACGAGTCTGCTTGCATATCACATGTAATTAGGTGGGTAATCCCAGGTTTCTCACCGTTAAAGGATAGACGTTGGTTCCTCAAGCTCACGCGTTATTAGCCCTAGATTTCCAATTTCCATGTTCCATGCATATGTGTTGTGATGATTATGGAATGATGGTGTGCCGGACCTGCAGCAAACGGCGAAGAATATCCACGAATATCCCTACATAACTCTCCATAATCCCCCACTAATTATCCGGACTAAAAAAACCTCAAATCACCGACCAACCAGAGAAGAGCAGCTTCTCCCCCGCATCTTGCATGGGCGGCTACAGCACCCAAATATAGATCCCGGCCCCGGCACCCGACCTCTATACCCCTGCCAAATACACGTGCTAGGCCAGCTATGGCTAGATCCCGAGATGTTCTTGCTACCTAGTAGGGGTTAAGTCCAAAAATAGATGTGCATAAACCTCCATAAACATTCGGTCGATTGTTGACGGGCAGTCGAATCCACCACCGTAAATTGTAACATGGCACCGGTTGCCCTTCGTAAGAAATAGATAATATTAAAGCGAGACAGAATGAAAAGAGGTTGTCATGTTAAACGTGCTAGGTATCTACTTTATTGCTACTAGGTGTAGATGTTATGTGGCATCCATGGATGTGTACGTACCGTAGGAGCCGAATAGTAGATCCCGCTAATTATTCCATTACCGTAGGAAGATAGGGCGTTTATCCATTTTTAAGTCCACGCTTAAATCTGCAATATCCTAGCCAGGAAGCACTTTTTAAACCTTGCACTTGCATCTTGCTAGTCGTCAATATCAACGTCGTCAACACCAATAACCAATCAAAATCGTGTTCACACATATCACTCAAACGGCTTTTCACGATTCCGAGAGAGTAGTTTTTCATACCTACTACCACCGCACTTCAATTTTTAGAAGGATACTTGTTTGACTAGCTTCGGCCTGATGGCCAACCGATTCATCGGCAGATAGACGAACATATCACAGCTTTAGAGAATGAAAGACGCAACCAAATCATTATTTGCTGTCCCCTGGCCATATCTGCGTCGTGGAAAGAAGTAAACTGCAAAGGAAAACAGCACCAGTAGGTAATCTCACTGAAACAAAGTGTGAAGCATCTAAGGCATTCGTCGTCCTGATCAGGGGAAAAAGAATTGTCATTCCACCTCGTGAGAATTGCTATGCAATGAACCATAATTCGTACAGTCAGATGAGTTCCAGGCAAGTATTGCCTCAACAAACATCTCAGTTCATCAGGACGCCGAAAGAACATCGTCGCGAAATACCATTTTGTCCATCCTGAAGACGCCTATCACTCCGGTGCTATGCATTCACCCTAGTTTGCCAGTCCGTTTATCCGATTCGCCGTCGAACCCTTTTTTACCATCGGTTGCGTTCGTTTCAACCTAGTTGGCCGTCTCAATTAATCGATATCAACACATCAATCAACACAATAATGTAGAAGTGCCTTCGTTGTGGCCCGAGGGTTCGATTATACTAGATCACGGTCGATTTGCATGCTGATATCAGCTAGGTTATCCATCGGTTCCGAAGAACCGACCGATTGTTCCCAATCTTGACTATGTCAGTCATAGTCCATGGTGGCGGTGGTAGAGTCGCTCCACATACCGGAACCATCCTCTTCAATCTCGTCGACCGTAAGCCTGTCCATTGGTTCCAGGACAACTATTTGTGAGTTAGTGTGTGGAATTCTCAACGAACGATTCATATCCAATAGAACTCCTACCTCGACAGAGTTCATTGAACTGTACTTCGAGACCGTCATCCATCTCCTCGTCAAGGTGAAAGTACGGCTCACACTTCTTGATGATTCGATCAAGGGGGACGACCGTGTATCTAGCTGCCTGCGCTGCGCGAACGACATAGGTATCCCGTAGATACTCCAGGCAAGAGATTGCCAGAAGCCTAGCAGCTGAATTCATCGCCCGTGACTTTTCAAGCCCACCGTTACTCTCCCCAAATGCAGGGGAGGGTCCATGCTTAAACAACTTCTCTTGTAGGAAGTTATCTACTTCATCGCTCACCCCCTGGTCTATATATCCCAATAGTCCCGGGGCCCATTTCGGTATATTATCTAGACCGTGCAGATGGATCATTTCCATCGTCTCCCCTGTGTTACGTGGTCCATCAAATACATCTCGATGGAACTCGAAAAAGGCGCGACCTTCTGCGTTTTGCAAGTTCTTGCATTGACTAGCCACAAAATTAACCAGGCGAAAGACGTTCTCGCCATTGGAACTATCGCGGCAATAAGTTGTAGCGACACGAAGATAAGGCGACACCATATGAGAGGTTAGGTCACCAGTGATATCGAGTCGTAATGTCGCATAGACCTTTTGGTCCATTACCGGGTTAAACCCTATTAGGCGGCTGATTATACAATCGGTGGCCATAGGGTTTTGGTTCAGAGAGATTAGTTTTTCCACGAAAACGTTTGCTTGCCCCCTCGCCCAATCTCTGTGCAGGATATTTACCTCGGCGGCAGTGAGGGGAACAGGCTCGCCCTGAAGCGCCAGTAACAATCGACCGTGAGCCTCTTCCAGGATGTTATTCTGGCTTAGTGTCGGCTCGATGTTCGATAAAAGTTCCTCGATCAGGGCGATGATGCTTTCATAGTTAGGTGGCCTCGCAGACCTTCTGGACACCGCATTGAGCAGCCTGGCATATTGGTTTGGGAGATCAAGGGCCTGGTCCGCTGCAATCACCATTAGCAATTTAGACAGGAAATCTCTGTCTAAGAACAACACTGCTTCGTAACGTCCCAATCGGGCAAATTCGAGCATGGTCCCGAAACACTCGGTCCAGGAGTTGATACGCAGGTGGAAAGCGTCCCAGATATGGTAGAACAGATCAATGGTAATCTCCATTACATTCGAATGATGGCGTGCCGTGGTTATTAATACGTCGCCGTCACTGTCGAATGGACCGTATTCGTCTGGGAAAGAATTCTTTATGACACAGATAGCGAATATCAGGATCCTTCCGACATCCTGGCGGACAGCCACGTCTGTGTTTCTCTGTAGGAGCATGCGCAGAGCGTCTTTGTGGTGCTTGAAATAATTAAAGAACGCGAAACAGCACAAAGGACACCGTTGGCAAACCTTGATCAGCAAACCCTTAAGCTGGTCAAAATCTGGAAGATCCTTGGCTCGTGATGCGATTTGATCCATATGTCCAAGTGCGGTTTGCATTGCTAGATTTTCCTTCCTGTGATCCTTCGAACACTTCGTACCCCAAGAATTAAGAAGTAATTCATACACAAACGGCATATGAGCTGGATCATAAAGGCAGTGTCGTTGGATAATTGACCAGTTGTCATCACTGACCTGGGACTCGAGGGTTTTGGGGAGGTCGGCCCGGAGTGGACCGGTATGACCCGATGCTCTCAGCATTTCTTGCTCTTTCTGCAGCGAGGAAGATCGTTGATAGAATAACATGTACGCACTGTAAACCTTCTCGTACGTGGTGCCGGCCTCGAATTGTGGTCGGTATTCCGGTCCTCCAAAACATGCGCTCTCCATCTGCGCAGGATCCCACGACGTGACTACTTCATCGTTGAATTCAACCCATGATGGTGTGCTGCTTGCCGTCGGCCGTTCGCGGATGTACGAGTAGTAATGGCCGGACTCCGCAGTTCCGGAATGCACAAGCACACCCACCAATTCGAACATGTCCGGTTCAGAATTGCGGGAAGGATCGCTCAGGTGCTCGATAGTATAAGGCTGCATGTCGACCTTGGTAGGGAATGGGAAGTAGTCGTTGATCTTACTTCGTGTCAGCGTCCTCAGGTTGAAATCAAACCTTTTCAGGTGAAATATCAAGTTGTCCGGAATATCTTTGAGACACGCCCTGTCGCTATTGTTAGCTTTGCTACCGTCGAATCTAAGCTGCAATTCACTGACCTTTTAACTGCATCGACGTGGCGGTCGCATTCCGAGCACTTGTATTTGTTGTCTAAAGTAAAAGTCAGAATCAGAAAAGATTGGCGCGAGAAGAACAGCAACGTACCTCCTTCCATAATCTCGCCGTCTACATAAGCTTGAAGGCTTTCCTCGAGGCCCGCCTTGCCTTTGATGTCGCATTGAATAGCGGAAAATGGTTCAATGCGCTCGGAGATATGTTCGCATTCCTTAGACTTCACCTGTTGGACCAACTCGCCTCCGTAGATCGACCTAAGGCTCTTCTTGTCACTTTCTAGAGAGAACTGCGCTTCCCATCTATCGAATAGAAGGCTATAAAACTCATCTACGTCCATTTGATTGTGGATATCAATAGGAGTCTCGTCGTAGGTTGTGATTTGCCCTACGCAGCCTGACGGCTCTACCCAACGTCGGCGACTATCTTGCAGGAATGCAAATAGGACCTGGGTCTCGTGGAGCAATGGATGCGTAAGTGGGTTCCTGACTCTCTTTTCAAGCATAAAGCGACGGAATCCAACGTTCATAAAGAGTTGTGTAAAGAGAGAATTCAGGTAGCAGGTGTTAGAAAGATTTCGCAATCCAGAATAACCGCAAGATGACCTAATAGCAGTTGATCTTTCAAAAGCTTGCGGAAGCTCATACTTGTAGATCTCAAGCCCATCTTCGATGCGGTGAGACGTGAGTTGGTTCAGATCGTATAGTAGACGGGTAGTCTGGGCGACATCATCTTTAACCAAGGCGAATATGATATCGTATAACATGCTTCGCGAAGGAGTGTGCAAGATCACCTTTGGCACCAGTGCATCATCCTCATCTTCCGGCGGAAATAAGTGCCGAGAGAACAATTTGGAAACAAAATTGGTCGGAAATTCGACCAGCTCCTTCTCAATTGATGCTTCGGTAATTCCAATATTAAGAATTGTGATAAGGCCGTGTGCCACAACGTCCTTGTCCGGATGAGCTATGTCCTCTGTAGTTGTGTATGATAATAGTAGTTCTGCACATTGCCTAAGACAGGCAGGCAGGTTAATGGCGCTGGGGTTCTCGGCATTGAGCTTATGAAGTAACTGGAAGCAGAGGCAAAAAGTCTCTTCGCACTTACTCGGCTCCCTAACGGCTCGGGGCACGAGTTGAGATACTATGGGCCAGAAGAGTTCTGCGAATTGCAGGGAGCGTCCGCCGGATATTCCATAAGCATTAATGCTCTTGTATGTGATCAGCCTTGCGACGTTCTTCCTAACAATAGGGCGCGAATCGTCGAGAAGGAGTCGTTGGACCACTTTTTGTACTCCCGTTTCATCCCGGAAACCCTCCCAGAACGCGTTACCCTTTATACAAGGCTCGAGGAGGGCCTCGAACGAACGGTTAATTAGCTCGATGCTGACCTGATTAGTCTGAGCCAACGCAGCATTTGTGAGTATGGCGGAAAGTCGTTTCTGGAGGTCCAAGTTCAGTTGTTGCATGCCGGTCTCGACATTCGGGGTTTCTTCGTCCAGTTAGCACACGGAGCCAAACTATAGCGCTATAGATCGACATACCTTTCAAAAGCTGAACAAAGTTGTCTACAAGTTCAAGGCTTAGCTTGAGCTGCAGACCCTCACTTGATCCTCGTTCAACAACTTCAGGATCGCAGATTGCCGCAACGATCAAAGATATCGCTCTAACGAGAGCATCTTGTCGGTCATTTGCGGTGTTTACCTGACTCTCGCCATCTGGTGAAGAAACCTGCATAACATTGCTCTTGAGCTGCCGGGTACTAAGATACTCGCGAAGCGCATGTAGTGCATACAACGATTTGAAAGGTTGCCCAAGCGGGAATACATCTCGATAAGAGGTTGTAGGATCCTCGAAGGTTGTTAGAATTGAATCGTCAGCCGGAAGGGATACTAGAAAATGATAGATCTAGAAACAAGCGTCAGCGTATCATAAGATATAATGTAGCAGAATGTTCGTTTACCTCTCGTGCTAACTTCTCTTCCATGCTCAGATACTCCCACAAGTCCTTGAAATGACTCAGAATTTCAATGTCGAGCGGTGAAGCACCTGGCTTAATGCGCTTAGAAGTTGCGATCCCAGACTCCTTCTTCACAAGTATCAAACCGTTCCTGATGTCGAGTTCTTCGATAGGCTTGCAGATAGCACTCTCTGACGGCGCTAGGGGCTGTCCGCGATAGTACAGCCGGTAATTATCAAAGCCGGTGGCTTCCCGCAAGCTAGCGAGGAGTGAGGCAGCAGTATTCTTTAATCCAATATCCAGGGATTTAACATCGGTTTGCTCCTCGCCATCGAAAGATTGGTATTTTAACTCTGCGGAGTCACCGTCAACGGGGCTAGGCGCTTGCAGCATGAGAGACCGTAAATCGGGCGCTGCAAAATGGGGTCTGGCCTGCAGCGCCTTGAGAAGTGCTATAAGTACCTGTAGGGACCTTGTAAATTGCAGCTCCTGTTCTTGGCGCTGCTCATTAATAGCTACATCTATCGCCAAGTCCCCGTCGCCGAATTCTTTCAGCTTCTGCGCCGCACGCTTGAGTTGCTGCAAGCATCGCTGTACGAGAGCAAAATGAACTTTTCTTGCGCGATGAAGGGGGTATGACATTATCGACTGGCTGTCAACGTATATGTCATTGACGAGCGTAGATATAGCCGTCTCTTCAATAGTATGATTGGGAGCTGTCAAGATCATTTGCCACAGTAGTTCAAGCCCAGCTAGCCTAACACTGTCATCGTCGTCGAGAACCATACCATTGATATCGTTTGCGAGGGGGATGATAGCTTCTCGGACAAAGGCGAGGGAACCTCCGCAATAGCAAGACGGGGGTAGTTCAGGCAAGTATTCTCTCAGGCAGGCTCCGAGGAAGGGGTTGTCTAGCCGTGCTCTTCGAAGCGCCATGTTTAAATCATCCCAGGCTGTTTTTCTATCTTCCTGACATGCAGCGCCATTCCCAACAAGCAGGTCCCAAAGACGTCGACCAAGTTCCGAGTCAATGGTAGAGCCATGGCTTATTATGATAGTCGAAAGAATTCTTCGGCGAGCATGACTGATGGGGTTTGTATAAACAGGTGCAAATCCAACAGCTTGCGCATTGGCAATTGTAGATTCAAGTTCGTCAACAAGAAGCCGCGTCAAGTCGTGTTCGGCTATCATCGCCTGTAGTGATGGTGGGTTGTCCATAAGCATATTGAGTACCTCGAGACTCCCGGATGTTGTTCGGGTTTTTGCGGCGATGTCATGCACGCAATCCAGTCGCATGGTCTGGCGTTCTTGATGGTCTGGTCCCGGATGGAGAAGGGCACCAAACTTCGTCAAGGCAAATTGGTGAATCTCCGGGTACGCCACGGAACCTTGCGATCCATAAACAGAAGACTCTTGAAGTAATCGAATACAGGTTTTGTACGGCGTAATAGGAAGATGGTAAAGCATCTTTTCCTGAAGTTGCTTCGTGACATTTTCAAAGAAATCCCGCATGCAAGAAGAGAAAGCCTCGACCGGTAGGCCATGGAATTTCTCACATATATAGCAGAGCGATTCCGAATCTAACAAACCGACAACCTTAGACATCATACGAACTATGGCATCGGAGATTCGGGGATCCTGCGTAGACGTCAACGTCTGCCAGAGGAGATCCGTCTGTGCGGATATGTAAGTCTTGGTAACGGCCAAGAATCCAACAATGTTAAAGCTCGCTTGCGTGATCTCTGGGTGACACGTCGGCCCCAGGAGGTAATCAACAATCCCGGTTTCGACAAGATAGCTAGACAAATACCGGAGATATGTCAGGTAGGGATTTTCATCTCCTATCTCCTGACGGTCGGCGTATGTTCTCCACTGGAGAACTAGATCGTCACAGAGCTGTGTAGCTGCCGTAACTCTGAGCTGCATCTGACGTGACCTCACCAGCTTACAGAATATGCGTATTCGCCATTCTAAATTCATCGCCTCGGGCGTGAATCGATCGGGAAGGTTAGGGTGTTGTTGGCGATGGTCTTGCATGAGCTTATTAGCTTCAGCATTGCTACCAAGCAGACTGTATCTGAATATAGGTGATAGACAGGCGGTAAGAGAAACGACAGTCTCGGAACTTAAATTGTTGGTAGATTTTTCTATCACGACATCGAGGGCATCCGCAATGATTCTGAAGAAATCCAGACCATAGGCAAGGTTTTTTCTCGCTCGCTCGAGGGCTACGGCGGAATAGGTCCCGGAGTACGACTGCTTTCTGTAGCTATCTCGTACGAGACTGTCCATTAGCATAGATACACCAGTGAGGTTATCCATCACTCTCCTAGGGGATCGGAGTAGATTGTTCAGGAGCAGATCAGTAAAGCGGGATAGTTGAAGTTGCAATCCATCGCTGTTGGCTTGAAGGATATCAAGCAATTCTGAAAATCCCGAATTCGCCAAAGCATATGTGTTGGCCAGTTGGCTGTCGTCCTTGCTCGTGAGGCTTCCAAATAGTTTAATAAAACCTGGAGATATCAAATCAAAATCGGCATCTTCCTTGTTTATGACGTATACTAATGTTCGGCAATCGACAGTGAGGAGAAATGCGGTGAGTTTAGCAAGTTGCGTGAACATCTGACTGATAGTCTCTCGAGTCTGGGTTGATTTCGAATAACCATGCCTAATAAAGAAATATTGTTAACTACTTCAATCAATCGAGGTTCGCTTCACAGAATACGTACCGATGAACTATTGTGTAGAAGAGTTCTGGAAGAGTTTGCCAGAATTGTTTATTCTCCTGGTATGCTTCTACTACTATGGGATAAAACTCGATATGCGCAAATGCTGTATATCGGTTCAACCACCCATTCAAAAGTTGCAAGGCTTCGTCAACATGTGTCGGTTCTGTGAGAGGGTTAGAAGATTCACGAGACATGAGCGTACTCGACATACGCTGTCGAAAGTATTCAGCGAGGCGAGAAACTGTCTCCTGATACGATTCTCCTTCACTGTGGTATGGAAACTCGACCATGGCAGCACTGAATGATGCAGCTCTTGCTTCCGGCAAAAGTGTTATATTAGGTTGAGTGTTGCAGAATTCAAAGTCTTCCTCGAAGGATACAGTAGGTACTTCGGGACTGTCCATCTCGGACGCGGAAGAAGAGCCATCCTCGACTGAAGGCACTTCTATCATGTTCACTTCTGGCTCTTCGACGCTGACCTTGATGCTGTCTTTGCGAGATCGTGCGGGTGTAGGAGAAGACGGAGATGAAGGTGTATCTTCAAGGCTGTCAGCATTTCGCAAGTTGATAGTGACCTTGCTCGAGACAGGTTCGGTGGCAGGCTCTGAATGAGCTGGTGTGCTAGGAGGGATTGGCTCGGGCGTATCGACTTTCATGATGCTCGGGTCGGAAGCGACGGCGTCGTCCCGAGAGGGAAGAGTATCGACAGACGCGCTCCTAGAACCAGAAAGAGAGGTCCTACGACGTTTTCGGGCGGAAAGGTCACCGTCGTCAAAAGGGTTAGGTCGAGTTGAGCAAGGCTCGGAGGAGACGGCACGTTCTCGCGGCTCGGATGATCTCGAATCCTGATCCATCTGGTCCTTACTGACCCGATCGGGTAGGGGGTTAATCGTGGAGCTCCAGATAAAGCTTAAGACGTTCGCGCGAGAAGGCTCGGCGGATGCTGGTAGACTCCAGTATTAGCATGTGGGTTGCGGAATGATTAGGCGGGGTACAGCGCTCGGGGGAAAAAGAATAGAAATGAATGGTGAAAAGTTTTGGACGAGTAAGAAGTAAAGAAAAATGAGAAGAAAACAATCAAAAGGTCTAAAAGGGTATCAAAGTGTTACAAAGAAAGGGATATAGATCCCACAGCTCTCGAGAATCCTCTTATAAAAAAAGAAGAGGTCTACAGAATGATAGGCAGCTGGTATGAATTGTGATGATGGTATATTGGAGAAGCTCCAGTCAATTTTTGGTGTAGTGACGGGGGCGTTCCCAAGGTTGTTTGGGTCTGGCGTCAGTGGTGCAAGTGTGAAGGAGCTAATGGTGGGGGAGGGGCGCGTGTGGAGAACGAGTTAGGAAGGCAGCCCTGGTAAGTGGGAAGCAAGAGCTCAGAGCTACCGTAGTAGCAAGCTGGAGCATATAGGTACGGTTAGCTAAGAAACCGCCCAGCTACTAATCCCAGGCAGGGAACCTTGAAAAGTAGGTACCCTATCTGCCTATTGATGTACGGAATGTATCATGGATGTATGTAGGTAGGGATTCTTTTGCTTCTTGCTTCCATAGATTCTTCAATGGAATCCTTCGTTAACAATGCTAGCGCAACGCCTCTTCTTGATGATTCGACTAGCGAGTATAAATGGACGAGGTAACGAATGGATGGATGAATGAATGATATGATATGATAGATATGAAGGTTAGCAACTTACCTTACACCCACATATGGATATGACAGGTAACAGTGCTAGATAGATCAGTTGAGACAATGTAATATCAGACCGTCGGAATTGTAAAGAGGTTACCTAGTATAGTACTAGGCAGGCAAAAAAGATGTGCACAGTAGAGAGCGTGTGCTCTCAGTGCGGCTTAAATGATGGATCAATCAGGGTGTTCAATGGAAGAAGCACCTCGGGATGTGTTACTAAGGAAGGTAATGAAGGTAATATGTGTAGGCGATTGGGTAAGGTTGTGTTGAGTCGAAGATCGTCTTGGTACAGGTTTTGTCGCACTCGAAAATACCAAAGAAGGATGTAATTTGTAAGGCAGTAAGGTCCACGGGTTAGATACCTGGAAAATACGATTAACGAAAACGCTTGGAATTAGGCGACGCTAGCGTATCATTAAAGTGGGGTCTCAGGTGGAAGTATCTATGTACCTTTTAAGCTGCGCAAGGTCTGCCTGTTATTATGTGAAAACAGGAAGTATCCATATATGTACGGATACATGCGGTGGCAAGATGCTTATTCAAGGCGATTTTAGTATAGGAACTGTAAAAGACCTTTAATATTGTCATAAGGCGAGTGCTCAGGGGATGAATATAAACGTACCTAAGAGAAGGTCGAATTATGGAATGGTTAGGATGAGATGCTTAAAAAACCATGGATCTTCAGGGCTTTGCTTGTCTAGGTGGGTAGGAAAATATTAAAATAATCCACAGAAGCGGGAGCAGCTCTTGGAGAAAACGCATGCACAGGGCTTATCAGCTACCGGTACCTAGCAGCTTAGGGGGGTCTGGTATTGTAGCCCTGGAAGTACTGGTAGGTAGCAATAAATTCAACTTTCCAAGGTCCAATAGTGCAGTATGTACTGAGATAGGTACCTAGTAGTATGTAAGTCAGCTGGAGCACTCAAACGAAAACTAAACTTACTTCAGCGGACCCAAGCTGCTGGGTTATGCTAGAATCTAGTCTGTTGTGTCGCTAGGGCAAGCAAAGCGGTCAATTTAGGTTTCGCCTCAAATAGTTAATTTTCTGGAAGCTCCTCACTCAAGCAAACATGACGGGGTACTTGGTGTAGATCTCTGATAAAAACAAAGAATAATGGGTCAGGCACCCCGGCTAAGTAATACATACATTTACAGAGCACATGTAGAAAGGGCACTCCCGTCTGGCAGTCGGGTTCGATTCGTCTTTCATACAGCCAAAGTCAAATATCGACTTCGAAAGATAGGTCATATTTTAAAGACACAAACTATGCAATTCTGACCAGAGTATCAGGTAAATAACTAACTCTCCCAGTTAAAGATGTAACTCTACTAGAAAACTCCTGGATACATACTTACAGTATAGCATTCTGCTTAGTACTTTCTTAGCACTGTATGATGCACATACCTCCAAGTTGGTTATGTTAGGTACCTAGGTACTATGTAATTTTTGAGGGGTAAACCCTTAGAAGAGAAGCTACATGAATTAGGTAGTTCTGGAACCTACCTGTTAGGTACCCTTATAGGCTACCTAGGTACCTAGTATAAGTGCCCCTACTCAGCATAATGCAGTCTAGTCATTTAAAATAATAAAGAAAACAAAAACTACAGACATTTATAAAACTTAAAAACGATACTTATGTGTAGTGAAACAAGTAGGTATCTAGGTACCTAGTAGCGTTCTGTAGATGGAATTCATACATGCAGGTTTGTATCACATTTTCCATTAACCCCCACTAAGCACGCGTGGTACGCATGCATACCGAGATTTAGAACGCTGTAGGCAAATAGCTGGATGGTACTAGGTAGGATCAATAACCTAGGATGATCCATAAGGTGATCCATAAGTTGCTTGCCTGCCCTGGTGGTCAGCCGCAGCCGTATTTCCGGACTACAGGACATGTTTGCATATACATAAGCGGAAAGGATGTACTGGAGAGAGATTCGGTGACAACAGCGACACATCACCAATTATCGTCTACTTAGATATACACAGCCTACCAATCATAGTTGTAGTTATAAGAATGGGCTTCGATGCTTTATTGAAGTTAAAAGGTGCTGGATTGGCTACAGAAGAATATCTGAAGGAGAAATGGTAATGTTCCTCTTGCTTTGCCCTTTTGCCCAGCTACCATTTATCGGGATCTTTGTTGTCCTCGGCAATCATAGTCCTAGAGACTAGAGTATCTAACACCGATTTGTTATAGGGGGCGCAGAAAATCCCGGGAAATCCTAGCGACGAGAGAAGACGCAGCTAGAGCCGAGCAAGAGAGGCTTCGACAGGAGAAAAATGGATTTCTCCGCTTGGTTTTGGCAAAAATTACCGGAGAGTCGGTCGTTGAGATGCCGCCATTAGAATGCAATCCGACAACGTCCCATAAAGCCGTCTTTTTAGTCACTATACCAATCGAGTTCGGCGTGTTTGAACTATCAAGGAATTCCTATAACTTGCTTGCCAAGCATGTCGGTATGAGTCTAAACAGTGTCAGTCATTGGGCCCTATGCGTAATTGATCGTGGCTTCAATCCTTCCTACTGTTACGATTTGATGAGCGACCAACTAGCGCTCAACGCTATCGGCAAGAACTTCTTTCGTGTGACAGATGTTGTTGCTACATACATCGAGACATGGAGCTCATGTTATTATGTTGGCGAGACAACAAGATCGCATCAAGAGATCCAAGAGCTAGGTGAATTAACTGCCCAGTGATTTAGGTAATCTCGTAGTTTACTCTAGTACTAATGCATTAGGTATAGGGCTTCACCACATGGCGCTACATCCACGTTATAATCTCTTGACAAGCAACTGCCAGGATCTTGCGGAAAGTCTAGTTAAGCAATTGTGCGATGGTAAAGTTATCAGCCAAGCAAAACTGAGCGAGGAGTTGTCTTTGGCATCACCGAAACTTGCCTTAGATCTTATGGTGGCGCGATTGAGATCTAAAGTAGAAATATCGAAAGAACATGAGAACAGTGAAACTGTGAAGGAAGATATGGATATCATCAAAGGATTGCTCCATAAAGTCCATCACAGATAACCCGTACTATATTCTAATCAGAAGACGGGAACGGAAGTAATGCATAATTGTATATGAATATGAATATTTTAATAGATTATGTATGTTACTTATTTTGACAATTACGACATTTGAACTTAAAATGAAAGTATACTTTTTGTCTCTATATTCAATGTTTGATGGTCTCGGGAGCATTGCGCACGGACCAGTACCAATTTAGTGATCTCAACCACCCTATTAACAACTGCAATAATCTTTCACATGAATTTTTTATTCAGTTATAACAACAACTTGGAAGAATAGCTGCTGAGATATTTCACATAAGTCAACAACATCGGTTCACGTTTGAATTAGGTATCCAAAGATGGATAAAAAGAAGAAAGTTGTGTATCAATTAGACACTCCATATTCGGCAGTATCGTGGTATTTCATCCCCATTACCTAATTACCAATTTTCAGAGCAATAGACTGACGAAAGATTGCTAGGCCTAGTGTAACTCTTGAGGATCAAGAAACACTCCTAGAAATTTTATGCGCGTAAGTTAAGATATTTCTAATTGCCAGTCTACTATATAGACATTATTCTGTTTTCTAGTTTATTGCTTATAGTAATTCCACCTTACAGATGTTTTTTCTGCGCAATACCCAAATGGGTGTTCTCTGGGCTAACAGTTTGTGCTAGTCTACTTGAGCCTTTGGGACGGCATCGATCAAAATACATACAACCATCAAAAGGCCAACGTGATAAAAAGAGGAAGCGCAAGGCGCCAAACACAGGTTCTAAGGAACTTGCGTCTCCTCCCATTCCTGAACTGAGAACGTACGTTGATGTTGGTCTAACAACTGTAACGCGTCACCTGCAGGAGATGGCATCTAAGGCACATGGTGTGGATTCTACCTTAGAAGAGAAACTCGCCAGTCAGGAAACATCTTGTTCTCCCTATTCGGTTATCTTTGTAGCAAGATCCGGACAGTCCAGTATTCTCAACGGGCATTTCCCTCAGATGGTAGCTGTTGCCTCAAAATCAAACCCTAGCCAAACACCCATTAGGCTGGTAGGATTATCAAAGTCATGTGAAGACCGCCTATCTGAGTCTCTTTGCATACCCCGTGTCTCCTGCATTGGGCTCTATGAAGGAGCCCCGAATTCGAAGGCATTGGTTGAATTTGCGAGACAGCATGTTCCACCCATCGAATCACATTGGCTGCAAGAGGCAAGGCAAGCAGAATATCAAGAAACGACTATCAACACGATCGAGACATTCATAGGTAGCAAAAAGCAAAGCAACCATAGGCTGCCCAAACCTTGATTCTCATTACCACTCAAGGTTTCCCGTCAAGATGGATAATATATTTTAATTACCATCTTCTTTTTTCCTTGTTTGATGGTACGTAATATTTCCATCACTCACTTTTAGTCTGATATTTTCTGAGGCTATTATTCATTGAATACATAACCCGAAATACAAATGCCTAACTACCCAGTTCCTTCTTTTTACGGTGTATTTACACAGCTATGGAGTCGTTGTCTTAAATCTTTTATCGTTAGACGTCCAGTTCTTTAGCCAGGAGTTCCGTTTGCAACGAGGTGGGTGCTTGCATCAATAGACATCATTATACACCATTCACACTTACCATTGGAACTCTCAGTGAGATTTCGCCCACAAGACATCCACTGATATGTATGTTAACGGGAATATATACAGTGATGAGACGGGGCCAGCTAGTCGGGCATGAATATATTTGAATATATATCCCAAACCATACTAAGTACCTAGGTATGTATCAAAACGAGTCACTGTATTGTGCCAGCTGCGAACCCTCTTCGACACCAGTTACCTATAGCCGACTATCCCTCCGGCAGTTACTAGGTACCTATGTATGATATTATAATTTCTCTACTAGATACATCCGCAGTCGCTACTTTTAGATCGAAGTTTCCTTTCTACTTAAGCGGGTACGCAGCACTAAACGCAGTATAGTCGTTGCTGTGGCTCCTTCCCCTATCGTATCCTTTCGAAAGGCATCCTCTATTTATAACCAAACCTTCAATCCTTTCCTTTCCTTTTCTTTTCCTGCTTCCTTCCACCCTTCATCCACTTCTTCACTTCTTCATCCGCCTACCCAATCCCCTCACATGCCACTTCTGACTTAGTCTAATCGCTGAGTGTATCACACTTGAGTGTTCCGGTATCCTCTAAATTCCCTTAACACAATACGAACAACTTACCAAAATGTTCGGAAAGGGAAGCCTCGAGGATGCCAAGGCACTCCAAGCCTCTTTCTCGAGGGCAAAATCACCACGACGCCGAGGTGGAGCACGTACCGCAGGTGCGAGAACCAATGCGGCCAGACCGCAACAAGGTTACAAGAATAACGCGAGACCGGAGCCGTTTGGTCAGCACGGCTATTCTCAACAGCATGAGAACAGTCAACACTACGGAAATCCCCAGCAGCAAGGAAATCTTCGACAGCAAGGAAATCGCCGACAACAAGGGGGCCCTCGACAGTATGGTAATTCTCAGCAGGACAGTCAGTTCCTGGCTGGCCACGGCCCTTACACACCCCTTAGCCAACGCCAACACCAGCCTTTCCCGGAACCACAGCGTCGCAACAACGACCTGCTAGACTTTAACCGTCCTCTTCAATCTCCATACTCTGCTCAGCGACAGGAGAACATCCCCCCGCAGCAATATCAACAGGCCGCCCCTAGTCCCATTGCTCAATCTAGTCCCGCTACCACCCGAAGTGACAAATCGATCCTTGATGAGCCGCAGAATCAGACCAGCCAGACGGTCATGCAATTCACAAGTAAGGAAGAATCTCCAGTTGCTCAGAAAGCTGACTTAGCCATGAATGGTGCCGGTGAGGCAAGTTCCGTTCGTAAAGCACCTCGATACGGAGGCCTCAGCTCCTCACGATGGAACACCGATCACGTCAAGCACGTCGGAAAGTTCACTCTGGATTTTGACAACGATTCGCAAGAAGAGGAACGCGACGAGACGCGAAGCGAACCCCTACAACGCGAGCAACGTGAGCAACGTGAGCAACGCGAGCAACGTGAGCAACGTGAGCAACGCGAGCAACGTGAACAACGTGAGCGACATGAGCAGCGTGAGCAGCGTGAGCGACATGAGCAGCTTGAGCAGCTTGAGCAGCGTGACGAGCATGACGAGATCCGAGACAACTCGAAACGACGCGGACTAGCCTCTCCTGGTCGTATTGTAACCAATGGATTCGCGCAGGGCCCCGGTCTCTGCTCTTCTCGTTGGGCCTCTTAAAGTCGCCATTATTGATGAACGATGTTCCAGGCAGCAAAGTCCTATTTTCTGTCACAACAAGCTATTGGCTGCACATCCATTCATCCTAACATGTGTACCTAAACTATTAGGTTCGCATAATTCTACGTATAACGAGAAGGGGTTCTGGACGAATTAATCATGTGTATGGATGTTGATGAGCATATTGAGATGCGACACCCCTCTACTAGGATTGACGATAATTCTCAAGGTATGAGAAACACCCCTTTCGATATTATAATATTGACGATCCATTACTAACAATTTTCATTTGCCAGGAACCCTACCGACGAACAAGAGAAGGAGGCTTTAGTCTCTCTGGATAGGTATATACGATGTTGATATATCACGCCGTTCTTTTCAGGGAAGGACGGGGGAATATCAACCTTGACGGACTATACTCGAGGCACATGTCCTTTTCTTTTTCTTTTGCTTTTTACTGCCATCACTAGTTACCGACGAGAGAGGCTGGTTACTGGGACTAAGTGATGGATTACTGAACTGCATGAAAACGTGGGTCAAGGAAACCGAGAGCACGCAAGGAACGTATGCGTGTCGATCGTTGCGGTACATAACCCCTAGCCACAAGGGGATATAATACTATTTCGTTGCCCATGATGATATTATCGTATGAAGTGACTTTGTAAGCATTCAATTTAGCAGTGAACACACAAACTCAAGGTGGTCGTCATATATGTATATTGATACTCTACTACGGTATCCCAAACCATCCCATCCCATCCCATCCCAAGTCCTCCCTCTCCCCGTTAACCAACTACCTAGACGCTTCCCCCCACCCCATTTCCAACCTCACCTCTCCGTCGCCCTAGCCAAACTCTTCTCAACAAGCCTCACCCCCTCCCTCACCTTCGGACAATAATGCCGTCTCAGGATCTCCCCCTCCCACACCGTCGTCGCGAATGGATTACTCGCCTCAACACCCTCGCTCAACGGGTTAAATCTCCCATCACCCTTCCGCTCCTCCGTATTCCATAGCGCGCCGATCTTACGGCCGTGGGTGCTAGCGACGTCGGAGAGTAGCGCCAGCATTGCTTGCGCAGACTTCTCCGGCATGTGCAGCGAGGATGTGCAGAGCTGCTTTGCGAAGGCGGCGATGCGGAGGGGAGGTACGGAACGGATGTTCCAGGAGGGGAGGAGGATGGCGGTTAGGCAGCGGATTAGGAGGACCGTTGTTGTTTGTAGGTTTACTTTGTTGCGCGCGGTGGTGGCGGTGGGGTAGGTCGATGGCTTGTCTGGGTCGGGGAGGTGGAGCGAGCGTGCGCCGAGTTCGAGGTCGGGGTTTAGGGAGAGTGGGAAGAGGGTTTGGTAGAGGTGCGTGGTGAAGAAGGATAGGTCGAGGTGTAGGTCTGCGCGGGCGTTGTGCGCGTCCTGGCCTGCGAGGAGCGCGAATGCGGTTGTGGTACAGAGGAGGGCTTCGCGTGAGGGATTGCGGACCGGTCCCGTTTCGTCTGCATCGTCGTCTCCTTTTTCATCTTCTCCTTCTGCGTCGTCTTCAGAGGCTTCGCTGTGTCGGATGAGATCCTTAAGGGCTTCGAGAAGGTCGCCGAAGAAGTTTTGATTTATGAGATGCGCGTATTTAGACAGACCCTCTAGGACGGCGCCCATGAGGTTTGGCACGCGAAGCTTGAGGATTCGGAAATATGTGCCGAATACGAGTTTCAAGGTCTCGCCCTCTTTTCTTTCTCTTTCCTCGTAGCTCACCACTGCATCAGCTTGTGCCATGTCCTTCTGTAGAGACTTCTGTTCCTTGATGTGTTTCCGTTCTCGCTTAGTTCGGAAATCCCTCTTTGATTTAGGCTTCTTAGGGGCAGCGGTGCTGTCTGAGCGGTCGACAGAATCCTTAGACGCTTTATGGGAGAATTCTGATAACAGACGGAGGTGTAGGAAGAGATTGACTACGCTTTCGTGCACATCGTACTCCTTAGCCCTCATCATCTTGGAAAGGAGAGAGACGGCTTCCATAGACGGGGAGCCGTCCTCATCCTCTTTGAAAAGAGTCTCGAGCGTTTGGAGGCACTTGTTAAAATCGTCATCGATATGCCTGTTGGAGAGCTTTCCCACGAGAATCTTAATTAGATCGCCCCGGAAATTGAAATGGGGTACTGCGGTCAACAGTGTGCAAGCACACATGATGGCAACGCTTGCAACACTCTGGCCCTTGCCAACGCCTGCATGGTGGCGTCCAGCCTTGGCGTGCCTAGTGAGATCCTTCACATACGCCTGATAACCCGAGATGAGAGAGTTTTCAAAGGTCCGTACTCTCCTTACATCTTTCGACAGTTTCTCCTCCGGTGCATCTTCCGCCACAGGCCGTATTCGATAGCCGGGAATGACATCTTTATAAACGGCCAGCTGTGTGGCCAGGGTAAGTTTTTGTATAGCCGGGATTCTAGACTGTCCTATCCTCGCTAAGGCCTTGAAAGCGCCTCCATTCTCCTCGGGAGTCTCGTTAAGCAATAGAGCTATTTTCGCCAGTTCCTCTTTGGCTTCCCGGATCTGTTGATGTTCGGGTATATCAGGTTTCTCAGGTTGCTTAACCCTCACTTCCTCAGACTCAGACTCATCGCCACCCTCTAACCAATCGTCGTCACTTTCGAGAGAGCCAAAGTCAACAGCTGGCGCGGAGACATGTTGCACGCGTCCATCCTGAAGTTTGAGAGGAAGTCGGGTACTCTCCTTCTCCTTCTTTCCCTTCCTGGCTTTTGTCTCATAGTCCTGCTCTAAGTCCCAATTTGCAGCATTTGACAAGAATGACTTTTGTATCTTTGCGCTAGATTTTCGAGATGAACCCTCGTCATCTGATTGAGGCGGAGTGAGTTTCCTCTTCTTCGTGGGTCTTGAAGCCATTTTCGGGTATAATTATTGATTATAAGAGAATGAAAGCTCAGAACTCATTTGAATCTGATCAAGAAATTCAAAATTTCTAAGATTTACAGGGGTCCCTGTACTATATACCCACTTATATAGTATTTAAACCAATCGGAGTAATTCCGCTGTACTTGGTACCTCTCTTACCGCCAAAATTTCGAAGTGGCAGAATTTTTTCCTACATCTAAAGTCCCCACCATCAATCTGCATAGCAAATTCACATCTGGAGCCGGAAAAGACGAGATATAATCATAATGAGGCCACTCACAGAACCAGAAACGAAAACTCTATTCGAGAAGTTGGCGAACTACACAGGAAACTCGCTAAAGAACCTAATTGCGCCTCTTGACGACTCACCCGACGCCGATCGATATGTCTTCCGTCTGAATCGCGACAGAGTATACTACGTGCTGCTCTCCGTCGCAAACTTAGCTACGTCGATATCAAGGGATAGTCTTGCGTCGCTAGGAATTTGTCTAGGTTAGTCGCTTACCTCCCCAACCCATCTCTGAGAAAAAGCCATGGCTAACAAAAATTGCGACAAACAGGCAAGTTCACCAAATCGGGCAAATTCCGCCTGCACATCACGGCCCTCCCCATCCTAGCCGAGCACGCGCGATACAAGTTATGGATCAAGCCTAACGGCGAGATGCCCTTCTTATACGGTGGAAACGTCGTAAAAGCCCATGTCGGTCGCTGGTCTGACGACTGCCCCAGCCATCAAGGAATCGTCGTATACAGCATGTCCGATACGCCTCTTGGTTTCGGTGTCACGGCTCGTAGCACAGCTGAAGCTAGGAGATTAGACCCGACAGGTATCGTGTGTTTTAGACAAGCCGATTGTGGAGAGTATCTTAGAGACGAAGATACGTTATTTGCTAGTTGATAGAAGAGAGCTTTACTTGGTTTACTTGGAGAGTGATGAGGTAGAGGATGTATAGATACCAAAAGTAAAAGGCTAAAAAAGGCCCGGAGTTTGGGATTGGCTTGAGATGTGTGCATTTCAGAGGCGTTCAAGGTTATCTACAAGTAATCTATGACTTTGTCCAATTTCTATATTACTCCAATGCCAATTAGTGAATTTTGCCTTATCTAAGTGCTGAGTGTTCAGCAAGATCATTTTTGTACTTCCTATAACTCCGACGCCGTTCATTCATGATCCCTATAAATTGATGTCATTTTCATACGCCGCCACCCCTCCGTTCTCATTCAATTTCTCCAAAACAGGCGTAACGGGTCGGCTCTCCCTATGGAGAAGGCTGATGCTCTCCCGATCCGCCACATACTCGCTGTCGGCGTAGCCTAGAAGCGTCCCGATTTGTGCGCTTCGATGACCTTTTATTCGAATGATCTCAGGGGCAGCGTAGTTGACTAACGCTCTCCCAACTTCGTTCCCCGGACCTTCCCACAATTTACCATCTGGTCCGGGTTCCGATAATCTCTTTACCACAACAAGTCGGACGGCTTCTTGCTGCGCAAAATGCCCTTCTATGTCCAACACGCCTACCGGTAACAGTCCGGCTTTGTCTGCAAGGGCCTGGTGTGCGCCAGCATCGATATAAATCGTACCGTGTGGGGCTAGACCGTGAAGAATCCAGAAGTATCGATCCCTAATTGGATGGGAGAAGGGGAGGAATCGTGTATGCAGAGGGGGTTTTTCTAGTGCATCAATATTCAGCGACGCCGTTGATCGGGATAGATGTTCATCTTCACTAGCTGTCGGCGAGTGATGTGACGAGGTATGCTTTTTGCGAGCCTGGACATAGCGAACGATCTTTACGATATTTCCAGGCGATGACGATCGGGTGATAACGGTAGTGACACCAGCAGATGTTGCGAGCCTAGCGGCAACAATCTTTGTACTCATGCCACCAGTTCCCAGGGAAGATCCGGCACTAGAAACTGGGGTTACGTTAAATTTAGGATTTTTTTATTATTATTCCAGGGGGTCACTTACCATCGGCGCGGATTGCACTGATATCCTCCACTTCCTCTATAGGCTGAGCATCAGGATGTGTCCGTGGATTCTTGTCGTACAAGCAATCGACATCCGTCATTAAAAACAGGAAATGGGCGTGTACCATGGCTGCAGTGATGGCTGAGAGTGTATCGTTATCTCCGAATTTGATTTCAGCCACAGCTAAAGTATCGTTCTCATTAACGATTGGTATAACACCCATTTCTAGGAGCTCCATCATGGTGTTCTGGGCATTTAGATATCTTGTTCGCTATTTCATCATATTAGTAAATACCCCTTAACCCTTTGGAGTAGAAGATTTAACTAACATCCGCAATATCGTTTCTGGTTAGGAGAACTTGAGCGATGGGTTGACGGAGATGTCCAAAGAGACTATCCCATAGGCTCATTAAGCGGCATTGTCCAATTGCAGCAAGTGCCTGTAATTTAGACAAATGCTTTGGTCTTTTGTCGACGTCCATTCGTCGAAGACCGACGCCAATGGCGCCGGAAGAGACAATGACAACCTTGTGTCCATCTTTGCGCAACTTAACAGCTGTCTCAACTATGAGGGTTAAAATTGATAAGAGAGGCTCATGAGTCTTCTCATCAACAATGGAACTAGTTCCTGTGTATAAGTTAGCTCACCGTCTAAAGATTTTCCTGTACAATGTTACATGAATTTGAAGTTTTGACTCACCTAATTTGATGACAACAGTAAGTGGCTTAGGACCCTTCATATCTGCTATTATTCCAACAACATTAGCTACCTATGACAACTACAACTTTCAACAAACATTTTCGCAAAACAACTCGTTTAAAGAATCCGACATTTTACATATCCATACGTAATGTGGACTGGTCACTTACAAGGCGTACCCCCTGGCTCTGCCATGGCGGTAGGGCGCGAGTGCGTTGTGCTGCAGGGGAATTGGATCGATGTGGAGCTTGCCCAAGGTATTTTACGGCAACAGGTCTCTTAAAAGGGCAATGAACTGGCCGGTTGCTGCTGCTAGTTTGCGTACATGCCAGTGGAATAATCGAAGCTTTCCAAGCTCTAATTGGGCGACGACCTGTACGGTGTAACCCCGGCCGAAATCGGAATTTTTAGAAAAGCCTGACTTTTACCTTTTTTGCTCCGCAAAGGCCCGCAATTTTTAGCTAGCACTTGGGGATGTCAATTGCAGTTGCAAGGTTCAACCAGCTAGACAACTTAAAAAGTTACCAACCTTCAACAAACCAGCCCACGATGTCGTCGCCGTCGCAATCGTCAGAACCTCCTGTCGCCGGGACACCGGTCGCTTCCACGCCCACCGCCCCATCATCCTCCTCACCCGACTCCTCCCAACCCGACAACTTCCCCCGCATCCTCACCAACGACCCAGCACGAACAGGCTTCGACCCACAGACGGCATGGTGGATAAACTACTTCAAGATCCTGACAGGGTCGATGACCAAAGAAGGCGCCTTCCACTACCGGGAATCGCGGTACCGGGAGCACGAAGCGCGGGACTGCGCGCGGTGCGAGGAGTTCCGGGACTGGGCGTTCGCGTACTCGCCGACGGTGCGGTTCCTGCACGAGAAGATCAACGCGCTGAACGGGAACCTCGACGCCAGCAACGTCTCGTGCAAGCGGTGTCCGACGCGGCTAACGGAAGACGGAAATGTGTACCGCTCGAGCGGCGGCTTCCACCCCAGCCACGGCATCCTGATCTGCGCGAACGAGGTCTCGAATCGCCACCATTTTGAGGATATCCTGTCTCATGAGATGGTGCATGCTTGGGACCATCTGAGGTGGAAGGTTGATTTCATGGCGGAGAAGGGGTTGAAGCATGCGGCTTGTACGGAGGTTGGTTACCTATTATCTACTCTCTACTCATGATTTAGGAGAGTGTTCTAACACGGCTTTGACAGATTCGAGCGGCGATGCTTAGCGGCGAGTGTAGATGGACGAGAGAGGCGTGGAAGAGGGGGAATTGGACGTTGACACAGCAATTCCAGGACTGCGTACGGAAAAGAGCAGTACTATCTCTCTTAGCTCGGCCGAAGTGTAAGGACGATGTACAAGCAGTCAAAGTGGTGAATCAAGTGTGGGATTCATGCTTCTCAGATACTCGGCCATTTGACGAAGTCTACAGATAAGCATGGGCGAAAACATTCGAAAGATCTCTGTAACTATTACCTGTAACAACATATATCTCCATGGCAGGAGTTAAGGCAGGGTAAAATACGAAGTGATGAGTAATGATTAATCGTTTTATTAACAATGAGAATGACATGCTTGATAGGTTCCGACTCCGTTCCCATTATGCAGATTTCCCAGCCAGATTGTCCTTGTCCAAACGCCTAGTGCTAAAGTTTACAAGTGAAGGCATTCCGTATCTCATTGGTGATCATTAGTGCGATCTCTCCCTATTTGCAGCCCGCTCCCCCTTGATGCAGTGCTTCGTAATCCAGGGATGGCTCGCGACTTGATCCAATGGGATTCTCTTCTCAGGGTCAAGAACTAGTAACTATACGTTCGTTAGCAGATATATCTTTATAAAGATTTAAGGCAACTCACCCTCTTGATCAGATCCCTCGCCTCAGCACTGACGAACGAAGGAATAGACATATCTGCTTTGGCAATTCTTCTTTGTGTCATAACGGGCGTATCCTCAAATGGCGCCTCACCGACTAGAAATTCGTAGGTCAACACCCCCAGACTCCACAGGTCCACCTTCTCATTATAGAAGTTATCCGAGCTACCCGGCCTCAACATCTCTGGTGGAAGGTAGTCCAAAGTACCACACATCGTCTGTCGTCTGCTGTTTGGTGCATGAACACTCCAGCCGAAATCGGAGATCTTGATCTCGCCGTGAATCCCCATGAGGATGTTCTCGGGCTTGATGTCTCGGTGGATAACATGTTTTCGGTGTAGATATCGCAGCGCGCTCGCCATCTGGGCGATGTACTGGGAGGCTTTCCATTCGGGAAACCGATTTTCTTTTCTCAAGTGCTTGTACAATTCACCCTTTCCGGCGAACTCCAAAATAAGGAAGACCCGCTTGCTATCATGGAAATGACCGAACAGCTGTAGAATGTTGGGATGTCTCAGGTTGCTCTGAATCTCAATCTCTCGCCTCACTTGCTTCTCCACCCGGCCGTGCTGCAACTCGCTTTTATGTAGAACCTTGAGGGCGCAAATAAAACCGCTCGTGCGTTCACGTGCGAGATAAACTCTTCCGAATTTTCCCTTTCCTAGAGGCCGCCCTATCTCAAACATGCCTAGGTGAAATTGTTTTGGTGAGAGCACCTGTTCAATCAGACTAGCTGACTTTCGCTCGACCAGTGCTTTTTCATCTGATGCTCTGGATGCTGCACTCGCTGTAGGAAGTGGTTTTCTCGTAGGTGAGGGAGGCTGGGCACCTTTACGCTGCGCGGCTTGGGATGGGAGAGTGACGGTGGTGACGGTATTTGCACCCTGAGATTGCAGAGCGACCTTGTATAGATTCGGACGACTCGAACTTTTTGTAAGCTGTGTCGTCGTCACAGTAGTCTATTCGAGTATAAGAAACATAATCACTAGAATCATACAATTTTGTGATGCTTTAGCTTACCTTGGATTTCTGGTTCTGAATCTCCAACTCGTTCTCGTCATTAACGGACATGCGCTCAAAGCAAGCCTCTAGAGTTCGAGCAGCCATCTTTCTCAAATGGTAAGCCGGTTGGCTTATAAGTAAGAGATCCAAGCGTATCTGTATGTAAGAGTATATTGGTGATTTATTTAGTTTATTTCGAAGGTTAATGATGAGTAGATAGAGAGAAGTAGCGGAAAGTTACGAACAGAATTAAAGTTTGGGGATCATTGAGCTTGTGGTCCATTAAATTAGTGGTTTGTATTGTTTTTGAGGGGAACCCTTGCTTTGGTTGATCCAGCAACTGACACCGCTGTGGCTCCACTGAATCCACCCAGCTAACCAATCACCAATTCCGCTATTAGTTGACACCATGCACCCATTTTTGGTCCCTTATTTGGATGTAGATAGCGCCCGTTCCTGCTTCCTAATCTCCTAATCTCCTAACTTCCAGCTCTATCTAAGCCACTATCACCAATACAATAAATAAAACATGAGCCACACCCTTTTTTTATTGTCGATCGAGCAAGGCAGACAAACAATACCAGGGATTGAGGATAACTAGCCTTAGTATTAAAAGAACGTCTGTTGGAAGTCTTGAAACAGCAACAACCCACGAGTCCCTAAATCAAGGGACGTCTTCAGGGGATCTTCCACAACGATTGATTTTCTAGACTTCATCTACCCAACAGAAAAACATCACTTCAAGAAAATCTATCAAGTCGTTTTTTATCTCATCAACAATACAGGGTCTACACGATTTCCCCTGATATAGTCAATCTTATCTCGTCGTCTATGTACGGATCTAGTCGATTATTCCATAATCCTGGCGGATTAACCATAGCGGATTCTTAATTCAGATAATATCAGTGTTACCGAAATGCCGTTGGCCAAGATAAACGAAGTTTAAAACACCTAACCCTGATGGGGTACCCGATGATTTCTAGGGAGAAAATATGCCTACTGAGCCCTCAAGAGGATGCGCTTACATGGCTGAGTATGACCCACTAGTGCCATCCTGCGGCGTGTAGCCTACTTTTCTCCCAGCGGTCACTGAATTGGTGCTAGTTATCCATGTGCTCGGTGCCTCTATTAATATTAACGATCTACTACTTAAAAGATGGGTAAACCACTGTGGAGTGCAGAGATGCCGGCCTGCATGTGCATGATATTCTCGCGGCTCTCGAATACAACCACCGGCAGATATCATGATAGCGACTTCGAATGGGATCACCAACTAGCGACGCGATAAACTGGTGGGCGGCAGCCCACATACTCGCCATCTTAGGTCAACTCGCCTTGTGTGTCGTCGGCACTGTATCTTTTGTCTTCACTCGGCCAAATAACTACAATGGCCATATTCCATCTGACGATGAGTTTTGGGACGATGTCGACCACCGCACCGTGATACCCTGGGTATCTGCAGCAGTAGTGAGCACTTAGATGGTCCCCGAAATCACTAGACCAGAACTAACTAGTCGACAGGGCGCTGCCACAACGTTCTTCAACATCGTCTTGTTTATTGCTCTGTGGAAAACATATGGTCCCGACAGGCAACGCCGTCTCATGAGATCGATTGGGCCATTCAGGAATACAGTCCTAATTGGATCCTCAGTCCTCTCGCTGGTCCTTGTCGCCGATATAGCTCTTGCAGTGAAATCAGGCTTGGCTCATCGTAATAGTATATGTGCTACAGCTTCCATTGCCAGGTGAGTGTCTAACCTAACTATTTCCCCAGTTAATCATAATTTGTCCAGGGGCCCGGCTAATCTTCATCGTTTGTAGTGTCTTCATCACCCTAACAATATGTATGGATTTGTTGCGGTTACGAAACCTCTATAAGGACAAGAAGAAGGACACTTACATCATAGAACTCGGTCAGTTTAGCGGAGATGATATGTCAGGACCCATTGGAGCACCTCCTCCGTACGAAGCGGTAGCTGGATCTCGGTAGCGGAAGGGGTCGGTGTTCAGTGGAATATAACACAAGCCAGTATACTATATAGGCTGCCTAGTTGGATATATGATTACTAGGTATTCTCTGGATTCCTATATGAGACAACAATGCTTAAATGATTTTTATGAAAGGGAGACATCGTAGGAGCCTATGCGTAGCGCCCATATGTACGAAGCCACATCTACGTCATAGAAATACAGAGACAGCCACACCCATTCACTAGCCACGTTTATCGATAAAGGTGCTGAGATAATCTACGAAAGCTTCGTCTTTTCAAGAAAGTTCAGAGCATCAAAGCATAACCATAGGTTTTACCAACCCTACTCAAGAAACGCCACCATGACTTCCGACTCACTTGTGTCAGAGCTTAAGCATCAAGTCCAGGAATCACATAATCTTGAAAATGCGAAGCAATTGATAGAAGTATGCATCTTAACTCCGTGCCCCACCAGCAACATTTTGCGATGCGAGAGAACTAACCATACCTTGCGACGCAGAGACTCAACGAACACTGCTTCGAAAAATGCATACCCAAGCCAGGCACGACGTTATCGAACAGCGAGAAGACTTGTCTAACATCATGCATGGATAAATACTTGAACGCGTGGAATCTGATTAGCACGGTACACATCACCCGCTTGCAGCGGGAAAGGTGAGTAAGTTGCATTTTCAAACATCTAGTTGCACCCGATCATTCCTAATCGTGATATATTAGATCCATAGTCAATGGCCAAGTCGTTCCGGTTCAAAACCAGTGACGAAAAGCGAGCGACCTTACGGTTTCGGAGCAGTGGGGATATAGAGTGTACATTACATGAGGCAATGACTTCAAGATGGATATTCTGTCTTGATTAGATTCGGAATGGGTATATGGATTCCGCTTATGATTTCTCTGTAGTCGCCTTTTTCTTGGCTTCTTCGGCTTCCCTCTTGCGCGCAAGGTATCTCTCCCGGGCGCTCGAGACGTCGGACTCGGTCTTGCGGCTCTTCGCTGCGCGTTCGACCTTTTGCTTCTCCGCCTCCTCTTCCTCCATGGATCTCTTGAGAGACTGCTCGAGCTGCGCCTCGAGCATCCGGGTTTGCCTTTCACGCATAGCTTGTTTCCCGCCAGCGCCGACAAAGCCGCGCGACGGACCTCGGTCGTCTCTGCGATCTGGCCCCTTGCTCGTCTCCTTTCGGGGTTCTTGTTTTTTAGTCGCACCTAGATTCAGACCACCTTTCAATAACAGGCGCTTGTCCACTACCTGGCCCTCTTCGTTGATGGCAATAGAACCGCCCTTCTCGTTGATCTCTCTCGCCACGTCCGCATCGGTCTTGACCTTCTCCTCTTCCGCCTCGTCCTCTTTAGGGCCTGCCTTTGCGCGCTCTTCCGCCGCCTTAACTACTTCTGCGTGTTGTTGATCGCCTCTTTCTAGTAGGTCCTTGTAAAAAGCAGTCATGCCGCCTCCTTTATTCTTCTTAGCTTCCTCTTCTTCGCGCTTACGTTCCTCTTCCTCGATGCGCCGATTCTCCTCTTGCTGTTTCTTGTATGCTTCTGTGACAAACTTCTCTTTGTCGGCGTATTCTTCTCCCTCCTCTGTCCGTTCCCGCGCAATCTTCTTCTCTTCGGCAATCAGGGCGTCGCGTTTTCGTATGGCAGCGGACGCGATGAGGTTCTTCATATACTTCGGTTTCCTCTCGATATCTTCTTGTGTGACCTTCTTTTCTGGTTTTAGCGATTCGTAGACCGCGTCGTAGTCGTATATTCCAGGATCTAATTCTTCTGCGGCTTCTTGGTGTTTGCGCGATTCTAGCGAACTTGATAAATCGCCGTACATTGATATTTGTGTTTTCTTGCCTTTGCCGTTCGGGGGCTGAGACGGCGGGCCATTGTTCGACTTAGACAGCGACTTTTTGGTTGACTGTAAATTCGGGGATTCTGTCGTAAAATCGTCTATTTCAGATATATTGGTCGCTTGGGGTCCAGTGCTCGGATCTTTCGCATCGTTGTCCGAATCGTCATCACCACCAAACATTGGCTTCCTTTTCGGGGGAGCTGGTTTTGAAGCGCCGGGTTTCTTGGCGCGATTGAGGCCAAACGAAAAGCCTGGTTTGCTCATATTTGAATCTCCGAGATATCTTCTTAGAATACCTTACGTAGCAAAGATGTTCCGATTGGATTTGTTAAATCGATTCCTACTAAGTAGCCGGAAATGACCACTACGACCAGAGAGATGTTGAAGCTTCCAAGTTTGTACATACCTTGCAGCGCGTACAGTACAAAAGACTCCCCGATTAGATAAGATTAAGCTTAATCTTATCAGTGTGCATACTATGTACATATGTACATACTAAGTATATGTACCTAGTACCTACAAATACACAAATTCCATATATACCATAAAGGGAAAATATGGTTTTTAAAGATGGTTATTTATTATTATGAAATTATTTTTAAAAGGGAAATAACGGTTATTTTTAAAAAAATAATTATTTTTAATTAAATAATGTTTTTTTTTAATTAATAACGTTTTTTTAAATTAATAACGTTTTTATTAATTTTATAATTATTTAAATTTTTATAATAATTATAATAAATATTTTTATAAAAAAATTAAATAATTAAATAATATTATTAAAATTTAAAAATTATATAAAACTTAAAAAAAATTTTTAAAATAATTAATTATTTTTTTATATATAATTTATATATATATATATTATAATAAATTAATTTAATTTTATATTTTAATAAATTAATTTAATTTTATATTAAATTAATTTAAATTTATTTATATAAAATATTTTTAATAAATTAAATTTAATAAAAATAAAATAAATTAATTTAAATATAAATAATTTTAAAAATAAATTTATTTAAATTAATTAATAAATAAATAAATAAATAAATAAATAAATAAATTAATAATTTAATTACGTTAAATTAATTTATTTATTTATTTATTTTTTAATTTATAATAATTATTTTATATAAATATAATTATATAAATTTTAAATATAATAATAAATTAAATTTTTTTATTTTTAATTAAATTATCGTTATTAAAATAAAAAAACGTTATTAATTAAAAAAATATTATCGATTAAAAAACCATTATCAAGGTAAAAACGGTTATCCCCTAATTAAAACGTTATTAATGGGTTAGCCGTTTTTTAGTTTAATAACCGTTCTTAAATTTCATATATTACCACTGCGGTATATACATGTATCTAAGTGCATACTTAATTCCTTAACAACCTTTCTAACATACTCCTCGGTAATCTAATTCAAAAACTGGATAGGTAATAAGAGAGAAATATAATAGGAAGGATGAAGTCTCTGAAGGATGAAAAATATGATACTTGAATATGTATAGGCAACAAATTACCTATGTATCGGATTAACGATTGTGAACCCCGAGCAATAAGGAATGACATATGATGAGACCTACAGCGTCATGCAACAGCTCAGATTGACAGGAAAGAAAGTTCCAGCTACGAACTAGAACCCCACCTAATCTCACAAACACCGGCCGAGGCTTCCTAGGAGTTCATGTAACTTGACGTTTCCCTGCCTAATAGGCAGATATATTACATATTCCCCTTTAATACAAAATTTCCCCCATCAATGGTGATACTAACTGCGGGATAAAAACTTCTTTGTTAATTCTCACTCGTATTAAGCAGTATAGCAATGGTATCATCCAAAACTTATCAGAGAATCCAGGATTGGATCAGTCAACAGCAAGAATATGAGGCAACACACTCAGAGCCTGCCCCATTGACAGAGGCCCAACGAAAACTGCTAGAGAAGCTCGAGATCTCCTTACCGCCGGAGATGCCACCTACGCCAGAGCCGGAGTTGGGTGAACCTAACTGGATCGGTGTTCTACAAGGTATATATTACTCGTCCCCAAAGTACAGTCTTGCGAAGAGCTTCCCGGTTCTAACATTACTCAGAATACCGAGCTGCTCGCCAAAAATTGCCTTCGGGCATTCCCGGAGGTGACTTTATGGAAGAGCCAGGTCCAACCGTAGGTGGCGAATTAAAATGGTACTGCCGGGTGAAGATCGACGAGAACGCAGAGCCATTTCCCGGTCCAAATGGTGGTTTAGTAAACGGAAAGCAGCCTTATTTTGGGCGTAAGAAAGACGCCAAGAAGTACGCAGCCAAATGTGCGGTAGAATGGCTTAAGACAAACGGATACATGTATCGATCCGAGACCAATGCCATGAAATCTACGCAAGCCTCTCAAGCCTCCCAACCCCCTCAACCTCCTCAACCGCCGAGGCCTCAGGTTACACCACAGTCTACACCGGCAAAGAAGAAACCGAAGCTCTCATCACCTTCACCCAAAAATCCCGCAAGCGCCACCGCCAAATCCGAGCTCAATGGAGCACCGGTGCTCCCCACTTCCCCCTTCAACAGTGATGAGATATCAGCCGTAGTCGAGGTCGATCGACTCTGTGCCCGTCTCGGCATGCCTGGCCACCTTCAGTATAGAATCACAGAGGGCTCCGAGAGCGGGTTCTATAACGGTTATGCGGACTTAGGCATACTGAGCACGAAATTTCCCATAGGCGCCGGCCGCGTGGAAAACGTCTTAGGCAAAAAAGCGGCCAAGGAGCAGATTGCAGAGCAACTGTTGGTACAGTTACGTAAGCAAGCCGCCGAACACGACGAAGCGGATAAGCGCTATTATCTAGAAAACCTACCGTCGAAGAAGGACGAGGTGCAAGTTCCGGCTTAGTCAGGAGCGCGGCTAAGGGATGACTTGGTGCGGCTTGTGTTATACTTGGTGTGTTGAGTCTTCATGACTGGAATGACTAGACTACAAACACGGACGGGAATGGGTTCAACTTTAGAATATGATATCCAGTGGCAACTCAACGGGCGAGGGGCTACATGGTGTACATGCTACGACTTCTTAATGAAAAAGAAAACATGAGTATATATATTTGTTCCTTCTCTTCATCTGATATTCTACATGAGCCATATTAAGGATAACAGTTCTCGTAATTCAACTAACCCAAATCATGCTCTGATGAGGAATGAGACGGTACGTTTTCTGTTCATCATAACTTCCTGTGATACATGTCACTCTTGGTTCATCTTGTCAGTGTTACTAAACCATCTCCAGTCAATACAAACCCACGTGTTCGAAGACCTCTTAAGTCCCCAGGTGTGTAGGTAACTTGTCGAACGAAGCTGGTGAGTTGGACATATGAATAGCTGACTGACCGAGCCTCTAGGATAATTCTTTACTTAACAAATACTTATGGAATAGGAAATGTTCTGCTTGTATCGAAAATCCGCTCTTTTCTTCTCTTTAAATTCTCAGGTCTCGCCATAATTATCAACATAACCGGGTCATTTATACCCATAATCGATCTAGACTGGGAGACGACAACATTTTCAAGACTTATCTCAATAGATAGTACAACATGAAGGTCGCAATCTACAATTATGCTGTCCTTCTCTCCTGCTTGAGGGCCGCTTCTGTTGTGGCGTCGACCTCATTCAGTCACGACATATGCCCCTCCTGGTACCTCCGTCAGGGAAAGTTTGATAACAGACAAGATCCTGTCGTTGAGCTTACTGCTACCTGCTTTACCGGCAACACCACTTCCAACGAGTATCGCACAAGCAGATTGGACCTTGACCCGTAAGTCTCTATACCAAGTACTCTCATTCTTGGAGAGTTCCCATCATACATTAAATATACCCAGAGTGGCTAACGACAAAATTTCTATTTTCTTTCGTGTAGATGCTTTACCAACCATAACGGGGACCTTGAAGCAGCCGTTTCCGGCTCATCCAACGAGCCGGGAAGGTTTACCAGGACGTGCTCCGCCTGTGCTCTGGATCTTGAGGGACCCGATGGAGACGACGGGAAGACCTGGCATGTATTTTTACGTTGTATCTGTGCTAAACATATGGGGCTTGGTTGGGGATCCGTCCAGATCGGTAAGCCCACATTATATTCCCCTGTTTAAGAACACGAGAGCGGATCTCTCTTCTAACATTTTCTCGAAACTAGAAAAAGGAATCAATGTCAACGACGGCATTCTAGGCTGTATGAACTACCCAGGGTCAGAAGTTCCATATTCTTCTAACGCCAATCCGGCCATGCTTCCGCCCCCGGGCACTACAACATTGACCACGACGGCAACTGCCAACAATACCGTTACCGTTACCAATATTAGCACAGCTGTTTCCAATGCGACTATTTTCAATACCGCTACTCAAACGGCTATCTCCACGGTTATCAGCTCTTGCCAGTCGCCCAGCCCGGTCACGGTCACGAAAACTCGTAAAGGAAAGGCTCATAAGGTAACAGCCACCACGACAATGGTAGAAACGCATCCCGTTACAGTCCTGGTTAGCATTATGGTGACGCCCACTCCGAAGCCCACGATAGATGCTCAGCTCCACTCGACTGTCGTGGCGGATTTTACGACCATCAACAAGTAGCCTGGCTTTCTAATAGTCTACGCTGGCAGAGGCACATAACTGGATATGGGAATGATGTGTTTGGAGTTGGCTAAACATTGCATGGGAAGCATTTTATATCAGTCTCGGGCAGGAATATTTGGTTCACCTTATTCTTCTTAATTTCTACATAGGTGGCAGGCACCACGGTTTATTTACCCCGGAAGGGCTTGCGGTCACCATATGATACCCCTATTTTACGAATATTACCTACCGTTTAGGCAGTCTGGGGATCAGAAGCTTGATGGATGACTTGCGAAAGAATAGATGAATTCATATGGTTCTTTAATACAGCACCTATTTAATCGCAGGTGCCATCGACCATGGTATAGATATTCTAATAATGCTTTAGGGGATGCTTTAAATATTTGCCATTCTGTTATCATAGGTTTGAGTTGAACCCGCAGGATTAGGTATCAAACAACTTCCATCAACATTCGGAAGGTCGAGTCACAATGCGGAATATGAGTAAACATTTTTATTTGAGTGTGACATCGAAATTATGCAAAAATGAATATTTGCTTTGTGTCTGACTGTGAGTGACTTCCGACTCACAAAATCATGCACGCATACCACATCCAGTCATTTAGTTCATGACGAGTGACTGTTCTGGTAATCCGTGAAAATGGAATCATGTTGCTGTATTGGAGGGGGTGTTAGAAAAATGTTTTAATGGTGTGCCTTCTCAAATTCGAAGTGGCCTTGTTGTTTCTAGGATGTTCTTTGTTTACTTCTAAAAATTACGGTTGCCACCATCACCACTTCACAACATCAACAATACCAATTTCATCTCCAGCTACTAACCGGACAGAAAATATGCGAAAAACCTAATGAACGATGAGGGCCATTCACTTTTGCTACATTTTTGCTATTTCTTGCTTTCAGGTCGCGACTCTCGCAGCGGCAAACGGACCTGACGCCGACCCGGAATACAATCCAGCCTGGGGTCCAGCTTTTGATACGAACACATGCCCAGAGTATTATCTCAGGGAAACCGGCAACAATTCAACATTGACGATCGAGCTCGTAGCTACTTGCTCCGATGGAAGTGATACCTCACAGTATCGCACGAGCAGCTTGAACCTCGACCAGTGAGTGGACGGCTTGATCCTTGAGCCATCACCATAGGCGCAACCCTAAATACCTATATATCGAAACTAACAAAGCTATTTTCACCTTTCTTTTTCATAGATGTTTGTATAACGAAGAAGGGGATCTCTTCTCTTCAGAGCCACATGACTACTACACGGGTCCCTTTTCAAAGACATGCCACAACTGCGGCCTCGCCTTTCTGTCGATTGACGGAGATACCGAAGGTGTCTATCTCAGATGCACCTGCTGGGTAGCTATAGACGATGATCACACACCGAAGCAGAGCATGTTTCGCCTGGGTAAGTTTATATTCTCCATGATTCATTACCTTCCTCCCTACAAACCCACAATACTGGCAATAGTTTCTAACTTGTTGCTATAGGTAGGTCGATCTACGTCAAGAACAGTACGCTCGGATGCTTCGAGTTCACCGGGCAAACAATCGACAACCCCCTACCCTACCAGAATGTGACTCCTCCCGTGAGCAGCGTGACGACGGTTACAGCTACTGTGCTCGCCAACGTTACGATCAGTCCAACAATCAGCCCCCCACGCTTCACCAACAGCACCTCTATACAACCCTCGACGGTCACTGTTACGAAAACCCACGTGATGACACAGGAGCCAGTGACGCAGACGGCAACAGAAACCGTAGTATCTCCCGTCACTATCCTGGTGAGCATCAAGGTCACAGAGACACCTACTCCTACCCCGAGAATCAGCGCCATCCTCTACACGACTGTCCAGGCATCATTTGTCACCTTTAACCCGAGCTCGGATGGTGTTGGGTTTAGACGTCATATACAGGGTCTATAAGGATGGTTGGCGTAGGCTGAGAAAGGGGAGTAGTGACGAAACTGGCTTTGGTTTTGAATCGCATGGGGGGCTTTTTGATATCCGACTTGGAAGTAATGTTTTGAAGGGTTATTTATCCCTATTTTCAGTTAGTGTTTAATAAGAGCTCCAGATTGTGGGAATAGGACTCCTAGATGATCCAGGCTATCCCATGAGGCGACTGAATTTCTTTTAATAGCCCACAAGACTTAGCTCTCCTGCCCTCTACCTCTCCCACCTCTCCCACCTCTCTGTCCACCTCTGCCCCCTCTGCCGCCTCTTCCATCACCTCTTCCTCCTCCTCTTCCTCCTCCACCACCTCCTCTCCCCTTCCCCATTGGAACCTTCGCCACGATCCCCTCCGGCAAATCAGCGACCTTCTCGCCATCCCTCCACAACTCACCAACACCCTGTTTCCTCCCCCTGACCTCCTTAAAATACTTCAACGGCACCACACCCTCCTCATTACCATCCGTCAACACAACATCATTACTACTAATCCACCACTTAATCCCCCCATCCCTCAGACTCCTCTCCACATCCACAAAAACCAACACCTCAGCATCACTCCTCATCCCACTAACCACCTTCTCCCCCCCGCCCCCCAGCCCCTCCCGGTCCTGATCCAACAACCCCGTCCCAAAATGCACATGTCTCCGCCCCATCTTCTTCAGCCCCCCAGCCGCCACAATAGCCGGCCAAAAGGCAAAATACGTGCCATGGACCACGGTCGCGGGGATATTCCCCGCCTCGAGGGTAACCGGGGTATGCAAGCTCTCGTCCGCAAGCACGATGCTGTGGCCCTGGTTAGCGCGGATGAGCCAAGCAGCCGGGTCGGCCTCTGCGTCCGCGACGCCCGGGTCCTTGGGCTTCATGGAGAAGCGCTGCTTCGCGTTTTCGGCGACGGCCTCGCGGATCTCGTCGAAAGACGGGTTGAGAGACTTCAGACGCGGCCATTGCATCTTATGGCGGGGGGATGTTAGAATCGTTTGCTTTGTCCTGTGTACGCCACTATGCATGTGCCCACGTCTTGTACCACACATGGCATATACGTATACATAATAACAGCCACGTTAAAAAAGAAAAAAGAAAGGAGAAAAATGAAAGCCGGACTCACCACCCGATCCAGCGACGCAAACCCCTCCGCATCGATCTGAACCCCCGCATCCACAGCCCGATGTCTCAGCAACAACGAAAGCGCCTTCGAGATCGCAACCCCGCGGTCCTGAGGACGTCCAGCACCTCCCTCCCTTCCACCACGACGGTCACGGCCTCCCCTGCCCTTGCCCCTAAGCGCCAAACCCTCCATTCTCTCCGCCGTATCTTCGTACTCGTCCTCCATGTTCGAAGTTTGGCTTATTCCGTCCCCCCTTCCGGTATAGTGCCTACCTTGAACCGCGGGCCAAGCACTCAAGATGCGCCTTGCTGAGCCGCTGTGGGAAAAAGAAGGTAGAGACCTGCCTGCGACGAGCCGCGGGAAAGCTAACGCCAGGGTTTGAGGTATGACGGAGTGGGATACCTCCGTATGCAGTAATATTAAGGAAGGAAGGTAGGTAATAGCTAAAGACTCTTATGAATTGGGTTTATTGCGTTTGATTTTTTAAATTGGCAGCTTGAATATCAATAAATTGGAATTTGAGGTTGCGCTTGCTTGCTCTTAAAACGGTTGTGGAACGGCGCTGTTTAAGGCCGTGCCGGTAGTACCTAGAAGCTTAGGGATCCACCCGCTCGGCCTGAGTCAATGGTGCCTGAGTCAAAACGTCATCCCGGATGATCATCAAGAAGCTCCAGCTTATCGCATATAAAATGAGGAATCTAAAATCACAGCAGACTAGAAAGCATTTAAAATGGTAAAACTATGTTCATTGCAAAACCTAATATTCATACATTAATCACCGTATTCTGGTGATCTATTTACATAGTACAGCCGGTGATCGATTTGCCACTCGAGCGCCAGTAAGGGTTGGTATAAGGCTCCCTGTCCCCTAGGTCCGCCGCCCCTATTCGATATCGAATCCACACAAAGGAACCCTTCGGCGCGGCCGCGCTATACGCGATATTTCCATTCCTTTTAGATAGGATAAATATCAAAAGAACCCCTCCTGGAGTGCACCGTCCTTCCGTGCCACACCACTCCATAACACTCCGTGGCTTTTTTCGCCTTTTGTACCTAGTCGATATACAGGAAATAGCACTCATCAGTGCTCGTCTTTAGACGGGAGAGGCGATAGAAGAAATTCGTAAACTTTTTGCAGACGGGGGTATTATAAAAAAATAAGAAGGTTCGAAACAAATAGACAAATAAAAACCGTCTAACTATGCAAAGTTCGTGTTAATGGGGGACTGCCTTGGCCCAAATGACTTTCTATTGTTACAATGTCATGAGCGTATCATAGTCGTTATAGCATTATCGGTAGCCGCCCGTTGCGGGAGAGCTCGTGGCAATCATACTTCCACGGTTGGCTCGTTTGTCCAAACTTCCGGCGCGAGATACGACGGAATATTGGCGTTGATGCCGATCTTCGACAATTCTGTCTCCGATGTTGTTGTAAGTTTCACGGTCCGGCGTTGATCGGTCGAAATATCGCCGTTGAGGTGTAGCGATGTTTGGTGATGATGTCGCCGGGAGCACCAATCTAGTGTTGAGTGCCGAAGACCCAAGACGCCTTCTAGGGAGAGCCGAAGACGCCAAGGGCTCGGATTCTTTCAAAGGAGGTGCAGGAAGCTGCGATGTGTATTCACGGGTTCCAGATCTACCCCCCTGAACCTCAGTAGTAGCGCGCGAGGGAGCGCGGAAACGACTTTCTTCGTCATCGTTGTTTACCGTTCCCCGACGGGCTCTGATTAATAAAGGTTTGCGATCCGACATATCCTCTGGCTCCTCCGTTGTAGCGCGACGAGTTCTCAACAGCGAAGACTTGCGCCCCTCCTCTGGATCCTCTGTTCCGGCTCGACGAGAACGAGATATCAGCATCGCTGTCTTCCGGCCGGCCGAAGGTACCATATCATCTGTGGGAGTAACGGGAACAGTGGTGCTGTATCGAGGAGCGGGCAGTGTGCTCGTCACTGTTGTGTTGAGCCGTCTATCTTCAAAACGGGACAAAGCTCTAGGGCTGCTGTGCATCGATGCGAGGCTACGATCTACGGCGCTCGGTCGCCTTGAAGCAGCTACTCCCGGGAACTTGGTCATTGTTTCGGGAAATTTCGTGATCGTGGGGCTTGTAATCGTGACATCCTCCGGAACTATTGGCGGAGCTTGTTGAGGCTTTAGCTGAGCTGCCCCTTCACTTAGGGCAAGACATAACTCGGTTAGACTGCGACAGATACTATCTGCTTTTCGTCTGAGTTGGCGATCAGTAATGGTGGCACCACTGCCACCACCACCAATGCTACTTGCACCGCTCGAAATGGGGCCTGGTTGGCCAGGAGTGCCCATCATCGTAGAAAGAGACAGCGCATCGTTGGCAGCTGTCTCTAATGCCTCGAAAACTTCCACGCTGAGGAATTGTTTAGATTTTGTTAGAGCGGAATGTAATAATGGGTGACCGTCTCTTGATATGTTTATCTCTGGTGCTTGTACGGCACCCCCAGATCCACGTTTCGGAGAAGCTGACAGAGTCGTTGCATTGGTATGGGCGGTCGGCGGTCGTTCTTCGGATGCTCGTGATATGGCGGCGCCAGATGTTGGGGGAAGCTTGCCAGTTAGCTCAAGGCGATGTATGCGAGATTTAAGGTCATCGAGTTCATCCCATACAGTTGAAGGTGCGGCGGTGGAAGCCGTCGAATTTGTTCCCTCGACGCCGTGATTCGCGTCGTCCACTTGGGATTCATGTTTCTGATATTCTGTAGGTTTGGGTACCAATGGCGAAGAGTTATAGGTACGAGGGTGACTGTAATTAACGCTACCCTGCTTCAGCGATGACATGCGGGATGGGTGATTAGAGCCGTTGTCGATTGAAGCCTGTCTTCTTCGATTGGAGACAGACCCTTGGTCAGAAGAAAGACCATCTTGGAATACCATCGATCGAGGGGTCAATGGAGAAGCGCGAAGAGGAGTATTGCTGGCACTTTTGAGTTTCATCTCGTCGGTTTGCTTGTCTCTGGATATGCCTCTGTAAGTAAGACTACGGGCGACTCTTTCTCCTGGCTGGTCTTCAAAACCTCGAGATCTGGAAGTCTCCTGATCTGACATGCGACGAACTACTTGGGGAGGTGAAGAAGGTTGATATGAGGAGACGCCTACGGAGAGAGGTCGTCGATTGGTTCGTGCTACTCGTGACTATATTACACCTCAGTTAGAAATTCAAATTGGTTGTAGAGTTATTTTAAATCAGATATATCTGTGACGCCGTCTAAATGTTGGTAGCACAATGTATAATTGCTAGTCCAATGCAAACTCAGGAGAGTGTATAAGTGTTTTGGCAAATGCGCGTCTCTTGAAACAATTGAGGAAGCAAACAATAGGTTGACTTACAAGGGCACTTTGGCTGTCTCCATAGTTTCCATTGTTGTCAGCATTGCGGCGTAATGTGTCCTCTCGCGCGATCTTAAGAAATAGATCTCCACTATCATCACCGTCCGGACGATCTCCTGCTGAATCGGGCGGTGTTATCTGTGAGGCATCGTCAAAACGTCTCCCCTCTAATGCGCGCAATGTCCTGTCGCGGTGGTTTGAATCGCCGTAATCCTCACTCCCTTCATAACCGCGCATCGAGCGGGCATTCATGTCGAGCACGAGACTCCGCCGCCGCTCGCCGGAGGACCGAAATGATCGAATTGGCGGGATAGATGCAGTAACGCCCGAAGCGTTAGAGTTTACGGGTGGTTTGTATGATACGGGTGGTCGTCTTGCCACAGAGTTCCTCCTGTCATCGGTCGCGGTTCTCTGAATTGTTTTTGGTAATAGGAGTTCCCGCTGCCCGTGCGCCAACTCCCTACTTATCTCTTCTCCTGATGACGCACCCCGACTATCGTCAGATGCGTGCATTCGATGGCCAGAAGACGTCTCGCTAGCCGAATTACCCGACAAAGGCGCACGTCTATGTCGGGGCCGTGCTGTGGCAACGGTGTCGGTGGAATCTGCGGGCGACGTGACGCTAGCTCTGATAGGCGTATGTTTATTAGTATTTCCAATAGCAGAGGCGGAGGCGGTGGTCGAATCTAGAGAAGTTGAGCGTTTTGCATTGGCAGATGATGTAGATGTGGCGGTCGATAGGACGCGGGGGGATTGAAATGTGGATGCCCGAGACCTTGGACTCAGGTTTTCAATTCTCGATTGTTCTTGTGAGACAGGGCTAGTATGGTCGCTATTATGTTTATGCTGACTCTGATGCGCTGGCTCCGGCTGTGGGGATATTTCCCTCGATGTGTTTGGTTGCGTTCCGGTGTGAGAATCCGAAATAGGTGAGACAGGCGAAGGTGGAATCTGATGACTTTGCAGAAGCGAAGGCAAGGCGATGGGTTCTTTCTTCAGATCGGCAAAGCGATAGGCGGGGAGCTTAGAAGAATTATGACTTTGTCGGTGTGCGTGCAGGATAGTAGAATGCCTATTATTAGACGGTGAGGAGGTTGTGGTTGTTGTTGTTATTGTTGTTTTGGGATTGGAAGTGGAAGTTGGGTTAGTGTGATTAATTTGATTTGTTGTAGCGGTGATGGTCCCGGGCGCAGTGGTGGTTTTAGTTGTGGTTTTTGCGGTGGAAGACGAAAGGGATTCGAATGGGTCCGTTGCACCTATAACTGGAAGGCATAAATTTATTAGTGGTGTTCGCTCCTGCTGAAGTAGCTATCTATGCGCTATGCTGTTGCACAATATCGAACAACTAACACTGGGCAACGGGCTGGAGCACTGGGGACAATTGAGGAGTCTAGACCGGGGGAACTTTAAAAAATGAGCAATTACTATACCATTTCTATTAGAAGCAGCAACTGCTTCGGAAACTGAATTTGAATCCATATCGTCCCAAGCTCAAATCTTTCAAGTTCTTTTCTCACGTAACTCAATAGGTACTTTATGTCCACAACTTTCAAACCATTGGTATGTATTACCTACGGTATCGAACAGGGTCGGCATGTATTGTTTTAGTTCCGTCTTCAGACTCGCAAGGGCTCTAGGCGGTGTTTTTGCATGAATATGACAACAAGGAGATCCATTGAATGATGTCAAGCTCGGTCCTTCTGCTTCAACCGGCGCCCAATAGAATAACAATCGCTCTATCGTCGTGATCACGAGAAGAAGCACCACAATAGCCGAAGAGAAAAGTATTGCAAAAGAAAAAAGAGTGACTATGGTGAGAGAAGACCTAGGTGTGTTGTGCCTCTGTTGCTAAAGTCTCAGGAGAAGTTTATTGAATTGAATCGGGATCCTCGATCATATTGCGATTTGGCCAGGACAGGGAAGACAGGCAAAGAGGGTAGCAGCCCGAAAATCCCAAGTCTGTGTACCGGGGTGTATGGGAAGGATATGGATGTTATGGATGACGGTATGGATATGGCCCTCGGAAGCCAACCCCAAGTCGACTTGGTATCTACAAGGGAAGATACTGCTGTTAACTAACTACCTACCGACTAAGGTTTATTTACCTAGAGCTCACAGACCTCACACCTCTACTAATTAGTTCTTTGCTAACTCCTTCCTTGACCTCATCTCTCCTCTTTTCCTGACTGGGGCTAGGGCACGACTTCTGATTAGACGTAGAGGACGTCGACTCGCAGTAGTCAGAGCAGTAGCAGCAATGGCCTCGGGCGCCAGTGAATCAAATGCGCTAACAAGCCGATTAGATGTGGGACTCCAACCCGCTGGAAAACAGCCACGCAGCAACCACACATCGCAACCGAATGCCACTTACTGGGTAGATGCATGGGTGATCTAATAGACGAGGTCCGTGAGCCTGGGATGGATACTTGGTATTATTGTACGTATCTCCTAGCATTCGGGTCCGTCTGTGCTTCCTGTGCTTCCCAGGTTGATCTCCCAATAATGGGATCTGCATAAGGAACTGGTACAATTCAGGGGCTTCCCTTTAATAAAAGCACAGATATATATGAAGACGGATGTGTTTTACGGAGAATTTCCTCTTAGTTCATCTCCAAGCTGGAGCTAAGTGCTTTTTAGGTAACCCTAGGTATGTTTATTGGTAACTCTCTCAGTTGCGGGTTGAGTTGGCGGTGAGCATAGAATGTTAGATAGAACCTTGGAAGACGATAGATAATATTCGATGGAAGCTTTAGGTTTGCAGCGGTTCATGCCAGACAAAAATCAGCGAGCACGGAAAGAAAAAATACCAATCGAAAGATTACGATAGGGTTGAAATGGGTGCTTGCCGACTACTACCGTTGTGCTGCAGTAGGTTCGACTGTGCAAGATGCTGCAGCCAACCAGAGATTATCAACGGCTATCTCGTGAGGAGGCTGGTCAAAAATCCCCAAAATCGACCATCTGCATTAGAAAAAGTTTAGTGTTTCGGAGAGGCTCTTCCAAGCTTTTCAGGCTAGCCTTGTAAAGATGGTCTAGGCATGGAAAAGAGCGACAGAATTTAGCTGATTTAGTCAGGGGTAGCTGTTGTAAAGTGGTGGGACGTGGACCTCGTGCTCAGGTATTAACTACAGGTACCTAGGTATTACCTAGTAGGTGAGGTGAAGTTAACTTATTTGACAGCTTGTCGGTAGTAGTCGTCGCTGTACGCTGTAAATCTCTGTCAAGAAATGTGAAATCTGATCGGATATTTACCAAGAGATGTGCTACATACTGTACTCTAGCCGACGGTGATTTCTCCGTCAAGTCATATGTATTGAAGTTACATCCATGATGCGTCCACGATGCATACTCTTACCATCACATTAGTACATGTAGCTACTAGATTACTAGCCACCCAATTGTTCTTTCCATCGAACACATTAAGCGCTACGTAGTATTCTATTAGCTCAAGACATGGCCAGCATAACTGAAAATGCGCCTAAGATGCGCGGATAACACACACACAATGCGTATTACATATTACTTGTGTATGTATGCAGTCACGTTTTGATCTTAGCTTGCGGAGTCCTGCAAGAAATCAAGGTCAGGCTGCACATAAAGTTCTCAAACCTCTCAAGCCCCCTTGACTCTCTGCATGGTTCTGGACCACCAACAAAAGTTGATGAACGAATGCTGATGTTGAACCAAACTGGACGATGGGCTGTTTTGTCGTGCTGTGCATTGCATTTTGTGGCTGGTAAGCACTAATAGAGAATTGCCTATGAAGCGAAGCGAATAGCTAACCTAGTAGGCACTGGTACTGGCACTGGTATTGGACAGTGGTTTTGATGCAAGGAATTCGATGTTGGTCTGGCGGATCATTGCGGGGTTAAATTTTGTATTCGCCTGGAAGTAATTATGTACCAGTTCGCTTTCGAGTACCCAGCATGATAATATCGTTTGTATTGATCATATCTTGTTTGTCCATTCATGTCTTGGCTCTCTTTGTCGTTTCCAAAGTTTAAAGACTTTAACTCCTTTTTTCTCTATTTTTCGGGTGGTTACACTAGATTCCATAGAACCCGGGTACGCACAATCTTGAGAAGGGCAATCTTGGACGTGCGCAGAGGATTCTCGGTCAATTTGTTAATCTCTCAATTTACCATGGATGATCGGCGGTCGTTTACGGCGGGGAATCACAGGGATCCCCGGGCACTTTAATCGCAAACCGCAATTGCGTGCGCCGCAAGCGGAAATACCAGGGTACCTATCCCTGAAGCTTGGAGCAGATCAAACGCTTAGCTAAGGTAATGGAGTCCGTGACAGCACGAGCATCACCCATCTAATCAAACTTTCTCACAATTCCATATGTTTCAGAATATATGCAAAGTTAAACCTCACCCACCATCCCTTCTTCTTTTTTTCCTCGTGTTGAAATGAAAGATCTGGTGAAACTCTTTAACAGGTTAATGCTATGTAGCCTGAGTTGTTGATAGGTTGAACCAATGTCAGCTCAATCGAACTCTGCTTCATGTCTTAGTATAATTGTGCCAACACCCTGAAGGACTTGTTGGTGGTTTTCGTTTATGATCGGTGTCCTTGGCTTGTAGTCTTGCCCGAAGTTGCGATATCGAGTTACCTAAAATGTCAAACTAACCCGACGGTGCCATACAGCCGGAGACCAATTAATTTGTAAAAAAGCATGAACGAATACGGAGCAACAGGTCTTGATGAGGTAGATTTGGCTTGTGGTTTTTTGATCAATAATAATAAATTCTCATTGGCGTGACTTACAACGCGTTCATGCCCTGAAACGATCACCTAGGCAATACGCAGAGCACGGCCCTTGGATGAGACTTTGCTTCGTGAAGTCTTGGCCGGTCAGCTTTCCGGCGTTCAGCCGCATATCGACTTCATCAACCCTCCAAAGCTTCGTCATCTTGCATTCGGGGATTAAGTTGGTCATAATCGGGTTTCTGGAGATCTTGGTCAAGCTAGATATGTACATAAAATATGTTGTACTTACTTCATCCTACCTTGGTAGATATTGGCTCGTATTGTGAGTAATCCCCTCATAGTTCGGCTTCGTATAAATTGTAGTTATTAAATACCTAGGTTACTACGTCATCAATATGAGAGTTGAAGTACTCATGTCAAAATCATGCGGCGATTCGATAGAAGACCTGCGCAAATATCGCGACTTGAAGTAGAGAATATTCCATACTGTGGTAGTGATCAATTGGGGATATGGATACGCCTTGCACTTCGAGATATGTAGCGCAAAACTTGAGACTGAGGGACTTTCGCGGCCTGTCCAATAAAATAAAGCGGTCTCGGCTATTGAATTTGTATGTATGTCAAGGCTTGTAATTGAGAGGGCCATCACGCAACTTGGGACATCTCGGGTGTGCGATACGATTACCGAGCCACGAGGCAGCTTAAGGTTAGTGTATCGTAAAAAGTGCAAAGTGCTAGTGCTATCGCTTATTTGTAGATCGATGTTTCGAAACTTCCCCGCTTGAGATCTAAGAGTCGAATGTTGGCAAGTTGGAAAGCCTTTTGTCATTCGATAACTTCAAACAAGGAGGTCAAAGTTCGACGTTTTGTTGATATTAAAAGATTATGTGGACCTCGGATCTGGTATGTCTGGGATTTTAATCGGTAAGTCATGGATATGAGATGAACAATGGCACGGCAACCAGATCATAAGTTCAAAACAAAGATGGATGAAGTGGATCAGAGACGCGGACAATTACTAGGAATAGATGTTGTGAGTTGTAAGTAATAAATAAACGCTCTTTGAGGCTTCGACTAGCGCCGCGGTATTGCGTCGGTAGGGAAATAAGCGAGTTCCATTTCTCCCTCAGCGCCTGCCTCGCGCCAACGGCCAAAGAAAGAAGGTTCGGACGCGGACGTTTCAGGTCCTCCTAGGATCCGTTAGTCTAAAATAGCAGTTAGCAAGCGCCTGCGCCGAGTCCGGCCGTCACCCGGCGGCCGATTGATGGAATAGTTTCCAATCTCTGCAATTTCACGTACATCGCGACAATCATCATTTCAAGTTGATGCCAGTGGCTATTCACCTAGCTAAATATATATTAACCTCTTCACATGTAAATCATAGAATGTTCTCTAAAAATAGAAGTACGAGTGAGAAAGTTCGTGTTAGTTCTAATAATTTAACTTAGCATGAGGAAGAATCCATTCGCGCATTGATTTCACCTCGAAATCTGTGCTTTACTCCGAACCACCATCGGAAGTCTATCGTGTAAGTAGACGATGCATCCATCTGAAGGACGTATTACCCACGTGTCGCGACAGGGTATGAGATATCTAACACCATGAAATAAAATAGTGCACCGAGCTTTAAATAGAATCTAGGTAAATGAGGATTCGTCATTTTCTTTTGCCTCAAGGGATGGTAAACTCAAAACTTAATAGATCCGATGAACCCGAGTATACAAAGCTTAAGGACAAGGTCCATACGGTTCGACTCGTAGGGATCAAGATTCCTATCTGCGTCTTTTCTCGGAGATATTCGGCCACGTTTTGCAGTGTAATTGTACGAAAACAACTATCACACGTATTTAGAGGTCTTCGTATACCTATCTCAGATTCCTTGTTCCTAACTGGGAGATACACTAGAGGCTGATCATTCATGACGGGTCCGAGTCTCAAAAAGGAAAAGAGAGGGAACCGTACAAGTTGATACCTTTCAAGCTGCGAAGCATAATGATCTTTGTTCAGAACTACTATAGGTAGGGGGTATCTAAGTAGGTAAAAACACAATTGATACGTAGGTATATCAAACAGATATCTCAAACAAATAGATATCTCGGCATCATCTAAAGGAGTAAAATGCTTTAACTTTAACATGTTATGATATGTAGCCTGAGATTGAAGAGCCGTTTGCAGTTGTACGCACATGGTATGGTACATATTAAGTCATAATATGTACGGAATATCGCCGCATTTTCATAAGTTCCAAAGCCAAGGCCAATTCCGGGTTTTTGCTGGCGAGGTGAAATTATCAGCTGCAAGACCAAATTTGACATTGACATTCTGATTGGCTATGCTTTGGCGCCTACTTAGCTGCAAGTGTCTATTAATAGTACCATCACCATCCCTGTCTCGGCCAGTGTCTCGTTTCGCAAAGGCAAGCCCCTGTCTGAAAGAACCACTTAGAATAGCGCACGCTTCAACTGTTAGCGACGTAACGAGCCACCCGCATCCTGTGGACAATCCAAGGTAAAATCCACGCATACTTCCCTTCCTAACATGTATATGTAGATACTGCGTAAACAGGAGAATGAATGCCGCCGCTGGGATTTTCAGGCATGTTTTGGTGTAAGTGGTTAGTGCCAATGTAAGTTTTGTTGCTGGTTGTTGCCGGTTGTTGCTGGGAACATGTACCTTCCTACGGTACACGATAGGTAGGATACCTGGTAGGGGGACATGGGAAGCTGAGGGACCCACAAAGTCAAGCTTGTTAGTGCATCGAGCCGAGGAGAAGTAGCGAACTTGTTTCGAACACTGCCATTTCCCATAGTGGCTGTACCCCAGTTCTACTGCCCATGTAGACCTTGCGCTAAGGCCTAAGTGCTTCCGTCTAGCGCAATCTCAATCTCATCCCCATTCCCATTCTTCTCCTCCCTCCAAATTCACAACCCATTCACCAGTCAACATACACACAACACATACAACCACCACCAATTCCACAAATCCTCTTCCTCCTTCTAACTTTTTACCTTTTGCGCCCACCCCGGGGGATTTTCTTAGCCCTTTGACCCCCCTTGTTCGCTGTTTCAAGAGACTGCGCGTGAGAGTACACAGGTGCTGGTGTCTCTGTCTCTCTGAACGCTTGTCCATCTTCTGATTAATTCTATCCTAACGATTCTTCTCACCTACCTTCGTATCCTACATTGCCGCTGTCGAGATCGTATCGCCAACCGCCACCACTACCTGTCCATTATTTGCAAACAGTCAATTGTTTACCCGTCCGTATGGTATACTAGGCAGTTGGTAGAATGTGTTGACATCCTGATGGCGGCCGAATTCTAGTCATCAAACTTACCTCTAAACAACAAACATCACACTTCTCTCTACTTCCTTTAATATTTCGCGATACATTTTACTCTTCCAAACTTCATTCCTCCCTCTCCTTGATCCTGTCGGCTTGTCTAGTATTGTCCTACCTATTTTAATACGAAAGCATTCCCAGTTACCGCCTACGACGAGGTGGTTGTTTGTCGCGGAAGAAGTTGTAGATGTGGTCGTTAGGAAACAAGTAAAGATTATACATAACCAAACTCAATCGACTTGGTTGTTGCACCATTGAAAGAGAAGGAAAGCAGAGATTGAAGGAGTAGAAAAAAGGATACAGCAGCGCTGTCCGATACAAAGCGTCGTCGAATTACGGCACCATTCATTAAAGACGTCACTCATTGTGGAATTGTTGATTTTTTTTATTTCTATTTTTTTGGTTGGACGGACCAAGTTGCGATACGACACCCTCCAAACAGTCTAAGTTTCTACGGTATAGATTCAGACAGTGTTGACAGTGAACAGTGTGGTGAAGAGTAGGAAAAAAGAGTAGGAATTGTAAGAATTGGTCTGGGGAGTCATCAAATATGCCGTCCGCCACCGCTAGACGACTGTACGAGGACCAAATACCCTCATTCATGTCTATTTTCGACCCCGAGACAGACAATAGCATTGACGAAAGGGGATTAGTGACGGTGGTAGATCCTAAGTTAATGGAGATGGAGTCACAGTGTGCACCTGGGCAACTGCCTGGGCCTGGACAATTCACCGGTCAACTTGCTGGTGGGTTACCACAACACACTTTGCGACCTTTACCAAACGATCCTGCGCACCATCACCACGATAGTACATCAACCCAAAATTCCGAGTCTGCAGATTCTTCCCCCACTACAACTTTAACCACAGACACTTCTTCTCTTTCTGACCCATCACCGTCTTCTTCGCCAGATTCACCCGTCAATCTAATACCTTTAAATTCATTTCCCGCTACTAATTTCGGTGGTCTACCCTCGACGATGGATAATCTCACTGTCAACGACTCCAGTAGACGGGAGCGACCTATGACATCGCCTTCTCCCCGACGCGGTAGAAACATGAAAGGATTGTCGATACAGCCACCTTTCGCGAGTTCGCTATCCTCTCAGCTCGTCTCCGAACCCTCATCGCCTGATTTCATCAAGCCTAAGATCCCCGCAATGAAGCGCAAACCCAGTCAACTCAGTCTCAAGACCGACTCTACAGGCCTTAACATCAGACCCACTACGTTAGAGGTTCCTGGATCGCCCATTCTTCCTCCGATCCTCCAGCGAAGATCTCTCAAACATTCGACGTCGTCGCCTCATATGCTTTTTGGCTTAAATGGGTTAAAGTCGGCGACCTTCGGCCCATCCGGCGGCATGACATTTCCCCCAGTACTCGAGCGGGGAACTTCAGGATTATCTGAAGTGTTGAGACCAACAAAGCTAGGAAGCAGTGGTCCTGGCTATGACACTACTATTCTCGAGGAGGATTCCCCTATCAAGACTCAGCTTGCTAATCGCGCTGCGATGGACTTCGAGCCTTTCATAGAGCCTGAAAATAACGAAGACCAGAAGTCGCCAGGTTATCCCGATGGTCCTATCGCGATCTACGAGGACAATGTTTACCTATACTTGGAACCTACCGCAGAAGAGGCCGCAAAATTCGATGTGGTTATCAATGTCGCCCGCGAGGTAACCAATCCTTTCCAAGGTATGGGCATGGGCCCAGATCCAATGGATACGAGACCAATCCCAACAGAGTCGCCCATTCCAGATACTGCCATGACCAGTGACAGCTTTGCGACGGCTTTTGAATTTCCTCCCTCGGAACAGAACGCTATGGAGACACCCACAACCCCGAAAGCAAATCCCTTTTCGGAACCTGAATATATCCACATGCCATGGGATCACAATACCGACATCGCGACAGATTTAATGATGCTCTGCGAGATGATCGAAAAGCGCACTAAGGATGGAAAGAAGGTTCTCGTTCACTGCCAACAGGGTGCAAGCCGCTCGGCCAGTTTAATCATTGCCTATGGCCTCTACCAAAACCCTGGCCTAACCGTCAACGACGCCTATTACGCCGCGCAATCCAAGAGCAGATGGATTAGCCCGAATATGCGATTAATGTATTGTTTGCAGGACTTCCAGAAGGAGGTTTCCAAGAAGAGGTTGCCCCCTCGATCCGCTGCCGGACCACGAAGTGGAAGAAGCCCCACAAAACATAGGCTTACCCTATCCGCGAATGCCATCGATATGCAACCTAAGGAACCAATGACTGCGCCGTTGCCAGATGAAAAGGAGGGAACGGATAATAGCTCCAACAATGAGCGCCTTGCAAACCATTCTCGTGGAAAATCCACCCCTAACCTAGACGCGATATCTCCTGGCCCATCATCCGCTCCGTCGAGCTTCTCTTGGTCTGAGATGGAAGATGAGAAGGATCCAGGCAAGCATGGCCGATTCAATTTCGGAAACTCCCTCGAGCCTCCTAGATTCTTCGAACCGCAACCATCAGTACAGACTAGTCAAACATTATCGCTACCTCCTCCCTCGCCATCGTTCTTCAAGCCACCGCCCTCACCTGGATTCTTTAGGCCTCCTCCCTCCCCGGGATTCGGAGCTAGTCGTTTCGGTGAAGGACCTCAGAGCTTTGGATTCTCCAGCCTGAATTTTGGTCCTATCGAGTCTCACCATGAACGACCCAGTAGTCGAAAGGAATTGACAATCGCACCCGCTTTACCGGATGACGATGATGCTCTGATGTCTCCGAGGGCTGAGACCATGACAAGCAACCCATTACATGATTCTTATTCGGAATTAGCTGGCATGAAGTTTGTTGAGGTACCCCCTACGCCGAGCGAAGGGCTTTTTTCTCCGCGACAGTCTATGTTTCCCCGAGACCCCTTATTTCCATTCGGAAGACCCGCTCAAACGGCTGACCCTAGAAGTCCCCCAACAAAGGGCGAAACTCCTATCGTCCGGTCCATCGACGACTTTTTATAACCATTAGTATATTGACCATCTGTCAATAATGTGATACGCGAAGAACGAGACGAGATTCACAAACATTTGACCCCAAGTGAAACTTCGGGCAACCCGCTACATTTCATTTGTTTACCGGATTAAACACCATCGTTTTTCTTTGCGTTCTTTCTGGACTTGTACGCCGTTCTGGCTAGGGTGGAATTAGGCAGCACTGGAACGGACCAAAATACCCGGATGTCACAATGTAACAGCCTCCTTTACGGGTTGGAGAGCTAGTACGGTTGATTTTGCGTTAGTCATATGGAGATAGTGGATAATTAAGGGAGTAAGAAAAGTTGAAGGGGAGTACATATGGAATAGGAACCAAAAAGGGTCGGGAGAACTCCAAGGACGCAGACCGCCCTGGCGCGAGCTAGGACGAGTTCTCTATGCATTTGCATACTGACCATCGGATTACCCCGAAGATCACTAAGCACTCGTTGCTATAATCACCGAAGACACCCACCCTTTCCCATGTATCACGCGACACATTAACAAGTCACGATGACCCGATTTTGGAACCAATAGCTCGCAAACACAAGCAAGCATAGGCGTTCTATGGAGTCAGGAAAAGAAGGAGTAATTCTACGCGCAATGGGACAGATTAAGGAAAGTCCCCTATTGCATCTTGTACATATAATTCACCAATGTCCTGCCAACGCGATACGGCATGCAAATCACATGCTCTGTTCACGAACTTCTGCTTGCTTTACGTGCTGTGCCATATTTATTTGCTGTGAAATATGATATTCTGATTCTAATCTCATTAGGTACTTTATCTGAATATTGCTCTCCTACCTATTTTCCCTCTTTATCATCGTAGGAAGTTAGTAGGCAGGATGGATGTCTCTTGTAATCTTGAATAGTAAACCTACGAGAAAAATATTGGAACCGTCTTCTCATTATTCGAGTTTCTATCTGTAGTCTTGCTACTATCTAGCAAACCTCCGTGGCTTTGTCGTTTCCCCTTTTCGTCGCCTTCTCGTGTAACGTAATTCGCTTAGGTCGACAAGTCGTACGATATAAAAGCAATATTTACATAACAGCGGTCCAGCCCCGTCCCTTCCCTTCCTATATACACACGGGGGCTGCCTCCGGCCGACTCATTGGAACTAACTAATAATACTGCCGACATGAAAACCAAACGGCTGAGTCCTAAGATATAATAAAAGTAGATGATTTTTTGTTAAAAAAAATCACTGGGCCTTCCCGTTCTTCTCCGCGACCGCCTTCCGCTTCGCCGCCTCCTTGGCCAATTTCTCCTGACGTGCAATGGCGGCCTCGACGCCAATGCCGCCGAAGACGAGACCGACGCCTAGGACCTGCATGCGGCTAAGGCGGTGGCCGAAGGCGACGACGGAGAGGATCATGGTGAACATCTTGCGCGTCACCGTTACCGTCACGAGGAGTACCGACGAGAAGGTCGATAGGGTGTAGACTATTTTATCGGTTAGCATTGTCCCATTTCCCGAACGGAAAACCTAGGACGTAGGATAGGGGAAGGGGGAAGAAAACCCACAGATGAAAACCTGACCAACAGCACCACAAGCCGCAAACCCCAACACATCAGCCCAAACACCCGGATGTCTCCCCATGAACCCGAGCGCAGCCTCCAGCTCCCCCGCGCCGCCCGCGACGTCCATGCCAAGCCACTCGCCAACACCCGTATGCACGAGCCACGGGCTAAGAACCAGATACGCCGCCGTAACCGCGGTGCTCATAAGATTATTCGCGCACATCATCTGGGGTCCCGAGTACGGCTGAAAAGCGCCGAAGATGTAGTCCTGGGTACTATTCGTCAAGCCATCGAACAACAAATTCACACCCAGTAACAGCAGTCCCCAGACACTGTTCCCGGCGACCTCACCACCCTTCTTCCCGCGCGCCTTGCCGGAATGCAGGGTGAACACCGCAACGCCGGCCGTGACGGCGGCGACGACGAGGTACTTGTACAGCGGGTAGCGCTTGCGGAAGACGGTGACGTGGAGGAGCATGACGGGGAGCAGCTTGCAGCTCTTGGCGAGGAGGAAGGTGATGTAGTCGATGTGCGCGAGGCTGGCGTAGCCGAACGGGCTGGCGAGCGAGCTGGTCAGCGCGACGAGTAGTAGTGGTGCGAGGATCGCGCGAGATGGGATAACCGGCGGTATGGGTTGGCCTGAAGGCGTGCTGGCATATAGGTACAAAGCACCTGTCGTCGCTGCGAACAGCGACTGGATCGTGTTGAGGAATACCGGGTACTTGAACACCTCGGTGGCCCCGGCCGCGCCGTGCGGCGTCGTCGTGAGTTTCTCTTGTAGATACGCCCAGGTGAGGCTGCAAATTAATGACTTCTACGTTAGCCTAAAAATTGACTCTCGTTTCGACATGTTGCGACGTTTCAGTCTGTACGTACAAGGAACCGTAGATACCAGCGACGGCAACCACCAATTGCGCTACGCCGGCATCCTTCTTCGCCAGCGCCGGCGCTGGCAGCGATTTATTGGCAACTCCATTAGATTGGTGCGCGGTAATACCTCCTTTCTTAGAGGGCGTCGATGTCTGGCGTGTAACGTATTCGGATGACGGTTGGCGCTCGACGGGTTTGGCTTGCTTGGTACGCGCCATGATAGGTGTTCGCAAAGTTGGAAATTAGAGAGAGGCACAGAGAGAAATGAAGTGACGAAAATGATTGACTATCTCTAAGTTAGCTATGTATGTAAGTGGATAAGTATTCAATCTATGAAAGATCCATAATGCTGGAGAAATATACAGGTCTCTAAACAGAAAATGAGAGACGGTAACGAGCTTACAACTCAATAACTGATGACAGATTGGCCACTTACCACTTTTATCTCGTAAATTGTCCATGTACCGGCAGAATTAAAACACGAGAAGAAGCCACTTGACCGTTTACAAACAAGATCCTAATTAGTCAGGCGGTGAGTTCCGCCCCGCAAATTGTACTATTCTTAATAGTTAATATTAAAGTTAAATTGAAATCGACTAACCGCCTCGAGAAATATATCACACACAGTATACTTATAGGTACCTACATTAGCTACGCAGGTCTGTAACGAATCACTCACTCACGTCAAAACGATCAAGCACAACTTCGATGATGACCATGCGCATGAATTTTTTGTCAAGTTTCTTCTGTCTGCTGCTAGATACGCCTTATCTAGACATCTACAGAAGATTGTATCCGTTCCTCGATAGCGAAGTTCAAGGAATGATTAATGACTAAAGCGCATTGCAAGTTTGATGCCCCTTTCTCAACCTCAAAAACAACTCATCCATAAAGCTTACCTCCATCATTGACGCACCTCAGATTCTGAGTCATCAAAAGTTAATGGCCATGTTGGAACTTCTCATGCATAAGTAGCCTTATAAATGTCCTTCACTCAAGCCTTGGTACGTGGCATCCTGAGCAGGTGGAAATATGCTGGCGAACGGGTGGTCAAGGTACAGCTTCCAAGGTTTCTTCGTTGTTCTGATGTTGGGAAAATCGATGTAGGGCCGCCAGCTCTTTTTGGTCGTGGGATAAGGGTTAAAAGGAGGGAGTAATCTTTGCGATGTGACAAGAGGAAGATCGGCGTTGCGTAAGAAATGGAGAGTGACGTGTGATTATGATCGAAGTTTGTTAGAAGCACAAGATTAGGCCGTGTGTTGTGTTGTATGTTGGAGGGGGGAAGTCGATACAACAGGGATGCTGACGCATGGGGGCGGATGTGTCAAGTGAATAAGAGCTCTGAAAGGTCTCGAGCAGCACCCAGTTTGGTAGGTATCGAAGTCGAGGTGTTAAGTGACTGTCGGGAGTCTACCAACATCATATGTAGGGACCCACGTGTCCATAAGATGTTGGTTTCGTCGAGGAAATATTAAAGGAAAGGGGAAATGGTGGTGAGGCAATAATGAAGGTTGCCTCGGAATAAGGAGAAAATCGTCGTCATATCATATCGTAGGAACCACCCAAACCAAGGGAGGTCAGCCTCGCGGCAAGTCAAATCTGAAGTGTCCCCCTAATCGCAGGGTACGTCGCTGTATCAGACCCAACACTAGCAATAATCCGGGTAGATGTACTGTATGAATTCCTAGCCTCTTCGTGATGGCTACGTAGTCTGAGGAAGGGCGCATGCCAATTACTCATTCGATTGCGCCTGGCTGCGGCGCATTTTCTCTGCTTCGAGGTTCTCGTAGAGAAGGAAGAGGGCCGACTCGTTTGCCTTCGAAGTTCCCATGATAGTAAACATACGTTCACCAGTCTCGTCATGCGGCGCCTATAAAAGATTATCAGTCGCGCTTTACCTAGATAGCTGTCGAAGTCAATCTTACCTTGGCAATAGAGATGCGGGCACCAGAGGTTTTGCGAATCTCGCTAATCTTGCTACCGGCACGGCCAATGATGCATCCAACCATATCCGCGGGAATGCTGATATTCTGCGTTTGGATCTCTTCGCCATTTTCATCATGAGTAGGTGGTCCACGTGTAGCTGCGTCAGAATCGGATCGGCGGTTATACGGGCGCGAACCTCCATTGCTGAAGTCGGCGCCATTTCCTGTTCGCATCACACGGGTGCCACCATAATTGTCTCTACCGGACGAGCCGTAAGCTACCCCGCCAGTGCCAGGGGGGCCACCAAGAGACCCCGCTCCACCAGGCGCAGTTCGAACGACAGGATTGTAGAGCACTGTGCCAGTGCCACGCTGCCAGTCGTCAACCAGACACTTGCAAATTTCCCAGACGGCTCGCTGAATGCCATCGGGAGTTCCCTGTACCTCGACAATTCGCTCGGTCGACTGCGGCAGCATCTCCTTCTGCGCAACCATGCGCACGCCCGAACTGTCTTGGATAGTCTTGATCTTCATACCTTGCCTACCAATGATGGTGCCCATCTGATTGTGTGAGATGAGTAGTTTAATTTCTGTGTAGCGAAATTGCTGATTAGATCGGGGCTTGGGAGAGCCGGCGCGATGATAAGACTCACGATGGGTGCCACTGCTTTGTATAACACCACCCATTCCCATCGCAGGAGCGCCTTCCAACAGTGCGCGAGCGACAATCGCATACGCTCTAGAAATAGCATCGCAACCGCCGGAAATGGTCAAAACGCGATCGTGCACACCTTGCACAACTTTACTCACGCCAGCCTTTACTCCGGTCTCGTCTCGCAAATCGGCGACATTCTTACCTCCCTTGCCAATGATGACGCCGGCTTCTTTGGAAGAGACAATAGCGCGAAGAGTCAATTGAGCTACGGCGTATTCCTCGTCTGTCTTCGGCGCGGGTTCGCCATCTGGTCCTAGACGAGGCTCGTTGTCATCGAGCTTCATCTGGTCCATTGAAGGCAGTAAATCGTTTCCGTTAGGAGGGAGGGAGTCTTGGGGAACAGACATATTGGTAGCTGTCGTGTTTGATAGATGCGTGATGCGAGAGGGTTAGGGTGGATGCGCTGGAGGTATTGCTATGTCAGCTATGACTGACTCGGTGATATCACCCGAGTTTATTAAACTAGAGTAAGTTTTGCGCGCAGGAGATCCTGTTGGCTGACACTGAATGGGGGGCGGGTGTACGTAGAAAAGTGGTACGGGAGTGGGTTGCTATAAGCTCCGGATCTGGCGTTAAAAGACGGGCTGCACGCAGTTAGCTCTGATAAGCAGGTGCTGCTGCGGGGAAGTAACCCGTGAATGGTCATGTAAGGGAAGGGGATGTGAGGCTGATATGAGGGAAGAAAGCCAAGAAACGGTTGAAACGAGATTAACAAACAGATCTTATCTTGTCAGAGGCTGTTGCATCTGCACGGTTTCGGCATGTGGTTGTAGAAAATAGAAATAGAAATACAGCCAAATGCAGGAATATTAGGAAGAAACGGAAGGTTATTATGCGAAACGGGGGCTTGAATAGGCGGGGCACTGCATATTGACTGACCTTTTGCTGCAGAGTCTGTGCTTCGCAGAATATCTTTTGAAGGAAGTTACTGTGCTCTCTCACCGGCACTGCTTTGGTTCTTGCGGGGTGGAAATTTTCTGTGTTTTTTTAATTCCCTCTTTTTTTTTTCGCTTGTCCCCTCACCTAGGGTCTTGGTATCTTCCACGCGAGAACGGGGAATATTTTTTTTTTTAGATGGAGACAAGGTCTGTTGACCGTGGTCACTAAGCGGCCGGGTCTTGATGGGGTGGCCAAAGTGGTCTAGGTATTGGTAAGGTAAGGTAAGGGTGCGTGCCGTTTGACCAGGGTTAGATAAGCGGTGATGAAATGGACCCTAATATAGTAAGGTCCAATTGTATGAGGGTACCTATTCTGAGTATTGGTAGGCGGTGTCTTATTCGTGAAATAAGCTGTCCCTGGTAGAACAAAGAGGAGTGAAGAAGGAGGTGATGTGTTGAAAGACTTGATGAGACGGGTTGGGTTGAGTTGAGTTGAAGGGTGCGAGGACGAAGGTGAGAGGAGGGGAGGGAAGGTTGATGAAGGTTGATGGAAGTTGAAGTGAGGTGAGGTGAAGATGGGAGAAAGAGGATGATGGTTGGTTGGGGGAAAGTTGAAAAAGTTAGCAGCCGGTTGAAACAAGTGAGGAAAAGGCACATTAAGAATTGAAAGATCAGTTTAAGAAAGAGTGGGATGCCATTGCAATTGCAATTGCAAGAAAGAGGTGTAGGTCACTAAGGTGGCTAAGGTAACTCGTGGTTGACGATTTAGGACAAGGTCGGGTGCAGCAAGCACGTTCTTGCTTCGGTAGTACTATCCAGAGCTAGTACTAATGCAATAACTTTAAGTACCGCGCCAGGTGCTATTCAACTATCAAACCAATGTAGAGGAGGTACGGTACAATACATTCAATAATTCCCATGCACACTTTCTTACCTTGGTACAGCTTGATACCTCTTTCAATGCCGTCCTTACCTAATATAAACAACCACCCACATATGCAGTTAGTTGCGGTGCTTAAAACCATTAACCCAACCGATGACGTAAATGTATCCCGGTGACGAGCACAAGCATTAAGACTTATTGGAGCCACAGAAAGAGGCATCCATTAGGAAGCTCGGACATAGAAAGAGGGGTTCAAGTATATTCTTATGTAAACCATCAATGATCACATCAATGCCTAGCACCCAACATGAAGAGCATGTTAGGTACTTCGTTACGTTTCTGAGTAAATGATTTATGACGGAGAGAACACCAGGTAGGTAGGTATTTAGAGGGTTATGAGTCAACATGGAATTTGAAGTTACCTTGATGATACCTGTTACTCCCAAGTCTCATGATTAAGCCTCGATGCAGATAATCGGTCCCTTCCGCGATTAGTACCAGGGATAGGCCAACGGAAGCTACATATGTGTGTACCTAGACTAATGAATTTCAACTCTGCATTTGATATGTACCTAGGAATGTATACATGTACTTGCATGCATTACTCCACTTCATTGAAGTGTACAGGTACCTAGGCGATTACTTCTTTGATATCTCTACTTGCATCCCAATACAGTGTACCTATAATCACTACCTAGGCGATCTTTACAGGCTATAAGCGCTTGTCATAAATCTTACAGGTCGTAAGAGTACTTACCTAGGTATTGTATTATTCGCAATACCATAATCTAGACTTTCCAAGGTTGTTGCTAATGCGTCTGTATATGCTCTACCCCACGGGGTCCGCGCGGGATATAATTTGAATGGTATTACTTACTAGGTACAAGGAAGACTAAAATATATTTGATGTGTGCATGTATACCTATTTATCTCACGGTTTGAAACTATAATTACTTGGTTATATTATAGGTAGGTAAGTAACTAGACGCTTAATGGGTACACTTTCTTTTCTACCTCACCAAGTATAGGGTATATATTAGTATACCCTCCCTTATCAAAACGCCTAGGCCTTCTCAGTTTCTCATACGGTTTTAGAAAGTAAAGTTTAGAAGGCTGACTTGACTACTAGGTACTAAGGGTGCCATTTCAAGCACAATGTCTGTTCGCCACAGCTCCATATTCATGAGATAAACTACAGAACCTTATATCAATTGATATATCAAGTCTACGAAGGATGGGCCGTCCTGTAATATTATTATCTAAATACCCATGTATCCTATAAACGTGGTCTCTGTGTCCATGAATTAGTTTTAATATGGACGTGAAGTTAGCTATGTGAGCCATATGCTAATTCAGGGCTGACAGAAGCAAGCGATGGCGGCGTTCTTTGTAACTTATTAAACTTGATCAATTTCAAAGCGCAGTCCGGCTCCCCCGCAAAGAGAATGTCACAGTTCGCCAATGTCCAATGGTAACGGATTGCGCGTGGTATTGGTCGCATCTCCACGATTCAAGGGGAATCCCAAAACCAATCCTGTTGTTTATTCACGCCTGATATGCAAGTCGGAATTTGTCGTGGTTGTGATTGGTCATCCGTATGAACGGAAACAGCGGATGATGCTGAGACTTCCAGTAACCCTTGTGGTATACCTCTTGTCCAATTATTAGGTGTCAGCTTCATATTGTCAGTAGGAGAACTCTGATCAAGACTTGAGCATACCGGCTAGACCCGTGAGACTGAAAATAGACGCCGTGATAGACTTAGGAACTTGGCATTTATATCTTGAATATATGTGTTGTGTCTAGATAATAGCCAGCTCAGGTTTGACACAGGATACCGGCTGTGCGGTAATATCATACGGGGAAATTACCCGTTTCCTAGCCCAGACTCCGAGATCGACCTAGCACTCATCATCGAGCTCGGTTTACTCACCTACTAAATTATTTACAAGCAGATCCATGGAATATAGGTCATGGTGCATATGTTGTGTGACCAGATTCTGCACATTTCCTAGGGCGGCAAAAGCGGCCGGATGGCCTAGAAATGGTGACTGGCAAGATTCCTTTCTGTTAAACTAGCGATATACTCCGTCTACCGTGGCAGTTAACGAGGTATCAAATCGATGAAGGCAAAAGCTCCGAAAAGTGTTTGCTGTGATACATGGTATCGAAAGGAATACCTTGAGAATACGCCAATCGGTCAACGCAAAAGCTAGGCAAGCAACTATTTGTCGATGGCTGTGGGGTAAATTTCAAACACCCAGTTAGGATACCGCATGTCGAGAGAGTTGACGTAGAGCTGCTACGACGTAGCTCAAAATATAGCCATGGAATGATGGTAAATCCGTGTAGTTCATAGGTAGGTATTATATCTATTCTGTGGTTGAGAGGGGGGCTGATGTCAGTGCTATGGCATCTAATATGTTAAAACACTCAATACATTTGGTGGTGGTAGAGGCCTACCTAGGTAAGCATAAATATTGCGTGTATATTCGATATTCGGTTATTATTGGTATCAAACATTTCAATACGAGGGTCAAGGACAGTCTCTTAGTCTACTAATATTAGATAGCTGTAGCGACAGTTCTGATATGTAACTGGTTCTTCGAGATGAATTGTGAAAATCATCTCTGTCGCAGAGCGCCCTCATGATGTAGCCAGAATCTTTTGCATTCCAAATGCCCCCAATGATCAATCCACCACTCGCCAAAGCTATCTTCAACTTCATAGTCAACCTTCGCGATCCTCTCGTTGCGCTTCAGACCACACACGATGCAAGCCTTGGGCGCCGTGGGAACTAGCTTCTCGGTCTGAATCGGCATTGTTTCGGAGATCTCGGGGATCTTGAGTTGTTCTGTGCTGTTCTTGATAGACGAATTAGCAGTAGCAACGGCGGACCGAAGACGGCCGATGTATTCCTTCCAATGAGCTACGACATCAGCTGCCTCGCGGTCTTCACGGGCAGTCTGCGCCTTATCTATGCCAGCAAGTTTCATTCCTTTGCTTCCTGCGGCTGATATAGTCATCCTCTGGGAAAGAAATTTGTCTCTATGCCATCTCAGCTTTCGGCCAGCGATAACGCGAGCTACCACCGTCGCCAAAGCTAGGTATCCCTTGAGAAATTCGACGGTCTTCGGGTCAGATAGGATGCGGTTTTTTACAGAGAATGATTGTCCGCTAACAGGTTTATACAACGACGTGTTCGCTTCATCGAACAGCTGTGGGAATATTGATAATAATATAGACGGTGGGGGAACATTAGTTGGAGGTAACTCATCCTTTACTTGTTCGGTCTGTTGCTCGGTATCCGCATCGACAGGATCCCAATCCCAAGACGAGTCTTTAGGCTCAGGCGCTACTACCGGTGCTTTTGTCTTTACGGGCTTTTGCTGGACCGGCTCTTCTGAGTCCCAATCCCAATTTGAATCAGCCTTATTCGTATCCATATTAGATTCCGTTTTTCCTGTAGGTAAATCATCAAATGAGCCCCAGTCTTCGTTTAATCCATTACTCCCCGCGGACTTATTCGCGTCAAGGGATGGCCATGCAGTTACTGGTGATGGTTTTGATTCATTGGTTGGCTTCTTCTCTGGCGCTGAAGGTGGCGCGACAGCGAGCCCAGGGAAAGGATTTCTTTCATGGAATGATGGAGACCGTGGTGCTTGCGGGTATGATGTTTGTGAGGTTAGATTCAAGCCTGAAAGCATTTGAGAGGGCCGCATTTTGGTTGTTGTAGGAGGCGAATAGAAATTAGTTGATAAAAGGTCTGGTTCCGGTTGGGCTGGTGAAGCAACTGTCTCAAATTCCCCAAAATCATCATCATCGTCGCCACCATCTTGCTGCTCCCCATGAAAATCATCAGCGTCAAATAACACATTTGAATTAACATTGGGGATCTTTTTGGGTGGCTTTGAAAAAGCAACTTGAGGCGTCGGCGCTTTGACCTTCTTAGGCTGGCCTTGCATCCAAGATGGCACCCTCGCATCATTCCGTAGTGCTGATGGATTATTAAGATCAAGGAGATTATTTGACATAAGATCTATTGTCGACGCTCGTACAACTCTTGTCCGCCGAGGTGGACTCTGTCGTTCTTTAACAACTGTCCTCGATGGAGCAGTGGCTATTACTGAAGTATTTGGCGGCTGGTTCACGTTTGGAGCAACTTCAAAGTCACCCCAACCATCATCATCATCTTCAGCATCCTGGAGTTTTGATTGAGTAGACTGAAACGGTGCACCTGTCCAGCCATTTACACCAGACGGTTGCTGAGTATTTCGCAGCTGACCACTCCGTAAAGATGTATCAGTACTCCAACGTTGGGTGATAGGATTCGTATGTTGCCCTATTTGTGCGCTAGTTTTCTTAGGGTTGTTGAAGGAAAAGGGGTCGGGCGTGAAAGAAGAAACCTGCTTGGAGGTATTTGCCGGTTGCCCCTTTTGACCTTTGGGTGGAGCAGGTTTCGAGGAATCCTCGAACGCAGCGAAGAGATCTGCGGACATATCTAAGTCCTAGATACCATGTGGACGATCGGGTAGACAGTCAATATGTTGAACGCGTGTTAGTAGAATAATTTGAGTACATTTCACCCGAAATTCATTAAACATAAGAAAGATGTAGGAAAGGTTAAGAAGATGGTATGATCGGTGAGGCTGAGTCCAGAAATAGAGTTGATTTAGCGGTCTTGATCGGTGGCAGGGATGTCGGTAGGCTTCGGGCGGAAACCTCCAGGGCTTGGAAAGGTCACTAACCAAAAAGAGTAGGTACTTACTTGGTACCTACCTAGGGTACCTAAGTATCCACTGTGCCACGTTCTTACCTAATGCGTGTAATACGTTCAAATACACAGGACCTAGGTGCATCAGCCGCGCTCAAGTAGGCAACGACGTCCTTATATTACCTATGGATCTTTTGCCTGCATACCTAGGTACATATATCTAGTAGGTATCATGTCTGCTGGGTATATAAACGTTCATAAAGCATCCTGTAGGACTGTATAATTTGATGAAATAGGCAATGATGCCAGTGTTGAAAGAGGTAAGCAACAAGCTTCGGGTCCTGCAATGTTTTGTCGAGTATTTGGAAATGAGACATAAACTACTAATATAAGACGAGGTTATAGGCACATGGCCCCGATGAAGATTGGTCTGGTTTGAAAGATGCCAAAGCGAGACGCAAGTTACAAAATCGATTAAATGTCCGCGCTCATCGTAAGTGATCACTTAGGTACCTAGAAGGTAGCTAGTGTAGCCCTGCTCCAGCACTCATCTTAAACGTTTATAGGACGGCGAAAAGCCATAAATTCGGCTATTGAAGCCCATACGGAGTCCAATAATTCTGCGAGACATAAGCCTTATAGCCTAGTCCAACAGTATATTCCCCTAGAGGAAAACGGAACACGGCAACGGAAGCCCCTGAAGTTAAAATTACTGAATGAACGCATTGCTTCGGATAGCCCTGGGTTTTTTTTTCCATTAACCTCTGACCACTTAATTACACTAGTGCAATACAATTTTGTCCGTGGCGTTTTGACCAATATGGCAATTCTGGGCATCCAGAACGCCTTCCCTCCAGAGTGTTCGAGACATTGGGTTGGCATGCCGCTCTTCCCAGCCCCCTCCGGCATCCCGGAGTCTCTTCAGCCGACTGCCCTGCAGCTTAGCACGCCACATGAGCCATGGATTGACCTGATCCCAGACAAACAGATGCGCGATAACACGATTCTCTTAATAGGCGTAGTTACGCGAGAGGATGTCGAAGATGATGTGACAGGTTTATTATTTGGCAAGGTGAAACTCCTTGAGATGACCGGAATGTTGGCTTGGGACACACCTTGGGATACAAATGGCTGGGAGTTAACGGAAGGGTTTATAAAGAAATGGCCGCTTCTTGTGAAAGGTTGCTGGAAATTGCTCGAGTCTACCAACCGATGGCGAGCGATGCGAGACGAAGAGCCACTAGTTGTCGACTTATAAGTCTAGGCTATGTATTGTGAACGAATATGATGTATATTCTACTCATTTGGATCGGACTATACCTAGGTAGATTTGAGTTTAAAAGACCTAATTCTCATCGAATCAATTCGCACCTACCATGATTGAATTTCAGAAGCTAACTTTGACTTGAGAAATCGCTGCGGGGTGATGTGGGGGAAGAAAGAGCACGGTGGATCTTATCTAATCGCGGCTTTTGGGACTGTCAGCTGGCCGCCAGTCTTTCTAACTTCAGACAAGCTTCTTTCCGAACCCGAACAACATACTTATTCCCCTATATATTTAGATTATACATATATTAACCCTAGGCATCCAGGGGCTCATGCAACTAATACTGCGATTTAATTCAAACCTTTCGCCTTATATAGGGTGGTTATAGTGGCCAGAATGAGAACTTTGGTCGAAGCGACGTAAGTTTAGCCACTCACCACTTTTCATGCCCAAGTCTCTGTTCCAGACAACATAATTTCTAACTATTCATAGTATACGATGGCAAGAAACCCTTAAGTATAGTACCAGCCTTACAGATCTACAGCGAGCTGTTAAAGACAATGGCCCGAGCAGCCCCTGTATTTCGGGATGTAGATCCATCTGCTGGAAGGTTAGTTACTCTAACTAATCGGATCTGATCTGACCTAACTTGGAATCAGGCCTTCCTGTTAAGCCAGAGTACCGATCCTACAAGTTGGACCAATACTATGTTAGAGTCACGAGGGACATATGCTTCATTGAGAGATCACTACTTGAAATACATTAAGAATCCTGAGTATCTCACAACTGTGTCCTCTGATCCTTTAGCAGATGATGCCAATGTAAGAACAATCGATAAACTTGTCATATAGATATTAACTTGGTTTAGTCTCCTTGGAATACCTTTCGCCATGATGAAGCTTTAAGGGCCGAAATCCTTCAGGATGTTCAACGGCTACCAGATGAGCCATTCTACCATCAAACTCATATACAGACGCTCATTCTAGATGTTCTTTTCATATATTGCAAGCTCAACCCTGTCATAGGCGGATACCGTCAGGGTATGCATGAGCTTTTGGCGCCTATTGTCTATGTCGTAGAGCAGGATGCTATCGACTCAGCTAATGTCGCCTCCGACCCCTCGGCAGACCCCAGAATGTTAGAAAATTTAGACTCCTCGTTCGTTGAACACGATTCCTTCGCTATTTTCTCTAGGGTTATGGACCAAGCAAGACCTTTCTACGAAGTAGGCGAGTCTTCAGCAAATCTCTCTCACACAACGTCGGATCAGCGTTCTCCAACGTCCTCTATCGTCGAAAAAAGCCAGTATATACATGAAGTTTGTCTATATAAAGCGGATCCGGAACTCTCAACTCATCTCAAAAATATTGAAATTCTACCCCAAGTATTCTTAATGTAAGCTTACATTCTTCTCTATTCCGGGTTTCTTTTATTAACGGGAATCGCGATCTATTATAGCCGATGGATCCGTCTCCTATTTAGTCGCGAATTTCCGTTTGATCAGACACTTGTACTTTGGGATACTCTCTTTTCGGTAGATCCTTCGTTTCAATTGATAGACCTGGTTTGTACAGCGATGCTAATTAGAATTCGGTGGGATCGTAAGTGCTCTGAACCACAACACGTAATGCCAACTGATTCATCTCTAATACTAAATAGTCCTTAATGCTGATTACACGGTGGCGTTGCAACTGTTGCTCAGGTATCCGCCTCCGCAACCGAGTCACGGTCCCCATACGTTTGTCGATGATGCGGTCTATTTAAAAGATCATTTAGATCCGGTTGGGGGCTCTACACTAATAGTAAAGTATACTGGAAAGCCCCCTTCGCCGTCGGGAACAGCTTCGGGCGCGTCTACCCCGAAGAGCTCAACCTCCAATATAAGGCGAAGATTGGCTGGTGCCAGATCGCCTCTCTCCCCCTCTCGCTTCAAGCCACCCCAGGCTAGCATGGAAGCTCTATTTCAAGGCGCGGCTAAGAACGTCCTTGAAAGGGGAGAGAAGCTCGGCATTAACCAAGCAGTGCGCGATGCTATGGTGGAAATACGTCGTAATGTCCAAGAAGCTAAGAGCTCTATGAAGGCCAGTCGTGATCATTTTGCCGAACCGGGGTCCAGCAACACAGCAGTACGAGCCGTAGCGATGTTCGATCGGAGGAATAGGCGGCTAGCGGCCTTGTTGGAGGAACCGATCTCGTCTTTAAAGAATCTCTCGAGCTCTGATCTAGAAGACAAACAGAAAGTCCAAGATGCTCTTGAAATCGCCGCCGCAAGGATACAGTTTATCAAGATCTATCTGGAGGATTCCACCATAGCTCTTCCAGATGAAGAAGAGCCCGTATCGTCAATATCTCCAGGGACACCGTCCAGCAGCGATCTTAATACCGACCCGGGGCCGCCGCTAAGCGACGCTGTTGCCGCGATGGCTCTCAATCCACCCGTGTCCGCAACTGAGGTCCAAAATATTGAGGGCGCAAACTCCCCATCGGCCGATCCACCTATAGCAGACCCGGATAAAATGGACACCGACGATCCCCTAGACTCCGGAACATCGTCGACACTAGTAGATAAAACGACAGAGCGTCCACAAGCACCTGTGCCAACACGATCAAGCCTCGCGCAATCTTCCTTCTCCTGGATGCTGGAGTCCGATAGCTCGTCCTCATCACAGAAACCGCCCATCTTCCCGTCGAAATCAACCGGCTCGCATCGCAAGAGGCCGTCCGCGAATGCGAGCCACGAGCGCACGGCGTTCCTATTCGGGGAAGTATCCGCTGACGAGAGCGGGCAGGCCGTACTGCCTGAAAATATATTCGACCTGGAGGAGATGCGGAAGTCGAAGACGTGAACTAATCTGGGCTTGGAGTTGTTTCAGCCAGATAAATATACCATATCTAGATGTATTAAGATTGATGTTGCTATATGATATGAATATATGAATAGGCGTGTTTTGCTATACAATTCATGTTGTATGTGATATTACGTCACCAGGGGATCTGGTGCAGTCTTTCAACATATACTTTTATTGATAATAGCCATAATCGTTTCCCATAGCCGCATATGTGAGGAGCTATCTAAGTATCTCATGCCTCAACAACCCGCCATGTCAGATAAACGTGAGGAAAAGAGTATGCAGACTTGAAAAATGACCACTGCAATAAAATGTGTTTTTAAAAAAGGATTGAGGGAAATTTCGCCGGTACACCGAAACCAAATCATAGCAGTCCCCAACCCAGGAAACAAAGACCCAGAAGGAGAGAAAATCCCAAAAATCGTGTTACCGAAAAGCCAGCCATTCTTAGGTTTTTATATCGTAACCTATAGATTCGTCAAAACTCCGCGCCAGAAAGTGTATATGCTGATTTCCCGCCAATGTAGCTTATCTTCTCTAAAAGAAAAAGAAAACGAAAATGGGACTTTAAAAAGGAGGGTAAAGAAAAACCCCATGCTTCTTGCTTGCTTTCCATATGTGTATCGTATATCTTCGTGCTACTTTCCTACTCCCGAATTTGCAATAATTCCTAAGAGCTGGGTATCATGTAAAATTTCTGTCTTCATTCCCCAATCATGTTGCCCTATTCTCTAGTGCAGTCTAGCCTGTAAACCCGCCATGTCGTACAAACCCGCACTTAAAGCAACCCCCCAACCCTCCCTTAGACCTCACGGGATAATACGCCTAACTGTCCTCGTCATGTCTTCATTCCGTCTGGCACCACGGGTGTTGGATTACTTGCTCGATGTCGTACCGCTGTGAAACGTCGCGATCGAGCATGCATCGGATGAGATCGATGCTCTCGTCGCTGATTACGTAGGGCACTCTCAGATCGCGATCCATAATCTCATCGATGCTGTAGAATGGATTCTCCTTGTAGATGATGGTGTAGAGGAGTATTCCTAGAGCCCAAACATCTTGCTCTTTACCGCCGTACGGTTTTCCTGCCAGCACCTCTGGAGCTGCATAGTCTATGCAAAATTATTACATTAGTTCATGCACAACATAAAATGCGGTATAAATGGAGAACATACCAATAGTACCCACAAAGACATCAAAGGGTCCACTCTTGATATATGCCGCGCTTCCAAAGTCGATTAACTTGATATTTCCTTCACCGTCTAGAATGACATTTTCATCTTTGATGTCGCGATGGACTACTTTCGCTCTCGTGTGGAGGTGGTGTATTGCCCGTGCGACCTGGACGAAGATGCTTCGGCATTCATCCTCTTCCATATTTGTCCGGAGCTCGATGTAATCGAATAGATCCATCCCAGGATATCCATGGGGTGCCATTTCGATGTAGTAATTCACCTCATCCTCGAAGAAATCTTCCATCTCTACGATGTTGGGATGTTTGAAACCGTCCCGTCGGAGGTAATCCAAAACGTGTATCTCGAGGGGTACTGTACCGAGCCGCCGATCTCTCGTCCACGTGTCTACAAGAATTCGTCGCTTCGTCACATATTTCAGAACCACCTTTTTTCCACCGCCGTACTTATACCGTGCTAGTTTCACCTGACCATAAGCACCCTGCCCCATATCTTCAAGTATAACGAAATCGTCGATCGTTTTCTTCCGCGCTGGTGCCTCAGCTGGGGACACCGCGGTTACAGGTGGCGACTTGTCTGTCTGTCTTGATACACCAGTGAGTTTTGCGGCCGCATTCATCGCGACAACTTTGAGTTGCTGCGACAACGCGGATGCAGTAGAAGAGGGTCTTGACTTTGTCTCCTCTGAATCCGAGCCTATATCTTGCGGCGTATGTGCTGGGGTTTGACCGGGAGAAGGCTGGTGCAAAGGGGAAACTGCCCCGGATAGCACTGGTGATTTAGGAGTGACTGATGACTTTATGACGGATGCGTGCAAGTGTCTCGAGTATGTTATCCATAACGCGTAAACCACCTCCGATTCAACCTCCATCAAAACTCCTTCACTGGTCTGAGATTCGTCGTCACTTGAACTTGAATCGTTGCCGGACTTCTTCTCGCTCTTGACGATTCTCATCTGAACATCGATCTTTAGTTCTGTGCCGTCGCGGTGTTTTGCTGGAAGACCATCGGAATTTAAGAAACTGGCAGCGGCGTCTGGCCTGCTGTCGTGCAAAGCTAACAAAACAGATGCTTTCCGAAAGCTATGTTCAGGTACGACTATGCCATCCCTAACTTGCACTCCATCATGATCCACCAATATTTCGAGGATTTTGTCGAAGTCCGGTATGAGATTACATATCGACTGTCCTTCTGGTTTCTCATAGCCGAAAAGCGCTCCACAGAATGCGGAATTTGAACTCGTGATCTTGAGGGTATCCGGCGAGACTACGATGATTCCAGCAATATGCGGAAAGCTCGAAATACGAAGCTCAGGCTGACCCCTCGTCTGAGAGACTATAGTAGGAACGTTGACTTTATTACCGTTTCGACAAGTGAAATACTTGCGCTTCGCGATTTGTGCGTAGTCAATGGCGCCATATCTGGGGTCGATACCTTGACGAGGAATGCGAGGTATTAGCTTGCCGACGTCCATACCGGGTCGTAGATTCTCCTCTCCCCATATTGGACCCGTATCTCCTAAGATTTTGGTGACAACTCCGTCTTCATCAAGACTCACCAAGGCCACATCTTCATGAATTTCTTCAAGAACCCAGATTAGGCCTACTTTCTTTTCTTTGACCCACAAACTTGCGGAACCTGTTGCCCCATTGCGTTTCTGTATGGGGACTACGTCGCCACAGAGCAATACTCCTCTAGACTTTGAATTGCGATGGTTCACGCCTCGAGGTTTCGATGGTGTTGTATCTCCACTATGAACGGTCTGCGCACGCCGGGCCGGGGCTTTCGGGCGCTGTGATCGAGAGTTAGGTTTACTCAATAAATGCGCTGTGATGCCGCCACGTCCCCCGAGCAGAGACGAGCCGGCTGAAGGAATGGGCGGAGGTGCAGTCTCCGCGGGTTCCTGGCTTACGTCGTTAGGATCAGCACGGAGAAGTCTATTCTCTAACCAAGAACGCCTCTCCTCCTGTACAACCTCGAGAATGCCCATCTTGCGGACTTCTGCTTTCGTCACACCAAAGACGAGACAGGCTAAATCGTTAGCAGCTAATATCGTCCACGGGGGTTTAGATTCGGTTGTGAAGATGGCTTGTGCTGCTGGAACCCATCGAGTTGCATGGCCATGTACCGAAGGCCCCAAAGAGGGTGTAAGTGCCGAGCCCATGGCTAAAGGCGGAAGGGTTGGTGACACTAACGCCTCGGTATACCTTTCGGATGATGCGGCGAGGAATGGCTGCGCCATTGTATCCATGAGTTTCTGTTGCATTTCAGCAGATACTACATCCGTGTAAGTTCTCCGTAGACTTGGGCGTCTGGACACCGGTGGGGAGGTCTGAGCCGTGGTGCCACTCTCATTAGTCGGTGTTCTCGAGGAGCTCTCGGAATCCGTTTGGTCTTGTATAACGTCTACTTGCTTCGGCATGGGCCTATCCTCCTCGCTCCCTGTAGGTTTTGTGGTGGTAAGAGAAAACTGGTTCACAGGAGGCTTTTGAGTATCTGTAGGAGATACCATCGGGGTTACGAAGGACTCGGGACTGCTTGTTCTTGGTATGGGTATGAAGTCTTTCTCGAACACATTATCAATCGAAACCCGAGCAGGACCGGTCAACGGTCCTGGGGGAATAGACGAATCGGCATTTGGTAGATTCCCCGCTCCAACGAGCTGTGCCCTAGCAAGTAAATCAAGCATATGTTGTGTCTCTACATCACCGGAAACTCTGGCTTGTGCGCTAGCAATGCCGGCGGCATTCGAGGACATGGACCACCCCATGCGATCCTTCATAAACTCTATAGATCTCTTTAACACATTCTGGCGGTTATGTATGAACTCTTCGGACTGATGGGCGAAGGAAAAAGAGTGTAAAGATTCGGAAGGAAAGCGGGACAGGTCTTCGGAGAAATTGGGAGACGCGGGGCCGGGTGTTAATGGGGTTTGCTGTCCGGAAGGCAGCATCATGGTCATGGAAGTGGAACGAGCAAGACCGGTAGAGGGACTTCGCGAAGAAACGGCGGTTGAGGGCATGGTAGGGATACGCGGAGTAGGATGCTGACGGATGCGTCGTAAACCGGATATGCCCAATCCATGGTCATGTTCGGTGATAATTGGAGATCTGGTTTTTTGGAACATTCATAATATTAGTAACTATTGGCCTATTCTTATTTGATATATTATCTTGTGGGCTGTTATTGTCTCTCTTTTTTTCTTTTTTCTTTTCTTTTTTTCCCTCTCCTTTTTAAAATACTTTGCTTGGCAGGCGTTAGAGGGCGTTGGTAGACGGGAGTTTCGGTGTGTATGCAATGAGGCGGCTGAGCATGTATCCATGTGACGCTGCCGAAAGGGTGGTGTACGTAGGTAGGGATATCATCCTTTCCCCGTTGTGGCCGTGTGCCTATTCTCGGATGCCTCACATCAAAAAGAGGTACATACTAAAGGACATACCTTGTGATTTGGTCAGATTCTGCCACACCTGATCCGGTATCGAAAGAAAACCTCAACCTTGGCCTCTCAGGAAATTCACCCACAACAGCGAGGTTTCCGGTGCTGCGGTTCTTAGGTAGTCGCAACGGAGCGGAGAGCTTATTACTCCTCGTGGAGCCACGTCCGCGTTGTGGTTCTGGGTCTCCATCTTGATTTGTATTCTCGTCGCCTTGTAGGTGGACAGTGGGATCAGTGGCCATGGGCATGAGAATATGATGCGTCGTTTCAACCTCGAAACTCACCACAGTCCTGGTTTCCACCATGAATATGTTTCATAATTGACAAATATCAATAGAATGTTTGTGCTACGACCCGCGCGCGCAATAATATCGAATGGACACTGCGGGCGAAGGAAAGAAGTAGAAGAAGAAAAGAAAAGGAAAAAAAATTGATATGTTTTATGGGATTGGGATATCGTAAAACAAAAAATGGTTGGGTAGAGACGTATGCGTATGGTATGGTATGTTTATGAATGTAGGGTGTTGTACATTTATTTTTAAAGTAAGCTGACAGGCGTAGGCGTAGGCGGGAGGCGGCGCGGGGTTAATCAATCTGATTGATTCAAGTTAAGACTGCCAGATGGATTGAGAAGAGAAAAAAATAAAGATTGGAATAATTGGGACGAGTGGAAACCTGTTGGGTCGGGAATAGCCTTTTCCTTTCTCCCTAGGTAACCTTTAAAATGCTCGTTAGTTTGGACAGGCAAGTGGCAGTTACTGCCTAAGGAGGTACAACATACCTTAGGCTTTGCGCTTTGCGGGCTGCGGGCTGCGGACTGTGGGCAGTCACCAGTGACAGTGGGCTGCAATCGGGTTGGTTTGATGTCAGTGGGGGTTCAAGGTTAAGTTCTGCTTGCCGACTCTCGGCTTCCAACAGCCCAGATCCAAGCACGTTTAAACAGGTGCTACGGTACTGGTCAACTGGGGCGTGCGTGCTGTCGAAAGCTGGGGAACCCTTGATCGGCGGCTGATAGGTTGCCTCCAGCTTCAACACACCCTTCTTTGTCCGATTTTCAAATCAATATTCCCTCTCTTATCTCTTAAGTGAGTACATATAAGTCTATGATGAAAAGAAGAAATAGCTACCGAAACAATCGACACAGGGAGAGACGGAGAGATTCATCTGACTTGAAGATGGAATGTTTGCATTCTCTTATGTAACTACCTAAGTACAACACCTAAAATAGAGTGGGTTCCTGCCAATTGACTGATGTAATGAATTTGGGGTCACACAACCGTAGATTGGTCCGAACTCTCAGGGTCTCTTTTTTCGAGTAGTACAAATTCTCCAAGTCCAAAGCTAATGCGGGCTACCATTGGCAATGGATATCACGAACGCCTTTAATATTTGGTGCTCTAATAAAAACCTCATCTCTCACGATTATGAAAGCTGTTTGCACCTATATTTGTACGTGACTATACAAATATGCATTTTTTCGGCACATATTTTCGCACATATATATTACCGAATAATTCAAAGATATCCATTTGGTAGTACATATATCGAACTACCGCCTATGATGTCAGTCAGCAGGATATACACCAATAGTCCTAACTACCAATTGGTTGCTTTGCATAATCCGGTTCCCCTTTTCTGGTTAGTTTTCCCACAAGTGCGCGCCTCTGGCGGCTGCAAGATGGTGACCACAGTGATGACATACAGCAGCGATGACGCTACTTTACAAATTTCAATCATTGTTTGTGGCGAGCTGAGTCCGAATAGCTGCATGTAGTTATCCGTAGACACATAGATATCTATACATTATGCTTGGCTAGGGGCTCCTCGTTTTGGATTTTTGTAATCATGCACGGGCTGTTCAAGCAATATGGATGTTAACTGATTTTTTCGAAACAGTATGAAACTAAGGTACCTAGCATGTAGGTAGGCTTAAGTAGATAGGTACTCTCTCACCTCACCCCTCCCTACTTGTTTTTTTTAATTCTCACGCTTACACACGTACTACACCATAGCGTCAACTAAACTAGACATGAATGAGAGTAGTGAGAGTCACCTTATTTAATAGGTTCGTTAGAAGTATAGTCAATGAGATCCGCTTCGTGAGAAAGTTCCGTATTTATCTCCAGGGGACTCGTGTGAGCCGTAAAGCTACCTCCTGAAGTATATAACCCCCAATCCAAGAACGTAAAACTCCGCGGTTTGTCCCATCCTACCTGCATGCTTCTTCTCGTTTGGAGCCTGCACATTCCGATTCCACACAAGCCCGTTTTTTCCCCTTAACGCCATGCATGCATCTGTAATAATGTAACTCCTGCCGCCACCGCCGCCGCCACCTATGATTTCCTTCCTGGACTTCCCTACCCCAGCCGCTTCCTAGAACATCTAGTATTCTAGTAGAATACGGAAAACCTGCCCTCATTCCTCACTGCCTAGTATACAACTTATATACGTGACTGATAGGGTACTCCCCTTTCGGTCATTTTGCAACTCGTTTGCATAGTTGCGGGGTCGGCGCGGTCCATCGGAAACCATCTAGCTGATTGAGAATATATGTGTGTATATATATTCGGAAGCGTGTGTCGATATTGTCGCGTCGTTCGACTCATGTGATTAATAAAGTTTGTTCGTACCTCGTAGCACCCTGATGCTTGGTGTATCATGTTTAGATTGATTCAAGAACCACCGGATGATGGCGAACTCGCACCCTTATTCCTACGAAAGAATGTCGAAACGTTCATCCTGAATCTGCTGCCCTTCTTTTTCAGTGCTCTCTCGGGTTCAGGTTTAAGGGTATTCCCATTAGAATCCTCCTCCGAATTGGCTGAGTCGAAACCCATCATCGGCGCTATCATACGGGAGTCAGGTGCCGTGATCGTGGTGACGGGTAGATTGCACGGGCGCTCGCGTTCCATGGATTCTTGGCTGACGATGCTGGTGCCCTGAGTGCTCGGTGAGAGAGGCATCTTGCCCGTGGTGGCGCTAGTGGCTTGCGATTGCCAATCTCCCGTCGGTACCGAGCTACTCCCATCTGTAGTCTCGCTACAACGTTGCTTCCCATTGTGCCCAATCAATTTATTTTCCGACTCGTTGATGCCAAATGGATCGCTTGCGGCAAAATCTGCGATGTTGTCAAAGCCGGGGGAGACGCCATTGATTTCTTTGTATTCCACTGGAATGCTGGGAATGTGGTAAGATTGGTCAGGAGTATGTGAGCCGGCTTTATTCAATTCGGCATGGTTCGGAATTAGGTCACAGATCTCTGAATCTTTCGGTAACCCGACTCGTTCCGGCTGGATCGCTAGGCTCACTGAACGAGGTGAAAGTATACCCTCAGTTAATCTCTTCTTTCGCTCGTCTCCCATGCCTGGAATTTCTTCTACCGTCTTCTCGAATAGAGATTTATTCCTTTCAAGCTCGTCAACAGTATACTGCATCGCGGGTAGCACATCAGCGATCCCCTGAAATAGCGGGATGGCGAACATGTTCATGAACCCCAACTGAGCCTGGGCTAGTGAAAGGAAATCCTTCTTTGGTGGCGCAATCAGAGAAGATGGGATACCAATGTCGTTCTCCATCGTTGATTGTCTGGAAAACTCGTCGCAGAGGATATACATCCATTGGAGAGCGGTCTGGTGTTCTCGGGCCTAGTAGCATAGTCAGCCACTGTATAAATCATAGATTAGGAATTCAATAAAGATAATACGTACAACATTACTGATATCAGCGCATTTGATCAGCAGAGAACACACGAACGCTGTTTGCTCTTCTATCATGCGTCCATTCCAGCAATCGATTGAATCAATCTCTTTCAACTTCTCTTGAAGGTCGCCGAGTCTTTTCATATAATCGAAGTGGAGGCCCATGTCTGTTGCTAAAATCGAGCTAACCAAAAGATGTCGCATTTTCGTGTCATCGAAGACTCTAGGCCAGTATCTCCGAAGAATCTGCGAATATGCTGCACAATGGAAGGACTCGAGAACGGACCGGTCATTATACAGCTGTGCCAACGGTGCATTAAGTACTACCAAGAAGCCATTATTGACGCCGGGGTGGCCAACATCGTGACCGATTGCTCCTATAAGAAGAGTCAACGCTTCAAACGGCTTGATTAAATATGCCAGCGGAGATTTCTCGGTTGGTGTGACAGGAGGTCCGGACCGAGAGGGATATGGCGGTAACGCTCCAATTTGAACAAGAAAGTTGAAAGTAGCCTGAAGGACGTCGACGGCATGCCTAAAATTGTGGTAAGGAACAAATGTATTATAGGCAGCCCGCGTGGCGACGAGGAATGACGTTAGTTGATCTATATTTTTTAATTGTTAGCCAGGCACGATGGGGATATGAATTAATCCTCACCTGTTGGTATTCGCCAATGCTCAAGCTCGGGCATCATAAAGGCATGCTTAAACATGAGGATAGCTGCGATAAGGAGAGCGTCATCACCAAAATCATGAGCGCAAAAATGCCACCTGCCGACAGCCTCGGCGATTTCGGATCGGTGCTCGGACGGAACGCTGACTTTGACGCTCCCAATGCGGTCTTCGGATTCTGTGCTTGAACGGCAAATCCCTTTCATTAACCCAGATACCATAGCCTCTCTAAGGTACGAATAAGGCTGGCCCTCATTTACGCCCACCCATGACCTCTTACGACCTCTCGAAACTTCCAACGCTGCTTGTTGTTCCCTAGCGGCCTGCTTATGAGCCCGGTACGCGTGTACTTCAAGTGTTGGGAGGGTTTTAATATGCAGTGGACTAGCCATCACATCCACAGCACCAGAGTCCAAACACCTTCTCAACAGGGCGCGGCTGGATAACGATTTGTTAGTTATACCCGGAGCTTCGGAGAGATAGCCGGAATAACCAGACTTTACGGGTTCGTCGTTCGCGCCATCGTTTGCACCATCGTTCGCCGGCGGGCTCTGCAGTGAGGGAAAGCTAATAATAGGAATAGGTACGACTAATCTCGTAAGGCTCCTTAGATGGGTTTCGTAGACAATTCGCTCCAGTAATTTCAATCCGTACAATTCTCCTACCAAGTCGCCCTCCGTCAGTTCGCCCCGCGACAATTCAGAGCATGGGGAATGATCACGTTCATAAGAGTGTGATTCTAACGATTGCTCGTCGTACGGCGTATCGATCAGTACAAGCGTTGGTTTAAGCTCTACCATAGATGTATCATGCAAGTGGAACAGCTTAGATATGCAGGCAGCGCCACTTGCGCACGCATGTACTATGTCACATATTAGCTGATATAAAGGTGTAGAAGCTGACGTTGTGTACTAACCGTCGCCGAAGGCATCGAGCAATAGTCCTAAGTTACCCCGAAGCTCGCCAGTCTCCGGTAATTCCGTGCCGTCGGACCCAAGTGTTCGGTCTTCGAGCACGTTACGGTCCACGTAGATGACATTACATGTTGCACTATCCATCACGGCGGGTTATGGCATCCAGCCTGGCGACCGGAGCACTTCCGCCGAGTTAATTTTGTTGTCGCAACTGTAATCGACTGCGTAAAGAAGTAATTGTATAAAGGAGAATAATTCAATTGGGTCGGACGTATAGGTTGTATAATGTCTGTCTTAGCCTGAGATAGAATTGGTATATCGTGTGTGCGACGGCAATAACAGTCGAGGCGCAAAGGTCGTACTCGGGACTTGAAGATACCTCGACAGGCTAGCCACTCAAATCAGGTCACACTTCAAATAGAAACAACCATCCAAAGGATCCGAAAGACGAAATGCGCATGCGACAGACTACAATTTGCGCGAAAGTTATTGGTTATGCAGTTTCGAAGGGAGTCGTCGAGGAATGGTGGACCGGATTAGTAACATGGGACTCGGAGCAAGCGAAGACGCACATATACGTGCGACTATGATCGAACGTGTTTGGATAGAGGGCTGCGAAGTCCTAGAGTTTCTGGAGGCCCTGGAGAAAGGAACGACGTTACACTCGAACGGGGAATGACAATGCGTTTCGCAACACTTGCGACTCCCGGTTCGTCTAAGAATGTTTTTTCTTCTTTTCTTTTCCTTTCCTTTTTTCCTCCTATTTCCCTTTCTAGACACCGCAAAGAAAGGATGATCGTGGTAGTCAAGTCTTAAGAGAAAAGAAATACTACTTGTTTTGAGCCTATCTTCGAGACTACTTTAAAAATCGAAGTCGAGAACCTGGGGGCCAATACAAAGGTCGTCGATAAGTGGTTGTGAATGGATGCTGCTGCATGTACAGCCGTGGGACGATGTGTCGTGTCGATAGAATAATAAAATAAGGGAATAACAGTAGGTATTTCGAAGTTGTCGAGGAAACAAACGACGTCAGGAAGATCAGGCGATGGACATGAGAGAAAGGTGTAGACCAAACAAAATCCCTATGCGGATTGCACAATAGGAGGGAAGAAAGAGAAGAAGAGGAACAAGTGAAGTTTGCGATTAATCGGGTGTCATTTTTAGTGCGACGGCAGTGAAGGGTGAAGGGTTGAAGGGTGAAGAAGGTGCTTGCTTGGAATCCAAAGGCCCACTAGACTACTGTGACTAAAAAAGGTACATATAAAGTACATATGTAGGTACGTAGGCACTAACTAAAAATGCTAAAACCCCAGCGGTAGGATCGCGGGCAAGGCGGGTGTATTGGACGGGGTCTATTCAGGTGGTTGGTAATGTTTTGGTAACGCAATAGCATTTGAAGTATGTCGATTCAAGTCTCGTGCTTTTTCCTGTAGATATGTATGTATATGAAAGTGTGTATTATTGATGCGTATTATGTATACGTTGTGGGTATCCTTTTTTTAGGTAATGTCAGTGATAGTTTTTATGTAAGTCATGAAAGGACTTAGATTCGCGGAAGAGAAACTCGATACTAATACGCAGTGGATAAACGTTTTTTAAAGGATCGATGATGTAAAATGCCGTTGCGTGTTGTGGTCGGTTTCAAGATATTGGTCGCATCTGTAGCACACAGTCTTGGGTCGAAAATGTGTCTTGGAGACGCGGCGAAAGTTGGGGGCCATCAATCATCCTTTCCCTCGTGTGCGAGGATTGACATGTCACTGCATCTGGAATTCGACAATATCCATCACATCTACACACCAGACATCAATACAAGAAACATTGAGGTTCGTACCACGGAAAGATTGTGTGGTATATGGTATGTAAATGTACTATGTACAGATACAGTTCTGCGGATGTTGCCATGTATAATACGAGGCAGCCAGTACCCCTCATATCTTGACAGTAGGTACCTTCCCGACCAAGATTGACCTGCCCTCTTCAGAGGTTTGTACATGCCTTATATAAATATGTACCCAGAAGGTACCCATGTATCGTTGTATCGTGGTTTCAACAAGCACGATACGCAACATTGAGCTTGGAAACGTATACCTAAATACATTATTAGGTGTACCTAGGCGCGATGATACGCTTAAGGTTGGGTACTAGGTACCTATAGTACAATACCTACTGTACCTACTGCACGATAACATTAGGGGAACATACGTACATACTCGCGCGCGTGAGTAAGTGGGAACGCTTTTATTAGTCTACATAGTATTATCCCTGATCCGTGCGGCTGATGGGAAGATAGCTTAGGTTGTTTAATAATTGTGATTATCACAGCCAATAATAGGGATGGCGAAATAGACGGTAAAAGTGGTGAATGCGAAAGTTCCAACCTTACGATCGGTTTCGGAGCTGCCGCCCTGTTAGCGGTTGAAGAGCGACTCAGGTTCTGCTTACGTCTCTTGCGTCTCTGGGTTCCATGGGCAGCATGGGATGGCCATGGCTGCCATGGGATGGATGCGATGCGGTGCGTGCGTTCGTGCGTGCATCGTAAGCAAAGTCCGCTAAGGAGGCGACAAGCTTCAGGGAAGGAATCGACCTGACTGGTTGCGATGCTGCTGTTCCCTGCGTTGCGGGTCTTGTGGTCCGGGACCCCCCTGCCTGGCCGGGCAACCGTGTGTTGTGTGTGTACCCTTGGCGATTCTAGGAGGGGAGCTTCGAAGGCTTCGAAGGCTTCCAGAAGCCTGATGGAAGCCTGTAACGAAGGAGCCTTGGAAGGCGAAAGGGAAGAGAAGGGAAAAGAAGGAAAAAGTGGGAAAGTGGAGACTATTGACATAGCGGGAAAAGGTGGATTCATCCGACCAATGATATGCGTTAATTCCTCTCCGAAATCCGTACAGTACGGAATGAGTTACACAAGCACGTCGTCTTTTGCCTTTCTAGTTGTGTCGATCATTCAATCATTCATCAACTTATGCAGTTCGCAGCCCACAGAACCACGCAACCACGCAACCCACGCCAACCCTTCCTTGCCTTCGATAGATCCATTGATTTCCAACGTGGCTCAGATTAAAAATCGCCTTAGCTTTTTCGATGGCCGATATCATATTCATTACAAACACGTATTCATCATCAATTCGGTTCCGTCCACTTCCTCTTTCTGATTAGCTTTTACCGCTCAGCTGGTTAAGAACCCCGTAAGCGGGAGGCTCGGGACTAATTGTGACATTGTCAGGTCATCCCTAACTCGTATTACCGTCTAAATGTAGCAGCTGAAGCAGCCTCAAACTGAAGATCATCTGGATGATGAAGATGATGGAAATTCGATATAGTATTTGTCGATGCGGATGAGCATATCATGCTGAAATCATGACGCTCGTCTCGTCTGTCGTGTTCGCGCGGGCAACAGAAAGCCGACGGCAACTTACGTGGTCTAGACAATTCTCTCTTCGAGGCTAGGGTCGCCTCCGAATCTTAGATCCGTCTTAGTTGGGTCTCTCAGCTTGGGGGAGATCTGAGATGAGGAGTGGTGGCCTCGGTGACTCATTACCAAAGGATATGTCTACAGTTTACATACTCGTCGAGCTTAATGAGCGACCAACGAGTCATTGACGTTGATGAACATTTAACTCTTTTCCCTCATCATCAAATGACGAATGGTGTACACTTGGCAAGCCCAAGATGCAAGTTTCAAAAGTATGTTGGTTTCTCTTCTTTCTCCACCAGCGCCGTATCCCATGGGCTACGCAGCTACGTTTCCAGAACAAGGTTTATCTTGCGATCTTTTGAATCCATTTTCGTGAATGCGAAATCGAAATAAGCAAAACCACCATTTATAAACATGTCATGATGCTTTGATGTTGTGATGGTAACACATCCAATAAGTATTTAGGTAGATATTTGTCTCAAATGTCGATTATCGAATCCTTCGAAGCTGATGAGTTGGGTTGGGTTGAGTTCGTTCGTTCGTGCCGAGGCAGCCACAGCCAGGTAGCCTGGGCGCTGGGCAGGCACTGCCAGACAGGCCGGGGTGATTATGTAGGCTGGTAGGTAGACCGGTAGGTACATGAGCTGTACTTGGATCCTTGATTCTCAATACACCGTTTTTGGCATATAGAAACCTTTAACCGCATGTCTTCCTTCCAGTCCCTGAATTACCAACCCCTGCGTTACACTAAAGGCTTTACCCCTTTTTACTCGATATCAATGATCTTCTCCCTTTCTAGTATTAGTCATTTTCGGCTGTGTCATCCCCAAACAGCAACTCTGCCGCATCCTTTTTCACGACCTTCCTCTTACAGTAGTATCGCTCAATCTCTGAAATAAAGAGATCTGTTGGTTCTATACCAATCCCCACCCACGCGAAACACCACGAATCGAGGCTATCGGATCTATTCTCCATAACCAAACTAATGCGCACAACAGAGACGGTCCATCCGTTTTGTTCCCTGCTCGAACCAAGCTTTTAAATGCTTACTTAACCTTACTTAAACGATTAGAAAGATCTACGCTTCTCCTACCGCTCTGCTTTTACACGTACATACGCACATACACACGTACATCTTCCTAATCTTCCAAGCCGTCTAACCTGCCTGTCTCGGTCCACCACTTATTTACGTGGCTAGACTCTATCTAGGCCGTCGTCCATTCCATGAGGGCCGCGTTCCCCTTCAGTTACCTTCTTTATCTGGTCCGGGGGCTACAACCGGATTGGCGGAATACGACGCGATTGACGGAGCAGTAAGGCTACGCAAAAGCAAGATCTAGCCTATCTGGGCTCCGAGATGGCTTCCACCTTCAAAGCGTTACCCTCAGATACGCACAAGCCCTATTCCCACCTACACTTGTAACCCGCTACCACATTACCTTGATCAGGATATCAGGTTATGAGTGGTATTTGTTACCTGTCATCTGTCATGATATGTTCGAACGACAGGGTCGTCCCGACGGAACCCTTCCCCAGGTTTCACGGCATCAAGACAACGTGGTGAGAGTATTACTCAATTTCCTGCCGGTCCGGCAGCCTTTAATGTCCGTAGGCAAGGTCCTTTCCCTGCTTATCCCGAATCCGCATCCTTCGTCTCATTTACCGTGCATGGGGGATGAAAGTCAAAGCGATACGTTGACTTAGATAATGAGCCTCATCAATATTGAGGATTCATCGCATGCATCTAAGTGCCGCAGGTACGACGACGACGTTTCTAGTGTCAACAATTTTAGGGGAAATATTGGTCATCCTTCGCCGGTACCTTTTTTTTTGCTCAGCCTCCAGCCTTACTACAATCTCATACTCCTGCTTATCTGTATGAAACTTCCTCTCGGGTCACCGAAATCCCCGAGTCTAAGCCGGAGCTATGTTTCTTATCAAGGTCCGAAAAAGCTAGCCTCAAGGAATAACTAGCATCTGACTGCCGAGGAGATTGGCCCTACACTCTACTTCTCTTAACGCCACGGACGATCCATCCCCGTTTCGGGCCTCAGACCTGCATTTTCATGTATGATTATACATGTGCGGAATATCCCGCACCCACTCCGGTTGCCTATTGTTTGCCTTTGTTAATGTGGTCCGACTTGCTAATAATCAAGGCACTCCGCAGCCAAGAAATATCCCCGAGGTCAGGTAAGGCTTCCACCCAGTACCGCAGGCCACCATCGTCTTCTACCAATCGTCTTGCGCTTCTTCGCCCGTCAACGCGGCTTTCTATATTTGTCCCAACTTGAAGCGCCGGCATACCAGCGAGCATCGTGTGATTAGAGTTGTATTCCTGATCCCGCGTATATGATCGACTGCCGCGACTGGGAACGGGCTTAAAAACGAAAGACTCGGCCGACGCAGCGAGGTCCTATTGTCCTTACACTTTTACGCCACAGGACTTGTGCTTCCTTGGCTTCGAATGTTGAGTCGCCTAAGAATAGCTCACCGAGTCCTGTGTAGCATCTCGATAAGGTATACCGACTCGGGAAGGGCAGATGTGCTAAGTATTGGATATCCGAGCTTTGAAAATCAAAATGTTGATAAATGTGTTGATCACTATGCTATAGCCCCCGGGTGTACCACTCAACTGTGCGACAACTTCCGAATCGTAATAGATCATTAGTCTAACTTGTTATCAGTTCAATGGTATGATTATCTAGTTTATTCTAAGCTTAGTTAGGTTGAGAATCACAACCTACGTACTAGGTAGATACGGAGGCACTTCGGTCATGATCCGGTCTAAAAAGACTTTGTACAGTGAAGTTTGTATAGTCGAAGATTTCTATACCGATCACAACATCAGTTGTGTTAAAAATATAGCGTCTTACTATTACATACAACAACAACCATAACTCTCAATAAGACAAAGTCTACCCCATACCCCAGAATCTACGAATGCCGTAAATTCGCCGAATATGCACATCATCGACCATGTGGAAACGAATATCGTGAACAAACCATTATGACTAACTAGCAAAGATACGAAATGTGGGACTCCAGAAACCGCCATCGTATTTGAAATAACCCCCAGAAACTCGCCAACCAGGGTCGAGATATTACAAGCCCTCTCTACTAGGTACTGCTTCCAAACAGTAACGAAGCACGTGTCACCATACGTCTACGTAGTCGAGATTCCCATTCCAAGCAGGTGGGTTAATCAGTTACCTATAAACCCAGAGCCAATGCCCGTCCACGTATACCTAAACAATGTAAGGTTCTTTTAACATGCAACGAAAAAGCACACACACGCACGCGTTTTCGTGCCATGTGTATATGTGTGTAGTCAGCCGCGACCAAAAAACGTCATGTCGCGGCGAGGGACGACCTGCCAGCCTACTTAGGTAACTCCCGTCAAGCCTCTGGACAAAAGTCCATGAGGAGGCTTGACCACGTCCCCTTCTAGAAGGTCGGGCGAAACTTGTTTTTCTGGGGACGGGTAGGGGCGGGGGTGTTCTATCCAAAAAAAAAAAAAAAAAAATCACCAAGCGTGGATATAGGTAATGATCCGTATCGTATATCTCATCTCCTTTTTTCTGCACGGCACGGCCTCGACGGATATGTCTTGACCCAAGACAAGGGATTAGAAAATAGTCTTACGCAATGACTATCAGCAATCCTTAAATCTGAAAAGTGAACCTGACCCGTAGAATAGGTATCTGTCCTACCAGTCTGATTGTTTGCTTACGTCCTCGTAAGTAGGTATGGGTATAGTTCGGTGACGCTGTGGGTTTTCGTTTCAAAGCCCGAGTCATCAGGTCTGAAATATAATATATATAATAGGCATATAATATACGCCTGGTAAGTATGAGATGAGATCCCTTCCTGACGCCGCATGTATGCATCTTCGCTTAGTAACACATTCTTTTATATCCATAGGAGCATCGGATGGTGGAAGATGAGATAAGATGTAAGAACTTAGGATCACGTACATATACTCTATTACGCGAGCGCGAGCGCGCTCACGTACTCGCAGCCTCATCCGAGACAGCTGAATAACTACTGCTTCACCGCCCTTGGACTAAGCCAAGGATTCCAAGGTTACTAAGAACATACCATGGCCCTCATTCATAGCAATGGCTTAATATATGCAATTGACATACTGTGTTAACGGTATGACTGGAGAGTACAAATAGATGCAAAGCGGTCTAGAAAACCTCATGTAAAAAACCTTGATATTAATAGGCCCTATCGCAACCCAATGTGACCAAGGATGCAACTAATTCCCGACGCCCAAGTTATTCGTTTATTCATACCCGGGTAGGGATTTGTAAGATGCTTCACACAAACCCCCTTCTCTCGCATTTATTGTAATGCTACCTACTGCCTATCCTCATAATGCATGCCAATCGTAACTAACAGGTGGCGATCTATGTCTAGATGCTTTGATGCTTTTTCCCATGAAACCAGCGTTGGTCCGATCCACCTCGAATGTGTTATGCCAAATACGTACGGATGCATGTCTCATCACCGGACACCTCGGCTGCCGTCAAGACAGGTTGTCTTGTTAATAGACAAGGACCGAGTTAAGTCTTCTAAAGGTGCCATATCTCCGTTAGAATGAGATTTGTTGTCTTACCAGTCAAACCTAGATACCACCTAACTTAGTTTGATCTTGTCGTCTTCATCTATGTGAATTTCCGCGGCGGCTTCGGATCGTTGTTCGGCCTCGCCTTCGGGCGGAACGTTATGGACTGTGTGCTTTTCGTCCCAAATTCGGTTAATGTCATCCCGGGTCATCTCGCTATACTCGGGGGGAGGAGCTTCACTATACGACAGTGGGTTAACCTCGGGTTGGGACGGTAATTCGTAGCATGACATGCCTGGATATTCCGGGTCGGGGCCTGGTTCGAAATGGGGACTGACCACTCCTTCGTCATCGCCAGACGAATTGTGCTGCGCTTCGTCTGATGCGGCATCGGAATCGAGAGGACTATCCACAGGGGCGTTGTCCTTATTGCCCATGATATTGTCAAAACTCCAAGAATTGCCGCCACCGAAAGGCTGGTAGCTCGCTGACGGTGCTGTATCTTCTGTTAGGTCGATAGCTTCGTCTTCTTCTATGCTTCGATGGACGCCACGTAGCTTGGGATCGATAACATTATCGATCGTCCTGCTCTCTCCGTGGGCCAAATCGCCACCTGTTCCGTTGACATTATCGTGCGGGGGAGTAGCTTCTGCTCCTTGTAAGGCGCTCGACGACCCAATCGGGGAGAAGCCTTCGTCGAGACCTTGACCTTCCCCCGAATCCGGGAGTTCGTTATCAGAGGCATCTTCTACAAATCTATCCAGGATCTGTTGGAAGCGAGGACCACCCAAGGGTATTTCAGACCGTCGACGGTAGAATAGCAAGTACGCCGAAGAATCCACGATCCTATCCGCGGAAGTACGGTTTACTGCTGAATCTACAGGAATTATTAGCAACGGCGGGTCTGTTGGTAATTAAAGGCTAAGAAGCACGTACCGTTGTATGAATACCATTGATTGTCTACGAAGTTCTTTGCGAAGGCCGTATAGTGACCCCCACCCAAGCCGCCCCAATGGTTGTCGACTCCTATGAGATCGTAGATTTCCAGTTTCCCATCCTCCTTCTGGAGAACGCGAGATGTGATGTCTAGATTCTCAACAGGGAAGTCTACCAAAAGCTCTAGCTTATCTCTTCGAAACCCGCTGGAACTAAACCTCTTCAGGTGGATGATTAGGATATCTGGTGTTTTCCACAGATCAAATTTCTTGCTGGCTCGACGATGTTCTTTGCAGCGGGGACAGTACCACATGTCTTGTTCGGACAAGATTTCTTCTCGTTCAAATTCGTCAAGACATGCCTCCAGAGAAATACCATGCTTCTTACGCTTGGTCCGGGCAGCCTGAGCCCTATCTAAGTCGGCGTCGGGTAAGGTCTCGCATCCCTCCCACGCTTCGAGGGAGTTGTCGCTAGAAAGGCCATTGCTTCCGAAAAACATATCGAATGCGGCGCCAGACCAATTAACTACGATCGCTTCCTTTAGACGGATTAGGGGGCCACCGTCGGGACCAATCTCGTTTGTAGTAAAAGATTCCTCAGCTTCTAAATTTTGCTGCCTCTCTTTGTGCTGCCGTTGCTGTTGCCGTTTATTCTTCCTATTGCCTTTCTTATATGTCTTGAGTGGCTTCTGGCCGTAGTTTAGCTTGGGTTTCGATTTCGTCTGTTTACTCGGCTTGGTCCGGTGAGGCGCAAGCTGGTTATTCATTAGTCTACTCTTACGACTCTCATCGGGGTTAACATTATAGAAAATGATTCGAATTCTTTTTGTATTCCGTACCTTTGTGACTGAGTTGATGTCGTCGTCACTTTCGTCAGTCATGCGTGTGAGAGAATGTCCTGTAGATCGGTGGGGTGCTTCGTCAGAACTAGACTCCTCGTTCGAGGCTGTGCCGTTGGTTGCATGATCGAACTGGTCTTCTGATGACGGGGACTCCGGCGGAGCTCTGAGAGAGAGCTTCGGGTAGTCTTTATCCTCGGCGAGACCATTATTGCCGGTCGGTAACCAGGTGCCTGCTTCCGAGTAGATACACATATCAAATAGATTCTGGAATTCCGAAGGGAGGAATTTTCCAGGATCCACCCAAGAGGGTCTCTTGTGGCAAAACTGCTGCTTCGGGGGAGGGCTAGACTTGGTATCATTGGCATCATTCATCTGGATATCAACTATGTCGTCCTCCCCTTTCACGGATTGGGCAATGACTCTGCCCTCATTGGAGGAACCGGCGTCAGAATCTCCCACTCTTACAATCTCGGGATCAGTACCGTCAGAGTTATCAGACTCCTCAGTTCGAGAGAAGGAGGAGTGCTTTGATAATGTCGCGACCTTTTCTAGGATCTTACGATAGATAGCATCCTCGCTTCGGGCTTCTTCGGGCGTCACTACGATGAAGTGAGGAACACAAGCATTTTTCCACTTAGGAGCATGGAAGCTGGTTTTCGCGTTCGCAGGTCGACGATGGATGACGGGAACAAGTAGTCTCTCGGCTTGCGCGTCGTCCCATTGGGCCGAAGCATTGTGCTCCTCTTCGTCGACCATAGACCGAACCGCCACCCCTAGCTTCTGCTGTTTTTGAGGCTTGGAGCCGTAATTAGTCGGCTTAGCCTCTAGTTCATAGAAGTTGGCATTGTCGTTGGTAGCAATCTCCTCAGATGCACAGGCAAGGTCGGCGTAAATTTTGTAGAACTTGCTTCTCCATTCTTCGGCACCGAAGATGCGCTCAGCTGGTATTCCTGTTTTTGTAGACAGGAATTCTTTGAGAGATTTGATGCTGGCGTGCTTGTCAAGCTCGACTCTGATATTAATCGGTCGACCGTTCAGCGGGAAAAATTTAACTGTGTGAGTCCACTTATTTTCCAATGGTAGAGGCAGGGTTAAATTATTGAATGGGTCAAACGTAATGCTAACCTTTTGACATTCCGGGCAAACCAGCGTTGACTTATACAAGCCAGTAAATAGGTCCGCAATCACGGAGTCATCGCGTTTCTTGGTAATGTCCCATACCTTCTCGGCCATTTGGCGAATAGCATCAGGATTATTGATCATCTCATCGGTAGAATCAGGCTTTTCAATATAAGGCTTCTTCTTGACTCGGCTAAGATCTTCCTGTAAACCGTCTAGCAAGAAACCAAGAAACTCCTGGGAGTCTTGCTGGCCATAGCCGGAAAACCCTACCGAGTAACGGCCGATGGTATTCTTGAATTGGCGGGGTGAAACGGAACTTGGCGAGGTGTCTTTGTATATGTCTTTCAGTAGATATGCGTACGCTGCAGCTACATCACCGTTGTGCGAAAGAACGTTGTCCTTGTTGAGTTCTCTTTCCCATTCGTCCGATAGGAAGTACTTGGTCAACTCCTCAACAGCTCTCACACACTGAAGGGCGGCATTCATATAGCATGTGTTGCCCAAATTAGCTAACCCGACACACCCAGGAACTCGACCAGCTTTCTGCGACCTGCCACGTGTCAGAGGGCCTGAAGGACTGGTGCGACCGCTTCTGGCATTGCGATTCTGGACGGCTAGACTGGTGGCGCCATTCCTGGAAGGTAACGAAGCAACGGATGTTCGAGCCTGTGAGGTTACGAGAGTAGAAGTCCAAGTAGTGCCGCTTTCGTGGGGATCTAGAACAATGGCTTGGTCTTGTGTTATGGCGAAGTAGTCTAGCGTTTTGTGCGACCCGGAATTAGAATTATCAGTAGTGAGGTCGCCAAACCCGATCAACTCTCTCTCCGAGCCCTTCTCGAGAGCTAAGAACGATTCGACATCTAAGAGGAGATGTTTCCATGGCTGAGGTGGAGTAGATTCTGAGCCATCTCCGGAGGCAGGCGGACTTGGCATCGTGCTGTCAGAGTTCTGTTCAATCGGTGGGTTCAAGACAGTCCAGACTCGAACCCTCTGCGTTAGGTCTATTCCTACTACCTTCTTAGCTTGTTTTAAGAAGGCCTGGAATTCTTTCGTACGACTGCGGACGAGTCTTCCAGGTGGTGGGTTTCTACTCTTCATAGCAGCATCGATAGGTAGCTCACTATTTGCAGACCAGAGTCGGTAAATGCTGAGCACGGGCGGATGCCACTCGAATATGATATTTGTCCCGTCGTCCTTCGTAGCATGAGCGGTGCGAAGAATAGGAATTTGACCGTCTTTCAATCCAGGCCATTCTGTAAGCAATTCCCAGGCGCTTGGTGGGAATGCCTCAAATTGCTCTGTGTCATAACCCTTCTTCAAACGAACATACTTCCTCTTAAGGATATCCAGGCCATCACCAACGCAAGGATCATCTATAACCTCCAAGATGATATCCGAGTTGTCTACCTCTGGTATTGAAATCCAGTCATCAACAATGTGTTTCGGAGACACATCGTCAGGCACATTCTTCAACCAATTTTTAGAGACCAAGAAACACCTCTGTCCTTCTGTAAGTGGGTGGCTGTTTTGCTCCTCCACGAATGTTCTGATAGCCTTCACATGAGCCTCTATTGATGCCGGTAGTCGACGGGCTATGATTTAAGAGTTAGTAAATATATTCCCATACCAAATTTGGAGTAATTATACCTGGTGGTGATGATATGTCCATCGAATTCGTGCCTTCGTCTGCTATTGTAGGATCTTGGCCGTCAGCGGCGTGAGCCGAACTAGCTTCTGTTTCTTTAGTAAGATGCTCGGGTTTGGATGCGTCTAGCGTATCAGATGTCGGTGCGGTAATCATATCGACATCTTCGGCCGCATCTTGATCTACTACATCGGGCTCCATGCTAGAGGCTCGTCGTTTCAACGGTGAAGAAGCTCTCTCGGGAAAATCGGCCGCGCCGCCCATAACACCACGGTGAAGGGTGGGTTTAGTGAAAGGTGAACCGGCTCTGGGAGGGTATAAACTAGAGGCAGCAGAGCTGGGATCGGGTCCCGGCGTGTCGGCACCACGATCGCTGTGGATGGTGAGTTCAGCGTATGCACCCGATGGAGAACTCGCAGCGGACGAAGCGTATTCGGAAGAATTGTTTAAGTAACTTGTGGAAGTCTGCAATCGGGGTGGTAAACTCGAGGCCGGAGGGATGGAATCGGCACGGTAAAAGGCGGTATTGGGGGGTTCGGACGGGAGCGAGAAGGAAGAACTTGGGTCGGTGTCTTCGAGTGGTTCACAGGATTGTAGTGGTGTATCAGGAGAACTACTGCAGCGAAAGTTGTCTTCTGTAGTGGCGGATTGGCGAGATGAGATCTTCCTTTTCTTTGAGGAAGACGTTTTGACGGCGAGCTGCCTTTCGCAGCTCTAGGAAACTTGGCGATGATTGGGGGGGTATATTTATGTGCAAAAGGTCGTGTAGAAGATGTAGTGAAGGAATCTTACACGAATGGTCAAATAGTCGTTTGTTCCGGGGTATTCATTGGTTGTCATATAGTACCATGGGCACCTTTCACTCCGAGTTCCGTGCGGACTGTGCTGTGCTGTTACCTAGAGGTAGTGTCAGACACGCTGTAAGTCCCATGTGAATCCGCGTGGCAGGGCGATTCAGCAATCGGATAAGTTGCTGGAATCTTCTCCGACTAATTAAAAAAGGTAGACAAGTCTATTCAGGTGAATGAACTTATTTGACCTTTCTTCTTTTTTTTCTCGAGGAATTGATTCACATAAACAAAATATGCCGTGACCCTAAATTTTGTGAGTATGCTAGGTATACGTATGAATGTGGGTGGTGTAAGAAAGTAATATGAATGGTGAGGCGCATCTAATATTCGATTTCGGATTTGCTATTAAGAGAGAAAAAAAAGTTGCGGGTGGAGGCAATAGGTAGATAGGTACCTACTCACATATGCTTAAAAAAAGGAAATGTACCTATTTATTCTCGGGTACTGGTTACCTGTCCAAGCCCGGAACTGGTCGCAATTTACAAAAATTGAAAGTACTGAGTACTTCGTTTGTACGAACCCTAACGCCACTAAGGTGATGCAGTAACAGCTAGCAGCGGAGCTACTACCTGGGCTACTGGGTTGCAAAAATTGCAATGCAAGATGTGGAGGTACCTGGTATTCTGTTGCGAAGAACAGAATAGAAGTAAATCTTGGCAATTGGTGTGGTTCAGCCCAAATAGATGTTTCTAGGTTGGCAGATTGGGTAAATAAATGAAGAAACAAAAGAGAGTGGAGTAGAATGAGTCTAGCGTTGTATGAATGATGTAGGTTGATGCTATAATTGCTGGAAGGTGGAGGGGAAATTAGTTGTAAAATGGTAAGGCGTGTTCCCGAAAGTTGTGTTTGGTAAGCGGGTTGCGACTAAAATTTTCCCAATTGGCAGTTGCCGTTTGTACGCGAAGACAAAAATAGCAGCGCCATCTCTAGGCGCTAGGAACTACCTGTAGGTACCTCCAGGGTACTGGAACCTCGAGGTATTTAGGCAACCTTTTAGACTAAGCCTATGTGCACCTTATTACAACGAAGTGCATTTCTAAAACTTGTATAGACTACCAGGTAGGTAAATAGAATATAAAGAAAAAAGGATAGTCAGTCACCTGGTATCATCATGGATCATCTCTCAAACACTATGTAGGTACTTCACAGATACATTTATTATTCTATTTTCTAGTACTGTCGTTTCCGTCTAGGTAGGTGTCTTAATGAACATCGTACCTTCTTCCACTTCCAGTTTCACACATCGATGAAGGCTCTTTCCATGTCTCCTCCGGTCTCTGGCCAACAGTATACCTACGTGTGTAAGGTATCCATCAGGACCATAGATGAACTTGACTAAAGACTTGACTAAGCCATATGTGGGGTTAAGAAGGCATCGTTTAGGCTACTCGAGCAATACAATATCGTCTTGAAGAGCACCATCTCAGCCATTCCAAACGTGGAGTTGAGAAGCGCGGCAATGTACCATGCAAAAGGGGGTATGGCTCCTCGCGTTCTATCATCTACTCAACGCTCCCTCCCGCGATCATTTCAGAGCTTTGAGTCTATCTCTTCGAATTCACTGAGGTCTCTAACCGGACGTGCCCCTGCTGTTACCGAAAGCCTTGCCTTATAGTCTCGCACGTTTCGAATCAATAGTGGCTCTGTACCGTTCGACCAGATAGTAGTCGTGTCTCCATTGCTCGACTCTTCGGCTTCCGTCACCTTCGGACCAATACCTTGCGCAATAAGCTGCACAACTAATTTTGCTCGCGTTGGTGATGTGGGTTTTATGTAGGTTGAGTAAAACTCCACCATCTCTGCTTTTGTAAGTTGCTTTACCTGGGCTGCATCTCGCTGGGCTGTACATATTGTTAGTAAACGTGGTAGATGATTTCAAGGGAGGTAGTTGCACTGTACCTGATTCAAAGTCGTAGTATTCGTTGTTGATCTGGGCCCAGTGCCGCCCTGTTTCTTGGTCCAGGTTCTTTAATTTCTCGAGGCGTTTGATGATGACGCTTCGCTTATGGCTTTCGAAGTCTGCATCGCTCATACTCTCAAGAGAAGCGGTCTGGGTAACTAAGAAGGAATCAATACGAGATTCAAGATACTCTGAAGTACGCTCGCTTTGTATTATAAAGCGGAATCCGTACGTCGTCGCGGAGCTACGTAAACCGCTAAAGACCACGTAACCAAGCTGCTCCTTAGTTCGGAGCTGATCGAATGCTGGCTCGTGGATGATCTGGTCAAGGAGTTGTGTCTTTGCGCGAACCATACGATCCCCCTTGTCTCCAATATGAAGATAATACTCGATACAGTGGTTGACATTTGCAGGATCCCTCAAGGTTTTCTGGAAGAGAAAGTTTGACCCTGCCGGGAAATCTAGAGATCGGATGATTGGCCACTCCTCCTTTGCTAAGATACGAGGTTTCAGTATCTTTTCAATCATGTCCGTCAATTTTAGAGCATCCTCTTTGTACACATTCCCATGTACGTAAGCTTCAATATGCAGCTGTGACATGGTCTGCCTATGAAACTGCCTTACAGCATCGGCTGTGATTCCAGGAAGCTCGGCTACCAACTGCTCAACCACATAATCGTGTTCTGACGTGAGCCACGAAACATAGTCGCCGATTTGCGTAAAAGGCTGCTGCAATTCGCAGTTCTTGTAACCGCGGGTCAACCTCTCCTTGATGATTTCAAACCGCTCATCCTTGACCTCAAGATCTCGCATTGTGATGAGAACCTGCTCTAGCAAGACGGGTAGTTTATCGTTGTATCCAGATACCTCAATGAATAATCCTCGGGAATCGAGGCTAACGTTATATTGCAACCCAGCAAGCTCAGCGTCGTATGAATACTCCTCTAGAGCATCCCGTACAAGATCCGTGAATAACTTCGACTTGACGGAATTCTCTGCAGAGGCAAAGATACTCGGGTTCTTGATGCTCACGATTAGATTCGCCTTGGGTACCCAAAAGGTGTCGTCCTTCTTATACCATGTTCGCGCTACATCATCGTTACGGATTACTCGAGGCGCAGAGGCAGGTCGCTCGACCTCTTTCTTCTCCACCTCAAGCTTCGTCGGAATAAACTGATTTCTATGAGGAAGATGTAAGGCAGGAAGGCGGTCTGCTGCAGTGCAATTTAATGCCTTAGAAATTTCGGCTAGAAATTCTTCAGGAATCTTCTCGGACTTGTATTCGGTACCATACCATTGCTCCTTCTGATCCCAACCGCCCGGAAAGTCTCGAGAGACTATGGTCATTCTGAAATTGTCAGGTCGTAAGAGCTGTACCCCTTTATTGATAGCCTCCGGATCAAATTTACGTAGACGGCTCTGTCCGCTAAGCAACCACTCTCGTGGCAATGGCCTTTGCATTATAGCGCAGACCTTGCTGGTAAAGCGACTAGCTGGCGTCTTTTGCTTAAATTTGAAGTCGACATCTGCCATACCCTTTTGTTCCTCGAATATCCATTCCTGGGGTGGTGTTTGCCTGAGAAGTGATACATATTGGAAGAATACTTTAACAACTTCTTTGTAATGTTTTAGCCCCTAGGCTACAGATTAGCATTATGTAGTCTACGAAAATAGCAATGACATACCTCTTTCGTCAGCCTAATTTGGCAATCAAAGATTCCTGGGGTACCTGGACATATTTGATAGGCACCGGCGCTCAATGAATTAGCCCAACCTTTGGATTTTAAGTAGGCCATTATGCTTCCAGGACCCTCGTGACCGATCAGATGGCTGATATATCGGTTCGGTTGGGTTTCGTAAAGGAACTCCTCGTCGAGAAACGGAAAATAGAGATTCAATTCTCTGGAATCCATCACCGGCTTTGCGAAACATTGCATAGCTAAATGTTCTTTGGCATACGGCACTTCAGTCTCCCAGCGATTCTGCGGAAGGTCCTTGTTCGGAACACCGGAGAAAAGCTCAGCTACCCATTTCTCGAGGACATCGAGGGGTTCCCGACCTAATACGCAGAGCTTCATGCGGTTGGCTGAGTAATGCTTCTCGTGGAAGTCGATGAACTTTTGTCGCACATCTATACCTTTCGATTCGGGATCCGTTTTCAGAACCTCGAAGTTGCCCGTTGAGAAATGGCAGTAAGGATGCTTGGAATTAGACAGGGACTTCTCTAGCTGGTGGAGACGCCATTGATCACTCTGCAAGTTCTTCTTATTTTCAGAGTCTACAGCGCGTAACTCGCGATCCAACGTCGACGATAGGAATAGGGGTTCGATAAAGAACTGAGCGAACCGATCCAAACCACCAAAAAGGGGGGATAAATTTGTCGCGGAAGGTTCCTCGCCATTGCTGGGTTTGGCGGCTATGTCGAAGAAATAGTTGGTCGAAGTGGCCCCAGTGTATGCATTCGAGCTCCCTGAATGCGAAGAGAGGTACACGTTGTATGCGTTCTCTACCGGATACTTTTTCGTACCCATGAAAAGAAGCTGGGGTGTATTTTATCAGCTAGTGCTCTAACGATTAGACCTTGTTCAATAAGACTTACATGTTCCACGGCATGGGCCATGCCTGGCATTTCATCTTCGTCGCTAAAGTTACCAACATTAACGTCGAGGGCGGCGCTGGCCTTGTCCGTATCGGGATCGTGAACTAAAAGCGCCTCTAGTTGGTTCGGTAAACGTATAACGCGGTATGTCCGATCATCTAAGGAAGGAACCTCTAATTGGTCGGCGAGTCGCTCGACCGGTTGCTGTAGATGATCACTGTCCGACATCACGACGCCCGATGCAGCCGTATCGCGTGACGGCTTCGAAGAGCTCATGATGATTAAAAAATAGCCTGGATTTACCAAGGCACGGGAGTTGTGATATGGCTGCTTCGGGAGGGGAAAGGGAGAGGTCCTGGGTAGCGCTAAGCTAGAGGGGGACCAGGTGGGATAATAAGGCTTCAGCAGTTGACGACTTTTAATCAAAGATGCCGAAAGATAGCACAAGCTGACAAAAAAATGCACGTCTGTGCGAATGTATTGGTGGAGACGCTAACGTGGGACCAGGACCAGGTTCAGTTACCAGAGAGTTGGAAAGGAAGTTTAATGTGGGAGTCAGTTCGTGCGCTTGTTCGCTTGTTCGCTTCCCTTAACCAACGTCTAGAACGATCGGCTCGTACTCCGAAATCGACAGTTCGTAGCACGACGTCTGAAGTTCCACGGGTATTTGATTCGGGCCGGCAATGGTGGGTGCAGTAAGATGCTGACTTTCTGCCTGCCGATACGCAAAAAGACAGCCTCTGCCGAAAAGAGGCTATTGCCGACTCTGAATTTGGTCGTCCGTGCAACTGTAAGACGAATTCAGCTCCTGTCGGCAACTTTGCTGAAGTCTAGTGGTGGCCCGACCGCAAAGATGACTCTTGGATGAAAAAAAGAGGGCGCTGATAAGTATCTAAAGAGCTAGATCTTCTAGCAGTGAGGCTGAAAGAAGATCAAAGCGTCCTTCTAATAGCCGACTATAGTTTTCCCCAGATACCTGATGTATGATAAATTTCAAGTCCAAACTAACCGATGATTCTTCCGAATTAACTTCAAATAGAGTCCGAGACTCGGTAGAGCTCGTGAATAAAGGACAAATGCGGAAGATACAGCTGCGAATCGTTGTCAGTCACTGGGCATCGAATGTATATCGCTGGGCAGACTGTTGTGAAGAAGGGATGAAGAAGCTGACTGACTCGGGTTGAGATCCGGTGGGCTCTCCGAAACACCAGTAGCGCGTTTCCGCTATATTGACAATATTAACATGGATTGATAGACTTTTAGACTAGAGAAAACAGGCAATAGCGGTATAGATCGACGATGGAACGTTGGGGTGTCATGAATGCCATGGATGCCATGGATTTTGATGTACGTTGTTTACTTACGCTGTACTGAAAATGGCGGGTTCGGAAATTGGTGAATTGAGAAATAGCGAGGTCAATGGTTAGGATCCTACATCGGGCCGCAATTATTAGAAAGTTCCCCAATCTGACAATACTTCATGACAATGGCATGGAGAAAAGTCTATATGTATATATGTATATAGGTATAGGTAGTAGGCAATGCACCAAGTAGAAATGCGCGCTGGGCTGAACAGGTGACGCGATAAGCGGCCAGTGACGAGACCCAATCTCAATCTCGAATGAAGCGGCGGTACACGGACAAGACTTAAGCGTGAGTGCGAGTGAGAGTGAGGATAAGCGCAAACGCCGTGGAGTGCATAGTAGATTTCTATAGCATGGCCGGGGGTTGGCTACCCAACGCAATACATCTGACGTACGTACCTAAGTGAATGTCCAAGCGGTATACCTAGTAGGGGACGGGAACGGGTGATGTTCTGAATCCGAAGCTTGTGACGTACTCCTTGCAGGCGGCGTCGCTGTCGAGTTAGCAAGGTCTCATCACTAGGTACCCAGACAGACGATTAAGACCGGTTGTCGATATTTCGGAGACGGGATAGGAAAAAATTTGTGATGCAGCCGGAAGGGAAAGCCCGAATAGGAAGACACAATAACTTCTATACATGTAGGTGTTATGTATCCATATGCATGTGCGTATACCTAGATGACTACCCTAGGTGACCTTAGGTCGAATTGATAGGTAAGCAAGTGATTTCTTACTAGGTCAAGTAAGGTAAGGCATCCAACGTATTCATACCCTACCTACCTAGTACCATAAACCGATATATGTAAATCCGTTCGCGGCGACGACGACGACAATTGACGGGAAGAGAGGCGGGCCACGGAAAAAGAATGCGAGAAATGAAATAAAATAAAATTAGGAATAACCGTAGATACTACCTAGTAGGTAGCATGTACGGTACCTAGTACTAGATAGGGAGGTAAATTAGTAAGTAAGTAAGGTGAGGTATAGCCCTAGATGTCTCAATCTCAATCCCAATCGATGTCTGGAGAAGATCGGTGGCAACCTGGAACGGTATGGTTGATAATAGAGGGAGTTGAGGAATGTGGGGGGAATGGAGTCGGTTCAATGTTGGCGGCAAGGGTTTAAGTGTTTAAATATTGTACCTAGTAGATATGGGGTTTAATGGGTCTGGTAGCCCTGGAGGTAAGTCATCCGGTAGGTACTACCTACTACCTACAGGTAACAGTGTTTGGGTTAGGTCTGGTACTATTATCTAGCCTCCAGGTATGTATGCCGGGTACTTTCCCTTGCTATGCATACCCAGTGTATCACACTTGCCAAATCCACATATAAGATATGCGATTGACCCATAGCAACTGAGTAAAAAACATTGGATGAATCTAGTTTTGTAGCACGGGAAAGTCGCATCGTTACGAATTTGCCGACCTGTTATAATATACCAACTAATTGTCCCAGCTCCATATCATTGGATAACCATGCGCTTTTCAAGGATGCCGGCGTTTAACCAATACAAGTTCAACTTAAATGTAACTAGACCCATTGACTTCAACACTACCCACATTGTAGGTATAGGTAAAAAAGAGAAAATTAGTTAATGGCGTGACAAGGTCTTGTTGGAAACGCGGTGAAGACTAATTTGTTTAGGAGCAAGCTATTCCGCCACCACCTAGGAAGAAGAAAAAACACTCATGGAGATGTCAGAATTCGGGGTGGACGTCATTTTTCAAGAATGGTATCGACGAATGAAGAGTCGTGATAATCCACTCATCTTGAGGACCCTTGAGGACCCCGAGGTCGGTGACCAAATTTGATGCGAACTTATTCGCATCTGGTACGTATTATTAATCATATTAAACCAATCAGTCTAGGCAAATAGGAAAATGATTTCATCGATTTGAGCTATTTGGTTGTTTCTTTTGATACCATATGAAGAAATGAGTGGGATCGAGTCATGATTTACTATGACAGATATGACAGACAGTGTACAGGACACTAGTGACGACCCAATGTTTCTTCTAGATGGATATTGACGGCTACCTATGTAGGTTCAGTAGGATTAATCAGGCGTCAGGGTCCTACATATGTCTACAGTCACCACCTCAGCGGTCATGGGATCAGATACTCCGTCATGACTATAAAGGCTCACATAGGTAATCCTCATTCGTTATACTGAGCTTTGATATTACAACGTTTCAACTTCAAATCTGGTCGGATGTAGGGGCTCATAGTCCAATAGGTAAGGTAAGAAACAAGCAGACCAGGTTAGTAACCCTGTTTCTCAGTGGGTACGAGCGGTATGTTTCAATGCCGACTACACTAGCTGGGGCAGCAGATCAAATAGAAAAAGGGTAAGGAAACTAACTGTGGAACCCTTCTCGGGGTTGTGACAGGTCCAGATCTGTTCTGTATCTAAGAACTTCTTCGATGCCTTCTACTATGTAATATCGTAACAACTTCCAAGGTAGATTGCGGGCCTATTCATGGATGTTTACTATATATGTACCTAGGTATTTGCTGGGATAGGTAAAGGTAACACATATTGAATTGGTCTGGTAAATTGGAAACTAGGTATAAATATTACATAGTTAACTAGTTTCTTAGATAAACAAAAGAAAGGAAAACGCTTTTAACACTGACAAAATCTGATTGTAAATCTCGTCGTTTTATATCCTTATTCGTTCAGTGAATGATAAAACGACGTGATCTGTTCTCGGAATTGCGAGTTTTCTGTAAAGATAGTAAAAGCCAAGAAGGTTCTGTGTTGTCATAAAGATAGGAGAGCTTTCACCGTACCTATAATCGAAGGGAACTAGTAGTAGCTTTCGGGATAGGAGAGCCTAAGTAGGGTGGCATCAAAGATGAAAAACCCATCCCTCCACGTTTCTGCATGGATTGACCGCAAATCATAGGTCCGGGCGTCTTGGAATCTTCCGGTTGGCCCATGATTCTTGGCTCCTCAGCCCAACTGAGTCGTGTGTGGGTATAACAAACCCGATTACATTCCTACTTAGGTATATATGTATGAATATGGATCCGTAAGAGGGTCTATATATCTCCCTCGAAAACCTCGGTACGTGGGGTTATAGACTACATTAGGTCCATATCATTGGGGCAGTCTATTTCGTAGTCTCAGTTTCATGTTCAATATTAACCCTAAAGAAACAAGTCATCGCATGAACCGCGCGGCCTTTGCGGCGTTAAAACTGACTTGTACGCTAGAGCTCGATCTATTCCGCTTCTGATTCGAATTAGCAACTCTTCACCCCGCTACATTTTAGCCTTAGAACATATGGATATGTAGAAGACGGATGCTGTGCATCATAGGATGTTATGCAACATTTGCCGGCAAACAGACCGTCTGAACCGTGGTTCGCCTGCCTATCCACTCGTCCGATGTTTGCTCTATAATTGATCTAGAAGTTACCCAATTATACACGATATGATCCAAAAAGTGTCGATCTCGATGTTGACAAGATATCCTGGAGATGCTGTATGTGCTCGGCCGAAGTGCAACGGACAATTGACACGTATCAGTACATCGGATCCCATAACAAGAAACCAATATTATGTAGGACAAAATATTCCATGCTGCTTACGACATCGCTATCCCAAAGAGTCTTATACCTTCCTACTACGAAAAGAAAACCTCTGTTGTGTGACGTAAAGATACATGATAAAGCCGTCAGGATATAGGCGCGTGTTATCGATCGAAACTTGTTATTCGTATGGATTTCTCACAAGAAGAAGTGAGATCTAGGAGTAGGGCATGCATATTGCGTCGTTAGTACAACTATGGAGTTGCACAATAGATGAGCGAGGTTGCACCGCGGCCTGTATACAGTTCTGCGCACGCTGCTATGCCGACGAATAGAAAGGTACCTAGGGGTAGGTTAAGCAATTATAGGAAAATGGCTGGGTGGCGTTGGAGGGTTGGTTAGGGCTTAAGCGGAGTAGACCGGGATAGGAGCCGGAGACTCGGGGGGATATGACTGGATTCTGGTCATTTCACAAGCCACTGTGCCGTATACCTACTAGGTACCTAAGTAGTCTCCAAGCTTCCTGTGTCTCTATATCGACTGTAGACTAGCCTAGAAACTGACACGTGCTGTATTATATCTGGTGGTAAATGGTATAGTGGAAATAGAAGTAGTATGTCTTCAAATGAAACCAATGCACCTGATAACGATGCTCACTAATCAAATTTAGGGCTTTTTGGTGAAGATAAGTTCTAATTAGTTGTTCCACAAAGCACTTACGTGATGCTATCTCGCACTTTAGGAGATATATTTCTACTTCCTTCGTGTCTCTAGTAGGTCTTTTTTTCTCGCCAGGTGGGAGGTCACATATTGATCAGGTGATCCGGGTCGAAGCAAAGTTCCGCAAAGCGTAAATTCGTATGAAAACGGTCCCATGGAAGATATGTGGCAGTGTGCTTCAATGATACACTTGCCTTGACTCCACGGGTATAGCTATGTATGGAATCTAAGTTCAGCACATTATCACACTGTTCAGCAAGGTGGGCAGATGACTACTCATTATACATGATTCAGCGTGTTGACCGTTTGGGACACTCCGCGGCTTTATGACCAGGCTTGCCACAACGATGACAAGTGAAGCTCGCGGATTGGCGAAGTGGGGTGCCACCTCCCGAGGAGATCGATAACAAACCGCCGGACGTAGAGGGTGCTCTAGGGCTATTCAAATTGACGTCCTTCTTTCTCCGTGCCTCAGCAAATTGCTTAGCTTTAGACCACTCGGCACTTTTCTTTCTTTGTAAGGTTGGTCGAGAAGGACCAGAACCTGAATGTGCCTCTGATCTTTGACCGTATGATTTCCGCCTCGCCCCTTCCTCTTCCGAGGACGAATCGGAGTCAGAGTCAGAGCTGGAATCATCACTTCCGGACTTATCGTCCTTTACCACCTATACTAGAGTAAGTTACGAAAATTGGAGACCGCGAACGTGTTTAGGAAACGCGTGATCGAGGATAGAATGGAGGATTCAGTACCTTTTTGGTTTCCATATTGTACCGTCTCACCATTGTTCTGGCGTGTGAGGTGTCAGCTGATTCGCTATCATCAAGACCAACAGTATCAGAAGAGTCAATTTGAGAATCAATCTGAGCAAAGCCAACTTGAACCACATTCAGAGGCGTTTGAATTTCACTAGGAGATCCTGCGGCCTCGTCCGATATATCAAGGACCCAACGCGCATCTCCAAGCTCAGCAGCATGATGTACCAAAGCCTCCTGTCGTTTCCTTTCTTCTTCAGCAATAGCGGCCTGTACCGCGGCCTGGTTGATTTGTGCGATCGAATTTATATTATTGTTGGTCGTAGGGTTGTGTACCACCTTGCGTCGTTTTGAAGCCTGCTCGTCTAGTTTTGGTGTGGAAGGAGAAGAAGAGGTGGGAGAAGCTGCGGCTCTTTGCATGAACTTCATAGTTAGTAGTCTTGAGGACATGCTTTTAGGGGGCGTAGGCGTCGCCATCTCGCCAAAACCTTTCTTTTCGATTTATCTTTCTGTCTTTTAATGCAGTCCGGTGTGAGTGATTTATTCCTAATGAATTGAGTTGTTGCTAAAGTAATAGCTATCGCTATGTTGATGGGCGCAGGTGGCAAGTCGCCAAAATTTGGTGTAGATAATAATAATGTACAAAAGTTGAAGGTATGAGGGTGGGTCTGATGTTCAAATATTTCAAGGTTCCAGTTCAAATTGAGTTCCCTATTAAGAGATACGTACCCAGGTACCTTCCGTTGCACTGGGCATCTAGTAATTATGACATAATCAAAAACTACTTTGTGTCACTCCAGCGCTAATAGCACAAAATGGTCCGAGCTCCTTTTCTAGCCAATCCCGAACCAGGAATTATTAGATACTCATCAACCTCAAATCATCGTAATCCAACGCTCTCCTAGATCATATCTCTCAATCGAGGACGACAACAACGACACAGCACGATGCTCTCACGATTAACCACCCGAAGAGCGTTACAGCTCCCTCAGCGAATGTGCGTTACGCAGCGCACTTTTACAAACTCAGCCCGTCTACTCGATGCAAACACCGCCGCGGTTAAGGCCGAAACTACACCAGAAACCAAAACCGAAGAAGACTCGCTGGGCGTGGTAGAGAATGAAGAGAGAGGCTTAAAGCAGGCGCCGAACCGAAAAGAGATCTGGTCAAGGAGCCAAAGGCCAAGGGCGGCAGCCATGACGGGCCCGAGATTCGAGCAAACCGATTTCTCTCTCCAGGTACGATACCGTAGCTGTTGTATACGATCAGACGGCCTGTGACTAACACCAATGCAGCCCCAAGCACAAGCAGCAATTGAGCTCATTCACAGGAAGCCAGTAGCATGGACTCACGATCGAGTAGTGGCATGTGATGGCGGAGGAGGCCCGGCAGGTCATCCTAGAATCTTCATCAACACGGACAAGCCGGAGATCGCAGTTTGCGGCTATTGCGGCAACCCTTTTGTGAGTCTAACTCTCCGCTTCGAGAAACCAATCTCAACTTCACCCGAAAAGCAAATTGGACAGATATGGTTCATGTGAGGCAATAACTAATATAGGTCAACAGGCAAACGAACACCACCGAGAGCATCTGGAATCATTGCCACAACCTTCCTATCCGCTTGCATAAAACGGTGAAATCACCCGGCGAATAGTTAGCCATGAATTAGCACCGAATTGATATAGCTCTGTTCCTCAGGTTTGATCGGCCATAGACACGAGCTAATTCAGCTATGTATATATTATTATCGACTGTTTAGACACCTAAAATTAGCTTCATGAAGATATCAGTAAAAGCAGTTCATATTCCCAAGAGCTTTGTAGCCATCTTAAAACATATCTCTAGCTGAATTCTATTAGTTGAATACTCTTACTTAGAATATGAAATGTCTATTATTGCATAATAAGGGTATACGGTAGGTACAAAGGAACCAAGACGACATCTAAATTGGCAAGCAGGGATATAACCCCACCAAAGCTGCAAGTGCAACAACTTCAATTGATCAAATCGATCGCCATGCCGTCATCCGCATCGACATCATCTTTCCAGCACAACTTCTTCAACGTTCTCCTGCTTTCCGTCCTGCTGATAGCTTTCTTCCCGGGAGCCTTTCACTACATATACACTCTCCCGTTCTCCTACATCGCTTCTAAGAGCCACTCTTCCGACCCCCACGCGCCGACAGCCACTGTAACCCCACCAGCGCCCGCCATGTCGTGGATCCAGAAGCAGTTCACGCTTCCGCCACGGTCGCGCGGTTCCTACCTCATTACCGACCACATAGTCAGCTCGATTCCGGAGATAAGACAGTATAAGGTCGGATTGCTCAATCTGTTTGTTCAACACACCAGCTGCGCGCTGAGCTTGAACGAGAATTGGGACGACGATGTGCGCGCGGACATGAGTGATGCGCTGGATCGCATTGCTCCCGAAGCAGGACCCAAAGGGGAAGATCTGTATAGACATAGTGCAGAAGGTCCTGATGACAGTATGTTGCCCTTATAGCTTGTTCCTGTTTCGGGGGCTGGAACTTGTTGGTCGAGTTGACTAGCAAGTTACTGCTCTTACACACTTTTATGCAAGAATTTACTAACTTACGTTGCTACAGTGCCGGTAAACATTATCCGAGTAATTATATAACAGAAGAATTGGTAGCTAACTAAAACAGGCACACGTCAAATCCGCACTCATCGGCGCCAGCGTCACGATTCCCATAAAAGACGGAAAGTTGGTAAGTCATTTATATTATCCGCCTCATATCTTCGATATCGAAGAAAGAAACTTACTAGAGTCAAACAAAGGCAACGGGAACATGGCAAGGAATCTGGTATCTCGGTAAGTTGAATAACATTATGATTCAAATTATTACTTTCTAACATAGTGTCATTTGCAGAGTTTCGCGAAGTGAAGCATACGAGACGGGTCGTAGCAACTATTCAGGGCGAAAAGGCATGAGTAACGTGGAGCATATAAGATAATGAAAGAAGGCAATTTTCATTCCGTTTTATTTAGTACAAGCGTGATTTGTCCATACGCCGAGCGCCATTCCATGATCATGCTCATCCATGGATATTCGAGCTTGAAATCGTAGTAGAAGTGATCTTCTCAAATCTCGTAATCACGTTGTCGCCTAGTGATTTGATAGTTCATGGAGACTTTTTGAAGTATCATGGCGCATTTCCTAAACCCAACCATTCCCGTCCTCTCGAGCATAGGGGGTTTCTAGGTAATCCCTTAATACACGACTACGAGATGCCGTTTCCCTCCTTAAAGTCATTCATAATCTCGTCGCCTCCCGCGAGGACTCGAGTCTTCAAGTTGAAGCCCTCAGGTCCCGATCCAGGGGTCGCAGCAACAACTTCACCGCTTTCATTAACAAACTCGAAGTTGTACCGGCTCAGGAGATGCGGGATGGCGGAGAGTTGGGGGCCGTATCGGGCGGTGTTGTCGTAAAGTTCGAACAGGGGAACTGCGAGTAACTTCATGTTCTTGGGTACACTGAGTACTTCTATGGTAGACTGCAGTTAGCGAGGGAAATTTCCACCTGGATGCATAGAATTTGACTTACTGCTCTCGGGTAATTGGATGAAATAAAGTTTTTTGCATTCCTTCGGCCGCGTTACGTGGGCTGGGATGAACGGGTACATGAACGTCTCGAAGTTAGGGCGCCACCACTGCGCAACACAATCTCCAACTTGCCAGTTGCCAGGTTCCTCGCCCTCGCCCAGCTTGCCCACTGGCGCCAACCGTTCATCTAGACGTGCCTTGAATCCATCGATTTCGTCATCCTCTGGTCGCAGGTAATCGCCGGGGAGCTTGAAAAATGCGTTTGCAATTTGCAACATGAGGATGTGTGGGTGGTTGTGCTCGTGGCACACAAGGATACCTTCGCAGGTTCGGCGCATACCATGGGCATTGTAATGTTCTTCGAGTCGCTTCAAGCGGGCAATGACTGAGGGGTCCTCCTCCGGCTGCGTCTCCTTCACCCCGAATGTGTAGTTTGAGAGAGGATACAATCGTATCGTAGTAGGTTGGTTCGAGTTGAAGGAGAGCGGAATAATCGGAGGAGAGGCGCTCTGAAGCGCTGTCACCGTGACGGTCGACATAGTAGAAGCGAGCCTACGAATTGTGATACGAATAAATTGATGAAAGAGAAAGGTGCAATTTAATCAACAACCTAATCTAATAAGGATTAAAAGACACGCGACACGCACGCTACGTTTGTGATGAGACTAAGCAGACAAGGCTGAGAGCTTCTTTCGTAAAGATTGACGATGTTTGTGGGAAAGGTAATGTCAATTATAGAGGAGTTATGGCACCTGCAGCTCAACTGAACGACGGTGCTTGAAAACAAAAGATCAATCCGAGTAATTATTGGTACATTCAGGAGCTTGCCTTCCAGGTTAGCAGAACACCATAAATATAGAAGCTGCACCAATAAGGAAGGCGGTGACCTATGATGACTGTGCAGTTATCGTTATCGTAAAAATTTGTATTAGTCATGAATTTATATGTCATATAAGAATATCGCAATATCTATTACTTGAATTTACATTTACTCTTATTTTATATTTATTTTCAGCAGGCATTCAAGTCTGGAATGTAATGGAACTAAATGTAGGAAGATATTGTAAAATCTACAGCATCTCTTCACAAATGCCTTAAAAGAATAATATAATGGCAACTAGTCAGATCCTTAAAGCACATACACTACATACTTCATGAGATTCCCTAAGTCGTAGAGCAATTCGAATCTCACAATCAAAATACAGCTCATTAATCTTATAGCTACATACTAGAAAAACTATTAAGCTACTCAACTTACAGACCTCAGTATAAAGAAGCCAAAGCCATTTCCCATATCCATCCAAATCGCTGTCCTTCAATTAGTGCAAATAGGTAACCCCCAAGACAAAATAAAACCCCTGAATTTCTCAGATATCTCTCAAGCTAGACCAACGTCGTAGAATCTCACAACAACGTTATCGGAAGCGACACGTCAACCGACGTACAATTCTCAACATGATATCCGCCTATCTCACCACCATCGGCGCAAGCCATATCCAGAGTCCCATTCGCGACTCCCGTATACGCAACCCTAGACCACGTTAGGGGTCTACAATGGAAAGGGGGGTGTTCATCACTCAGCATCACATCTCCTCCATCACCATTACTACGGGAATCTCCTTTCCATGTATTTCTCCCTAGGTCGGGAGGTACACATACATATGCAGATGTGATTTCCTTTCTTCCAAGGGTCATGGAATATTATGTATAAGTAGGTAGGGATAGGGATTGGGATAGGTATAAGCGAAAGCAGAAACTCACAAACGTCCCGCATCATCATGACAGAACCAAGTCTGATTAACCCTCAGCCCCCCCTCCCCCAGCGCAAACGCCGCCCCCGTCGCGATCGTAAACCGATGCTTGCCATCATTGTCCTTGCGGTCCGCGCACGCTTGCCACGACGCGTCCTCGACCCACCGCGCCGGCGCATCGGAGTCATTCCCGGATTTGGAGAGATGGCCTAGCGGGAACGCGCATATCGTGTAGATCCCGTTCGCGGCGTTCGCCACCGCGAACGACATCGAGATCAGTTGCTGCGGCACTAACCCCCCGTCGTCGTCGCCTTGCCCGGGGAGCGCGGTGTAGTTCCCGTAGCTGACGAAGCTGAGGTTGAATGTGCTTGCTAGGGAGGCTGTGGCGCATTCTACGTTTCCGGGTGCGGATTGTGTTGAGGACGCGTCTGCTAAGTCGGTGTTGCTGCGGGAGAGGAGAAGCAGGGCTTGGATTGGGCTGGGGAGGGTGAGGAGAAGGAGGATTTTCTGGGATATTAAGCGTTTCATCGTCTTTTTCGTCAGATGTTCATCTAGGAAGGTGTAGATGTTCTATTGGTTGCGTGTCTCTTCTAGCTCTGCGATTCTCTTGATATTCATCTCTTGCCGTTGAGAAGGGGCAAGTTCAGGCATCGTCCCTTGCTGCCGCGCTATCAGGCTGCAACCGCGACGGCAGGCCAGGGTGGCCTCATCACGACATCATGAAAGAGCGACGTTCACATGTTATTTGTTGGGCGATACCGGCATGTCTCCACTGATCGATATTAAATATCTGACTACCGGTTCCGTTGAACAGACAATGTTGGGACGCAGATTTATCCATGTTCAGAGTCTAGATTTATCCGCTGATGGCGATGACAGGGGACTCTGCTTGGTATGGCTTTTATCCAATGAGGTGATATTGGCCACTGACATATACACGTAAGAACTCTAATTCGACCTTGGATAGCCAGGCTGTGTTGATTATTGATGTATGTCTTCTTGAGTCTTAGAGAGCTAGGTTGTGATATCATGAGTATGACCTCTCTATTCTTGAAATGATTTACCCCATCACTTGAAGAGTGGCAATACTAACTTAGGACGGCAATGGTAGCCAAGCCCGCCCGATGGACTATGCCGTTTGAACGATCTGTAGGTAGGCAGAATGAACCGATGGTATCATAAACCTCACAATGTGATGGCTTTGCAGACGAGAAATTAAAGGTATGTGAATAGATCGTAACTATATCACCGGCATTATTTTCTCGGCTTAAATAAATACCTACAGGTAAATAGAAACAGATGTTGTTTATCCCACAATATTAAAGAAGAGGGCTTTCGCACCTACCATAGATTTCTCGGCCGACTTTTATGAAACATGTGGCTTTGTAAGGGTTGGCGTTGTCCGGATTGAAATACACAAGAAAAAGAAATTCCATGTTGTGTACCTACACACATAAATGCCTTCAACGGTGAGTATATTAGGTGGCCGTCTCGGAAATTTGTGGGCAGACAAGCCCGATAATTTCTAACACCGTACGGAGGCGTTTACCTATGCGTTGTCGTTGTCCGGTTTGTTAGGCAGATATCCGGTTGGTCAGTAATCACTTTGAAGGCGGAACGCGGACGCGGCAACGTCAGGTCCAGATGACTAAGTGTCATGATACGCGATAGAGACACTTGAGACTTTTGCCTGAATCATGAAAATAAGTTATGACTCGTCATTTTGTGTCACTTTATTCTTTCTTTATATGCAAGTTTCTCGTCCAAGTCAGCAGCCCCTTATGCCTAAATCCGAGGAGAATAAGGAAAATCCGATGATTTAATCTAGAATATGAGAGTACGTACTCGACAGCCACATACGCACGTCGACGATGTTTAGTACCTAGACCGGCTTGGGGTCCACACATATATCTATTATTACCTGAATGGGAATTTTCACGCGGCCTGTCAGCTCTTTAGCTGATGATCGGCTGGTTTCGCGGCGAGGCTGGAAGATCATACCCTACGTACCTATCTCTTCTCCACGCAACCTGCGGTTCTATCTGTGTCAGGTCGAAATTATGATCAGTCCTTTGCAGAAACGATTTAGCCATCTGCCATACCCCTGGAAACGGGAGAGAGCATCTAGCGCGCTCTTGTCGACCAGTTGAATTCCGTTGCCCTTCACACCAATTGTCGGATCGGTGAATCGGGAGCGCTGAAGAGAAATAAGCAATAAGAAGAAGATGTTATCCGGTCTCCCATCTCCGGATCCAAGTCCGCCGTCACGTCCTTTACTAGAAACGACAAATGTAGGCGTGCTTGGTATTACTATGGGCTTGACCAAGACGCCACGGCGTTGTCTCAATACCTAATCTCCCTTCCGCCGTGACCCGATGGCTTATGAGGATTTGCGTGTTCCTATAGCGACAGATAGCCCAATAGCCGCTAGTCGAGGCGATCACCCTAGTCCAGTCAGATTCGTCAAAAGCCACAAGTCTACCTGATTACGAGGAAACCGAAAACTGCTTTTTACACCGGTCAACACATCGTAGCTTAGGTATCGCATATAGCGCCCTTTTTTTCTCAGCGAGAGGGCAACGTGTTAAGAGGAATCTACTGACATCGTGCGACAACGGACCCATTTTGGTTGAAGCCAGGAGGGCTACGTACCCTAGGGATGGGGAAAATGTATAAATGGCGTCAATATTTGGCACGCACGATGACCTCTACACTGCCTTTCTGCAGACCCCACCCCACGCGTTCTAGCCATATCTCACAGGGGACGGCCGGGGATCGGCATGCCTTGTGGAAGGGGATGATCACATGCACGTACGCAAGACCCGGCAAACGCGAAGCATCTCGTTAATAAGGGACCGCAGCTCGGGTCAAGCGGAAGACAGCGCTGGCGCAGTAGTCTACATACCTCAGCGGTGGAGCCTGCAGTTCATGTAGGACCATAAGGATGGCATCTGTCGCGGCCCTTATTTGACCGGTTATATAAGACATTGGGTTAACGTGGGGGTCAATAAAAGGGGGGTCAGTAAGGGGCAGGCCGGGGAAATGTCTACGTGGGAGGAGATGGGAGGTAGTTAGCGAACAAAAGCTTCTCTTACCGGGTAGGGGCAGCATGCACTGACGATGCCGTGTAACACTTGGCCGGTACATGGCGAACATCAGACCGGGGTAAATTATTGCACAGACATGGATAGGTACTAGGCATGTATGGTTCCATTGTAAAAGGAGCGAACGGGTTAAGATGAAGGCCTCCTTGAGGCGCGTTGCATATACGTTGCAGCTGGTGGCATATTCTGCATGCATACGCCATGCTTCAGATACCTGGTATGAGCAAGAAAATCAAACGACGGGCTACGCCGAGATATTATATAACGAGGATATACACGAAATGATAGCTCATGTGGTATAGCATGAGCACATATCCCGATGTCTACAACCATCGAAGGCGCCGGCGAGAGCGTGAAGCACTTTGCTTTCTGCATGTATGTAAGTCCCCTTTCCGCAACGGATGGTGAAGTAAAATTAGTTGGATTCAATCAATATGAGGCTCTGCAGGAGGCATATACAAGGAGTGCCAAGAGCCTCTATGCCTGGCCGGAAAGGGGACGACGCCCCTTTCTTCCCTCTCCGGCTAACGACTACACCGCCCAAGATCAGACAAAGGTAGAAGCAAGTTTATTGTACAGCACATCGCAGGATTCATATCCGATACTATCAAGGAATGACCTGATTCATATGGATGTCTGCAATTACGTAGATACATCGCGGTAAGGACAGTTGAGCCGACCCAATGAGTATTCCAACCAGAAGCAGACCGCCCCCGCCGTGTATATCGAAATAATGAAGAAAAGTAAACAAGAAACGCTCGCGAAGGTCTTTTTACCTGGAAAATAGGAAACCATAGCCAAGCAGTAATGTGTCTCCAAAATTGTGAACCAGCATCACCCACTGCGTACGATCATGCTAGCCTAGTGACGTTTGCTTGACTTCTCCTTCGAGTCCGGCTTCTTTGGAGAAGAAGACGACGATGTGCCGTAAGCAATGACAACGCCTGATTTGTGTGACTTGTTTTTCTTGTCGTGTGAACTTGGCTCTCGAGTGCTCTCCTTCTTCGACTTTTTCTCCCTGTCGTCTCGCCGCTCTTTATGACCCGAAGATCGGTGTTTGACATTTTCGTTTTCGGATACGCCTTCTTTGGTGTAATCAACTCTCAGTTCCCGACCTTCGTACTTGTACCCATTTAGTCGCCGAATCAGCTTGCTGGCCACCTCTTCGCTCTGGAACGTGACAAGAGCGTAGCCTCTGTTTGATGCTTGGCCTTCAGTTAGCGGCAAGTCAACATGCTGAATTTTATCAGCATCGGATCCGGCTTTCTTTCGGATGAGATCTTGTACCTGGTTGACATTGATCGAAGGTTGAATTTGTTTCACAATGATTTTACGTTGTTTCGTTGGAACCATGCTATTGGAAGGATCATTTGGCATCGGCGTTATGGGTTCCGGACTAGGCATGCTGTTATACATGGCGTAATCGTTGTTTTGATACCCGCTCACTTGATATTGCTGGGAGAAGCCTGTATCATAAGGGTATTGTACCATCGTGGAAGGCGAAACCATGGTTGATTGGTCTAGGTAGCTGCTACTTGAAGTATCGTAGGTGTAGCAATTAGGCGTCTCGCTGTAATCAGGAGGCATGGCGCTTGACGCAGTATAAGGCGCGCATTCCATTGACGAAGTAGCTGTATATAGAGAAGAGGTTGCGGGAGAAGTCCACTAGAAGGGGTTAGCAACCAAAAATAATACGAGATTCTCTCTTATTCGAGTTTGAAGAAACCTACCTCCCCGTACCCAGTAGCATGCGGTGACATCAACGGGGGTGTGCTAGCCGCATACTGCGTCGAGGGAGGTGTTTTGAATCTCGATGCATGAGTGGTCTTGGATGTAGAGCCGCTCGATTTCGAGCTCGCTTTGGAAGCCGTTTTGGAAGCCACCTTGGAAACGGTCTTGGGAACCGCCTTAGAGGCCGTTTTCGAGGAACCCGTGGCCGCTTTTGAAGGAACCACGGATTCCCTGATCATGATAGTTTCGGAGATATTCTTGCCATCGGCCAGGAGTGCTCGTCCGTTGAAGATACCTCCGTTGAGAAGCCCTATAATTAAGTTCCAGTTAAGATTAAAATATCTAATTAATTCTCGGAGATTATCTTACGGAGAGCTGCATCATAATTGTCCCTACCCCAAACAGAAACCCAACCAGACGTGCTCTCGTTGAACACCTCGACTCGGTCAACCATGCATACTGCCCGCACATGGTTTTTCAACTGTCTCCAAGTTGTTTGCCATGGCAACTTTCGTAGGTATATTGTTAGTAGGAAGAAGCCATTTAAAGAGGGAGGTTGCACGATTCAAAGCTAATTTACGCTGAGCTCACATTTGACACCAAAATGTAGTACAGGTTCGTTTGATTTCCTGGCAAGACTTTGGTTTGCATAGTCCCGTTTATGGGGACTTGATGGGTGAAGGCATCCGAAGACATCGTGAACGGACAGCTGCAGCTCTCAAAGAGTTTACTCAAAAATGTTTGGCAGGGAGCACCCTTGGCGAGAGAATCGTGTGAAACGAACACAACAGTAGGAAAGATCCGATGGGGCTCTTTATATGTTGCACGAGTATATCTATGGTCCGAATGTACGCGATGACAATGAAGACGAAGCCTAATAGAAGTTACACAAGATGGTAGTCTGAGACTCGGTGGTATATATCGTAAGTTACCCAGGTAGATGTATGCAGGATCGTGCCGTGCCAGGTACGACCAATGCGTATATTTTAGCCAGCAGCCAGCAACCATGCAACCCGTACACCGATTGGGTCAAGAGATGTCAGCGATGAGGGCACCCATGGCTCCGGAGATATGTATATCGAGACACGGTCGTAGATTGTGTGAATGTGCTACTTTCTACCACGCGTAGCCCAATAGGAAACTGCCGTGTAGTAGTTGGTACCAGTCTTTTACCTGCATGATAACGCGAGCCATCAGTCACAGTCATTGACCATGACCTTGTTACGAAATCTGACAGCATTGCTGAATAAGGTATATTCTCCTATTTGATCTTCGGCGGGGATCAAGCCATAAAAGTCAGTCGAGGCTTGCAACCTAGGAAGAGGATCGATGACCCTTGCTCCAACAAGAAACTGTTCGGTACCCGGTGACAGAGTTCGTTGTAGAGTAGGTAGGGGAGTAGCTGAGGTAAGAGGGTTGATGGATGTATTGAGAAAGGTCCTTAAAGATAATCTAGCTTATTATTACGGGGTACGTTATTCGATTTTAAAGACCTAGTTTGATTCCATAAGCTAGGTAAGATTTGGATACCTACCTACCTACTTTACCTACTACCTAGATAGGTTAGGAGGTAATTAGGTAGATAGGTACATGCTAGTAGACGGTAAAGATAGCCTGCGTGTCTGAGGCTCACTGAATATTCTGTGGGGGCGGGAAGCTGGTGGAGATCGATAGATCTAAGATGTCTTCAGGTCGTACTTCGAGCTTTGGCTGTATCATAATATCGGTATTTTTGACGATGCTATTGAGTTGGGGAAGACCATGCGATATGCAGACAAGGGGGTTAGGTGGTTCCCTACTTAAGTGGCGTTTTTAACGGCTTCAATTTGCCGCACCCGTGGTCATCGAGTTCTTTCGAGAATGGCAGCCCATAAAAACCCCCAAGGTACAACATGCTGCGTCGTACTAGCGTCAAGTAACGTCGTGAATTTAGTACATGCTTGGGTAGGTATCTGTATTGAATGGTTACCTAGGTATTTGTCCAGGATAGATAATCTGTTGTTGGCAAACACGTCGTAGGAGGCTAGAATCTTTCCAAGAATGTTTTCGTGCATGTCGTAACACAGCAAGGGTATCATTGCCCGGCATACCGAGTGCCCGTTGACTCTTCGACTGCGACTGCAACTACGGCTGCCCTCCTAGCTTTCTAGCCAACTAGCTTATGTGATTGGTTTATTCCTAACGGTGTCCAGTCGATGAGATCAACCCACGATCTTTGAGCGAAGTTGATGATGTCTTCCACACCGAGTACTTCTTTCTTATTAGCGTCTTCCTATCTTTCTCGCCCAACCAAGTAACCAAAACGTACGTTGTAGATCGAGCTCATCGGTTCACTAACAACAGTATGAGATCCGAACATACCCTGCGACTCTGAAGTCACTAAAAGGCCATTCTTGCATTCGGGACAGTTGACTTTGTCTTCCGGGATTAAGCTAATGGCTATTATTCCACGGTACTGGGTGCCTAAATTTCATACCCCATCAACTTGATATGTGACAGAACCCTTGCGCAGGTCCCCGGCTTAGCGGCTGATGAACTGAAATGTGTCATCCAGCTCACTCGCATAGTCGTCATCTGGGTCAATATCGATACTGTCCTCTGCATCCTCTAATTCATATGCGAGTTTTGGTGATGACTGCATATTTATATCGCTCCCATGACTGATGGGGCTACCAGGCGCAGAATCGTCCTCGTGCCAGGGGAGTGCTTCTCCATCAGAATCTGCAAGTGAAATAACCATGCAGGTTGCGTGGTCAGTGAAGAATAGTGCTGCAGACTCTGCCCTCGTCCGTATCCATGCGGCGTAAGTCTTACTACTTAAGGCTTCTGGAAATTGGCGTGCCATGTCGATAGACCGTGGGCCCTGGCTCAGAGGGTCCCAGGCAAACACGAGACTTCCATACCTGTCCCCATCACACCTCATAAGGAGAAGTTCTGGATGGACTGGGTGCCATTCTAGCTTTGTTACATTGGCGTGGTACATGAGCACAGCCCGAAGATCGGAACTAGGGAGATCCCAGATCCAGATCGTACCTGGGGCGTCTTCTAGCCTCGTGGCTAAAAGAGACGAAGAACAGTCGAATTTGACAAGATTACAACCAGATGTAGGTTCCTGAAGGTTATTCGGCGTAGTCCACTGTGGCGTCACCGCCTGCGTGGCTTTGATGAACCCTGGCGAGGAAATTGATCCAGTATTTGGAAGAGTGTTTTGTTCTTGCCAGATCTTCACGGTCAGCAACCTGTGTTCCTACAGTCCCCACTACATGGGTAACTTACTTGCAATGTATCCTTGGGCTGGATAACTTGTGGGTGATGGAGCCGCATTGCTTCTACCATGGATGGCGTATTTAGGATGCATATGCAGGGAGAACTGTTTGCAACTGCTGCGAGTCTACAGTCAGGGCTGAGCGTGAACGCTTTCACGCCAGTACTAAGCAGACCCATGTCCTGAGGTGCATGTAAGAGGGGACCGTTCCAATCCTTGAAAATATGACCGTCAGAAGTATAGAAAAGGACCCTGGGGGATTGAGCTGATGATTCACACACTACCAACCATCTCCCATCCGCGGTCCAGACCAGTCCTTGAGCATCAATAGTGTCCGGGTACCAGGACCGTTGAAGCTCTCTCGTCCCCGGGGAATGGATGCTGATCATATCCTTCCCAGAAGTTCTCGTGAGCAGGGCAAGGTGTTTTGTCTTTGGGCGGAAGGAAATCCCTTTAGTTGCAGTGGCAGCGCTGTAGAATTTGGGGTTTGTGATTTCTACAGCCTTTGAGCTCGTAAGATTGATGAGTGTTAATTTGATACCGAATGGCGACCAAATGCACACCTCATGGTCGGTAGCTCCAAAATCGATGAAGGTTGACCTACCGATCGACGGCGGAATCCTAATAACACCATGGAAATCGCCGCTTCTGGCCGAGAAGACATGTATCTGATCCGTGATAGCGACTAAGATCCTCGTAGAGGAAGGTGACCAGAGAAAGCTGGTCGTCACACCGGTCGTGAGATCCTGTGGAAGTTTTATAGTTCGGAGTACGTCCAGAGATATAATAGTCCGTATGACGATACTTGATGGTAGGAGGGTTGCAATTAGTTCACCATCTGGGCTTGGGCAAGAGTGAGGCGATGCTAATTGTGAGCATTAGTATCTATTTCTGGTTCCGAGCAACTCAAATGGGTAGACAGATGGCAAGAATTTAAAGAGCAGAGTTATATAGTCTTGGGGTGAATTCCTACACTGAAGGGCCTTCGAGAAGCGCATGATATATTAAATTTGCCGGAATAATCCGGTACTGAGTATCATGAATAATTAGGTATTTTGAAGCCGTGAGGTGAGACCGGTGAGAATGCTATCGTAAGACTTTTAGGTCATAACCGCCTCAATACGGCAGAATTAACCGTCGCAACCGATGATCAATCATAAAACGATACAGGTCTATGTGATATTAGCTGACTGACCAGTCAACTATTTCGAATTATCAGCTCATTGATACAAAAAATGGAGCCTCACCTTGAGCTACCTAATAGGTATTGTTTTTGTTGACTTTCAGATGTACAAAGTCAATCTTTCAATCTTCCAATCTTTCAGGGTTCCGACCCAGTGGAACACCGCAACGACTTCGGAATGCGCCCCACCGCGATCCACCATTTACGCTTATCTCTTTTTAAGGTCTCCACCAGCGATAGTAGCTGTGCTGACTCATCTCAGCTTCATAAGGCAGGTACAACACATTGGTACCCGTGACATCTCCGCGTATCGTGGCAATTAAGACATTGTTTCTCTTTTGTTCTCCAAATTGACAACTAACTTGTTCAAACTTCAAGCAACCCGCCAATATAAGACATGATGCATCGTATCCCATAAAAACTTTTGTTCGGCGAAACATCTTAACCGCCTATCGAGATGACGCATATAACTTTCTCGATGAATTTAGTGCGGGCCGTATCTTGGGGTCTGCGTACCCCGACCGGGAAATATCGCTCTGAGTCTCTGCGGCGAATAGGCACAGCGGCGGCGGCGGTGGCAATACCAAATATTTCGGAGTCCGAAAGTCCGATCCAGGCGCCACCCGCTCAGCCTTCCCGGCGGCAATTGTTGAAAGATGCCAAGCCGTTTTCGGACTTCCTTACGGACACCTTCCAACGGCAACACGACTACTTACGCATTTCGCTTACCGAAAGGTGTAATCTTCGATGCGTTTACTGTATGCCAGAGGAAGGTGTCCCTCTCTCTCCTCAAAGAGAGTTGCTAACAACCCCTGAGGTTGTTATGCTGTCATCTCTGTTCGTTTCTCAGGGGGTTAACAAGATCCGTCTGACAGGAGGGGAACCTACCATTAGAAAGGATATACTGCCATTAATGCAACAGATTGGTGCTCTTCGCCCGCATGGTCTGCGGGAACTCTGTCTTACCACCAACGGTATAGCGCTCCATCGAAAGCTCGAAGGTATGGTTGAAGCTGGACTAACCGGCGTCAACTTGAGCCTTGATACACTGGACCCATGGCAGTTTCAGATCATGACCAGGCGAAAGGGCTTCGATGCCGTTATGAAAAGCATCGAGAGAGTATTTGAGCTTAACAAGCACGGAGCCGGCATCAAGCTCAAGATCAACGCGGTCGTCATGCGGGGAATAAATGATCGGGAGATCATTCCTTTCGTCGAGATGACCCGCGAGAAAGATATTGAAGTAAGGTTTATAGAATATATGCCGTTCGATGGCAATAAGTGGAACGAGGGTAAAATGTTTAGTTATTCAGAGATGTTGGATCGTATTCGGGAGAAATTTCCTGGTATAGAAAAAGTACGGGATCACAAGAATGATACGAGCAAGACCTACAGGATCCCTGGATTTGTTGGCAAGATTGGCTTTATCACCAGCATGACACACAACTTTTGTGGGTCCTGTAATCGTCTTCGCATCACAAGCGATGGCAACCTCAAAGTTTGTCTCTTTGGAAACTCGGAGGTCTCGCTGCGTGATATCCTAAGAGAATCTAACGGGGGAGAACCGGTTGACGAGGAAGCTTATGAGACTATGAAAAAGATCGAGATGGACCGACGACAGCAAATATCAAGCGAGCCGACATCCCTTCACTTATCCCCTAGTGAGCACAGACTTCTAGAGGTCATCGGTATGGCCGTGAAGAGGAAGAAGGCCAAGCATGCTGGTATTGGCGAGTTGGAACATATGAAGAATAGACCCATGATACTCATAGGTGGGTGACTACTCCTATCCCTTGGAGCGATTAGACCTACAAGGGATCATATAAACGCCTGCCATTCCGATTCGAGGCAACTAGAGGAACTCGAACTGAACGAGCACATGGCAGGTCCGCGGCGATTCATTCCGGATAGCCGTTCGCAAATCTTGCCTTTCGATGCTGCGAGGAATCCTCTTGTCATACCTTCAGCTCCTAAGAGGGTGGCCTCTTGGTTACCTACCCCGCCAAACATCATCGTACACGGACAACACCTGCGGTGCTTCTCACAGACGAGCCTACGGCATAATGAGAAGAGCAACGTTGCCAAGTTGACGCATGTATCCGAGTCTGGCTCTGCTCACATGGTATCTATATCAGAAAAGACGCCGACCAAGAGAATCGCCAAGGCAGCATGCAGTATTCATTTCACCAATAGGATCGCTTGCAAGCTCATCAAAGAGAATCAGATCAAGAAGGGAGACGTCTTAGGGGTTGCCCGTGTGGCAGGGATTATGGCCGCAAAGCGAACATCCGATCTCATCCCGCTTTGTCACCCTATCGCGATCACCAAAGTTACTGTAGACCTTGTCGTACGTGAAAACGATAATAACGACGAAGAAGAGAATGGAGGTGGCCGAGTTGATATTGAGGCAACTGTAGCTTGCGACGGCAAGACAGGGGTAGAAATGGAAGCTTTAACAGCTGCTTCTACGGCAGCACTCACTGTATACGATATGTGTAAAGCAGTAGATAAAAGGATGAGCATTCAAGGCCTGAGAGTCGTTCTCAAAGAGGGCGGCAAGAGTGGCCGATGGGTTGATGGCGTCCAGGACGATCTGACTAGCCCAGATGAATAATACGATTTGTTAAATGATGCTTCAGATATCTCGATGTTAATGATCGTGATATGCATAGGGATTGCCCCGCGGGGAACGGGGAAGTGATCCAGATGCCCGGGATCTTCATCTATATGATTATACTAACACGTTACACCATGAACAAATACCTATCATTAATAATATCGAAATGCTTTCTACAACTATTCTTGGCAAACTCATCTCATAGCATGTGAGGCCGCCCACCATCGTCAATGGTACTACCGCATGCGATGGTTACTGAGTCTCTGTGTACGCAGTGTTTTCAATTGGGTTGCGGAAGCTGACTCGGGCAGTTCGGGATCCCGGTATTAACCCCGCCAGGCTGAAGATCTCTTGAGTTGGAAATATTTTGCCCAGCTGTCGCGGACCAGCCAATGAGGCTTTGACGATAACAAAGTCGAGGTCCGGTCCACTTCGAGGACCCTTTTTCCAAGCTCCGCGGGGCAACGTACATACGTAGATACGCTATATTTGGTGTCTCACTGTGTGGAACTCGGGACTGAGGATTGTTCCAATTAAAGTCGAGGTCGTATGCGCTATGTAGTAGGTGCATACGTAGTTCACTTCGCATATTAGAAAAGACGCATGAGAAACGGGAATCGCAAAGAGACCTTGATCTTCTAGATCTTGCATATTACTTGATCGGCGGGATGGTTGAACTCAAATCTCCTCTTCCAGCGTTTGCGTGTGTTTGCGAGTGATGTGATACCCTGGTGTCATTGATGGTCCAGACATCCAGATAAATATGATTCCTGTATGATGTCAAACCACGAGGCTTGCGTTATTAGTGCCAGTCTGTGCTTAAGCTAGTCCTCGTACATCTAATGGGGAGTACCTATTGACACGTGAGAAATTGTGGCAGGTCAAATAAGAAATAAAAGGGTAGCAAAAGAGGTGGTCAGCCATGGCAGCCGTCAGGTCCAGGTCGTTAGCCATTCGAGTCCAGTGCGTACCACAGTACACAAACCAATTCAGCGGTCAAGAAAGATCCTAGCAACTTTGACAACCTGCTGTACGTACTTAGTAGGACAAGGAGCAAGGAGCCTCGACTTGAGGACGTAGATCCTAACGCACAGGCATTAGTGAACTCGTAACATCCAATCAACGGGCACTCAAAGATAAACCTGCAGCATGATAAACACTGTGCTAGACTGTGCCGCTCCTATCGCCGCGCTAAAGTGTTTGGAGGGGCTAAGGTATGAATATCACATCGAGGATGCCGTCAGACTAGAGTTCATGTTATTAATTTTCCTAGATCTGGTCGTTGCTTTAAGATCTCCGGGTTTTAGGGTGTCTTGCATAAGGTTGTAAATATGGAAATCTGGTGCTTGCATCATCATATTGTTAAGTGCCAGTAGTGGTAGCAGTGGCAGCTTTTCGAAATGGTTGACGGGCTGTCGGGTTTTCTTCAGCTTCTTACGACAGGAGTCGAGGATAACCTTGCTCATGAATAAAGCAGCGTACGGCGGGTGGTCGGTTCGTCGGTGGAGCCACCAGGAGTCTAGGTTCTACACGCTACGTATTGCAGATTGTAGATCTTGCCGTCCGACCGGATCTCGAGAAAAACAACGCACGGTTAGATTGTGACGAATGTGAAGTCATCGTTAACAGGCCTTCCAGATCTTTATCGACATGACAATCGGCAGGGAATTTACAATGGTGCAGGAAATCCGCCTGCAATAAAGTAAGGCCGGTTACATCGCGATATATTGCTCCGGGGTCTAGCTGTTGTAGTAGCCAAACGTAATAAAGAACGGGCTGGCGCGCCGGCGTAGTACAGACAACTCCAAAATGCGAGGTTTTCTTTGGATATCAACTGTATCAGGCAGTCGGTCCTCTCCTTGGAAATCTGGTTCGAGGTTACTTAATCTCGATTCATGATGAACGACAAAATGATTGCTTAAAGTTTGTCGTTTCATTGGATTACTTGCTTCGATCCTCAAGATGCTAACTACTAGTCTGCTAGTATGCCGTTATTTAGTGTTTAGTTGCGGAGAAATATCTAACCTGGGATCCTAGAACGCTTGATGAGACAGTGACTGAAAAAATAAAGGCTGGAAGGGTCCGAGGAGAAACCTGACGTAAGTCGACGGATTTTAAACCGCCGAAGATCGGTATCCAGCGACCTTAAACAAATTGGGCAAGAGGACAGGCGAGCAAGCAGAACCCATTTTTTGTTACTGTACTGTGTATGTACAATACATCGTAGACCCTGGATGGGACCTAGCAGCCTAGGTCTATGAATAAGTGAGACCTCAATGAGCTTCATGCAGTTCTGTTACATTTAGGTATAATAGGTTTTGGTCGGTTATGTCGGAATGCGACCGTATTAGCAATAGCTGTTATTAAATTCTTTTCCAGGTGTTGGCTGAATAAACGATGAAAGAAATAGGTGTTGCGCATTGTAGAGGAATTTCCAAAAAAACCACCTCACAAGAAAAGAATATTCGATGGGACTATCTCGACGTGCATACAGATTGTATGTCTAATGTACCTAAAAGAGTAAAGCACAGTATGAATTGAATATTATGGACTTAGCTGATGTGTATTGACCAATCAGAAGGAAAGAAGATACTACGGTCCTGTGTAAGTGGACGCGCTTGGATGTATCGAGGGGCTCCCGGTCCACCAAAGCAGCAAAGGTGCCACAGCGACCGGTTCGACTACGGTCTTAGGCAAGGACGTACCTAGGAAGGTATTTTGTAGGTAGGTATTTGACAGAACGTTATTATCATCATCCCTCCTACCTCTCTTCTCTCCCCTATTACTACTCATGTTATACTAACTCTAGCCTCTTTTCCTCTATTCTCCCTTACATACCTCTATACAAAGGGTAATATTTTTCTAATCCCTCATATTTGGGTATTAGATAGAGTTGACATAACTCTCTACACCTTTTATATTTACTCTTATCCGTCTCTTATCAATCGTCACTCCCACTTGGACAGTTTGCCTGCCGGCACTCGTCCATAACCGTCTTATCACAAGCGTTCTCCCACTACCTAAGACAGTTAGTTGCGCGCAGTAACGACTTAAAGTTATGATCTAGGCCTTCAAACACCCTCCGAGCCAAAAGTCATAAACTTTCCGACGATACCCTCACCATCCGTTAGTTAACTTGGTAGTTAACTTTTACGATTCATACCTATTTTCTACCAGTTAAAGTCGGTTGTGGCTTTTGTTGATCCCGGGTTTTTTTATTAAGGGTGTTTGGGTTGAGCAATTCTTATTACACAATAAATTGGTCGCGCGACGGCTTACGCCGCTTATCGCTGCCCCAACATTCGCCAGTTTTCGACCGTCCATCCTTATAGTAACCCGCTTTGTTCTTCTTTGGATACCCTCCCACCTACTATTGTCCTGGACGCTGGTAATACAATTATAACCCACGACATTTTTAAAGGAGGATGGCGACCGATTTTATCATGCCCCGGTTACATGAACAACCACAGGCGCATTTCCTCCCATACCATGGGCAATCTACCGTGTCATCGCAATCCCCGACTTACCCGTCGCAATGTTACCCATCTCAGGGTTACCAATCTCAACAGATCTCGCCTCTAAGCACATCTAACAATGCTTCGCCAACGTCTCCGAAACCTTATCATCGCCAGCGATTACGACCTCTGTACATGCCCGCTGTTTTAAGACCGACAGAGCATCCGTCAAAGAAGATAATAGGGAGAAAGACGGAAGCACAAGATGATGACAGTCAGGTATCGCCTAATAACAGCTTTATCAACTTGAGCGGGTTGAGCGCGCTTAGCCGTTTGAGCCGTCGCACCACCGGCGACAGTGGGAAGTGGGTAGATGGCGATTGGGACTTGGATATGTTCCCCAAACCAACGGCGCAACCCACGCGACAACACTGGAAGGTAAGCCTAAATCCGCAGCCCGTGTCTCAGATATGCAGCCCTGTAGGCTGCGACACCTCAACCCACATGATGAAGTCATGTTATCTTCCTGTTTTTTTCTTGTTCTTCATAGTATTACAAGAACCTCAGCTGACATCTCAATCCAGCCCGACCCAGAGTCTACAATGTGCGACGAACCATCCTGTTTGCGCCACTTCAACTACTGGACGCGCCGACACCACTGCCGAAAATGTGGCAATATCTTCTGTGATTCGCATTCCGCTTTCGACGTCCCTCTCGATCAAGACGCGAACTACAACCCGCGAGGCACGCCTAGCCGAGCATGCTCCCATTGTTTTTCGGAGTTCAGAGCTTGGCGTAGTCGGACAAATAGTCAAGCTTCCAGCGAAACCTCTTCCACCCACGTAGGTTCGCAAACGGTACCTACAAGCCCGGCTGTCTCAACGCCCATCAACGGCCAAAATGGCCAACATCAGGACGTCGCCATGAGTGTTCCCCGAGATTGGAATTGGAGCACGTTTTAAAGAAGGATGGAACTATATTAATTCGCCGAATAATGCTTTCAGACACGTCTGGGCATTCTTTGAGCACTCTCCAGAATCGAATTCTGGCGACGTAACTATGATGATACACGACACAACACACCTAATAACGACGGTAAAATTTCCGACGATACCAGAACATACAACATTCACATATATAGATTAGACGTTTCTGGGATAGACTGGATATACACGGCCCATACCCATCCCATATTTGCACGAGTTATACGGACAGCATGGCGGTCTTGCACTTCCCTTCAGGCTACGATACCCGACTTTAGTGGACTAATTCCGATTTATAATTGCGTGGAGGGGGGCGACGGGCGAAAGGGGAGGGGAGGAGACGAGATAACGTATAAGGGAGGGAGCATGTCATTTACGAACTGCATCCTCGAGTCAGGTGACTTAGGGAGTTTGGGTAATAAATGGAAAGGGGATTTTCGGGGTGTGCATATCGGGGCATTAGAAAGGAATCTTGTTTCGGCCTGGAGTTTTGGAGTTTCGATGAGCACAGCTGGAATGTTGGGTGCTGGGTGTTAGGTACTGGAAACTGGATGCTGGAGTGCTGAGCCTAGTCGGTTTGGTTACACGGCGTTCACGATACGGAGGTTTCTAGCCGAGTATCTGGATTAATCGGATTTGATTTTCATGATAATTTACCTAATCCAACCGAAACGCGGCATCGTCATTTCCGATGAGATGTGTACCTGTCGTTAGTTTAACCGACTTACTCCGGGGCCAGTGGCAGTTCGTCGTTTCTATGTAATGTAAGTAATCGATGTTCTGATTTTCTATCCAATCCCGCGGTAGCAATTGCTCCTCCTGGCACCGAACTAGGTACAAAGGGTAGCTTCCCTGCTCTACTAGCGGCTTACCTTTCCTGGGCTTGCCGGCGCAAGCAGGCGAAAATACGTAATAGCATGTACCGCGCTCGGTGAGGCTATGACGATCTAGGCAATCAAAGTCTATGTGAGCGGCAAGACCGATCCTAGCCTCCACTTAGGTACCTTAGATACATTCTAAGTAAGCAGGTAAGGTAAGGTTAGGTGACCTAACCTATTTAGCGTTGGGTCCACCCGACCTGGTGGAACCGGCAGTAGCCGTAAAAGAAGGTATGTAACCTTACATACAGTACCCACGTACTTTTCTGTCCTACTTTCAGTCTTCCACCCGTACCCATCCAATATATTGACATCCTCGGTTGCGAGACGGTCGAACGCACATCTGGGACGTGACCAGATACCGCATTGGTTATTCTAGCTCACCTACGTACCATTGCGTGTAGTTGACGCGCCAATGTGCTTATAATAAAGTCAGGTATGTCCGGTCAAGTTTCGCGGTGCCAATTCAATGCTCCGGCGCCCGATGATGAAGTCCTTTGCCTTTCCGGGATTCCCGATCCCGTTTCGGCAAGCCCCTCGGTTATCAGTTGGCCGCAGCTGCGGCAACTATCGCCTCGTGGCGGCAGCGCAGTCCAACATAAAATTTCTCATCGCCACCGACGGCGGACATATCGGCGTCCGAGAAACTCGATGAAAAAGCTACTTTGCCGCGTCTAAGTCTTTAACCACAGCGGTGTGATAATGCATAGACGTACCTTACGTACCTTTACCTTAATATCCTAATGACCATCTTCGGGCGGTTGTTGTGGGCGTTAACCGCCCTCCTCCTTCAGAGGCGGGGTAAGTAGGACGTCTTCCGAAGAAAGAGAAAAAGAGGCCGGGTGCGCCTCTTGGCAACGTCTGTCAAGCATATTCTCGCAGGTCTCCCGCTGAGCGCATCGACCAATGGGTAGATCGGTTTGGACAGTCAATCGGATCAGACCAGGAACCTGGTATTACAGACCCAAAATCGATTCTGCGGCACATACATACTACTATGTAGTATGATATGATATTGCAGGCGCAGGCGCGTGATCTTGGCCGAATTCGCTGCGATGGAAAGGGATGCGCCCTATGTGGAGCAGGGGCAGGGGGAAGATCCTCACGATGTCCGTCCCCCGCCGCTTTGTGTGCGGGGGGCGGGCAGCAAGGGAGTTTGATGCAAGAGGACTAGAAAGATCGTGAGAATTCGATGGAGTAGTGCTCTAGCATCCGCGATATGGTTCCCGACATCTGCAGCGTCTTCACTTATATCCGTGGTGTAAATCTAGGTAGGTTACCATGCGCATCGTCATGGTCTAGTCATCGTCGAATATTTACTTTGGATCGTGATATTTTAAGGGGTAGCTGTAGGACTAACGTAGCATTCGAGTGGGCATACTGAAACAATATTAGGGCAATGGAGCCGCCATATGTGAGACTTGTGGGGTATTCTGGGCTCGTGTTCGTCTCATTCAGATTTTCCCTTTCTTGAGGAGCCACTCTGCTACAACACTGTTCCATTGCTAGTTGTGTTACTCAATGTGGTGATACCAACCCGACTGGTAGAATCGTCAATGCATTTCACACAAGCCGAGAGACGCAGAATGGTCCTTCTATGCTCACAAGACTCGTCTCGCCCTAAAGACTTTAACTTTTACTAGGTACCTAACTAATTCAATAATCATGGTTCGTAATATATCAGCATTCGACGACTCACTTCCTCCACTATCCTCTGCAGTACGGTTCGTACTACCCATGTGCTCTCGCGAAGGAGAATGCCACAACGGTAGAGTTCTATTTCACTTGCTAATATACAAATCAAATATAATCCGAAAGTGATCTGATTGCTGCTTCAACACGCTGATCATACCTAGGGTGCATATTCGTTTCTTAGCATCAAGGATAATTCAACTTTACAGAAACCCGACAGATTTTATGGCATCCCCGGTGACTCCGCCATATGTTCCGATCTACCCCTGGGCTCAAGGTATAGATGTTAGCCTTATGACCGACTCCACGATATGTGCTATGGGAAGGTTTACTGAGACTGGATTGCATCCTACCTAGTAAGAACTTGTCGTTTAGGACAGAGTAACTACTAGGTACTCAATTTTACAAGTCCTACATTAATACAATATTCGGCTTGAATGATCCTACCTCTCAACTGCGGTTATTATTGCCGAAAGGTCACATTGGAGAGTCGAAAATGCCTTAGGGAATGTTGCTATTAGCTACGAGGTCTAGTCAAGAAGCTGTGTAACTAGCTCGCCGGTTAGTACTAAGTATACAGTACTAAACATGAGAATAATCAGGTAATGTATAATGCTAGCCAATACTTTGACCACTATCAAATACAAAGCAAATGTGGTTGTGAGCCTATATGTACGTCTATTTTCTATAACTACACGGAGGTCCTTAGGCATCTTTATGCAGGACTAACCAAGCATACCCCTATATTTCTAAGCACTCGAAGCAGCCATCAGATCATTCGTGCATAAAGCCCCCAATTCCCTCTTCGAAACTGAGTCAGAGAAGCATATACAGGCGGTTCAGCTATGCTCTATTCTATTCACGGCTTGGTAAGAGAATGGCCTGAGAAGAAGAAAAACGGGAGTTGAGTAGGTAGGCATTGACATTTCCAAGTTCTATAACGCATACCTGGCTGATGCTTGCTGGTAACATCTCTTACCCCTTATATTGGAATAAACTCCAGACGATTTCCTCCGGGGAGCAATTGTTGAAATCATTTTAAAACATGTTGCGTCTCCTATCATAGGCAACAGCCCGCTGAGTTGGATCCCGAACAGCTAGGAGTATGTATATCTGTCAGCTGAGCAGCAAACGTCTCAAAGTCTATCTAGAGACAACCTCTAGTCTAGCAATAGCTTAAGGACTATGCTAGATGAGTTCGATATCTTGTTTAGTCCCTACCTGCCAGAGTCTAATAGGGGTTGATGTACCAGCAACTTCATTGTATCATTTGCTTTGCGACAGTTTTCAAGTACGGGCCAAACCCCTAGCTCTATTTTATTCTCCTGCAACTTGGTTTTAAAAGCAGTAATGCTAACCTTGGGATTTATTCCCTTCTGTATATAAACTATTCATACCTAGTTATTTAAGAGAGACGTAGGTATTATCTTACTACATCAATGTTTCATATCTTTACCTCCCTAGTAGGTAGGTATCTATCAGCGAGGATTTCTTAGCTATCATAGCGCTCCTACTAGGTACGGCCGTAGACGTGGACCACTATCGACCTCGGCTGTGATACTTGATGGCGTCATTCATAAACACATCTCGTTTTCCAATTATCAATGTATGTAATGGAACTCACATAGGTCCGTCGCGACTTTGCTAGACATATTACAGAAACTCATCTCGCTCTTCGCAAAGAAGCCGGCGGCGGGTTCTAATCGTAGCTCCGCAGGTAGATCCTCTCTAAACCCAAGGGGCTTTATAATCGTAAACAAGAGCATAAGCGCGGTGCTGTGACGAAGTTCTTTTGATAGAAAAGCAACTGATGGAATAGTAAAGAAATGGTTGTGTTGATGTGAGAAGATTACGTTGTTAGAGAAGGCTATTCATGGTTAGAACATATCCTATCACTTTAGTTGAATACGAGGTGTTAAATAAGCAACCTCAAGTCTTGCAAGTGTGATTAAATGAATGATCTAAGTTATTGTTCGTTATATCATTCAATCCGTACAACGCACCTGTGAATCGCAATCGCATCCCTATAGTGGGGCCACTCCTATTTGTCCTATGTAACGAACATGCACCACTTGAGATAACTATCATGAAGCAGATAAGTGAGTTAAGGTTCAAACACATGATCATTAAACGTGTTCTATATCTACACCTTAAGCAATAACGCTTATTTCAAATATATACAACGAGTCTGAATTCAGCACTCATTTCAATGATCCAAACTTCATCATAGGCTTGGTCTCGAAACCATCGCCTATTCCCTTCATGCAACATGTTTTTCATAGCGACCCCTTTTCCTGGCTCCCTAAACTCCGGATATGATTTAATTATAGCACCGGGGCGCCGGCGTAGTATCGCTGTAGTACCCCATGAGTAGGTACTTACCTATGTTATTAGTAATTCCCACAAATTCGACTTGCGCCGGTTTTTAAACGTCTAACGCATATATATTTTGGGTATATTTCTAATAATGCTTGCCGTTCAACACGCCATTCGTCTTCTCGTTAAATCGGCCAGCAGATGATGGGTGCAAGTTGTCATTGCCGGTAGAGTCGTCGCTATCCTCGACAATAGCACCTTCGTTGCTTTCGCCGTAAACTTCACGCTCAAGACCCTTCGCGGCGTCCCAGCTAGCCTTCTCTGCCAACATGACGTTGCTAAGACGCCGGTTGGGGTTGACCTTAGCACGTACGACTTCTGCCTTGCTGCGGCGTAGGTAGCTTGCGACGAAGAATGACATGAACAGGTAGGTCAGAGGAAGTAGGTAGAAGACATTTAGCCAGATTGCGAAAGTGGCGCCCGTTGTTGTGATACAGTCCACCTTTTGGTATCGGGTTACGTAACTGGCAGATGGGTCTGCGGAGTCGGCTACCACAGCAGCTGCTCCAGCGACTTGAGCGGTGCCGAAGAGTGTTTGCTTAAGGTTCTCGAGGAAGCTATCAGAGCTAGGAGTAGCAGTTGCAGCAGCAGCGATGCTAGAAACGACAGCAGTGGCCTCGGAAGTGGCAACCTTCACTTGGACCGGAACCGAGTACGAGATGAAGGAGTGAATTATGGCAGCAGAGGCGCCAATGATGAACTGCGAAATTTGAAGAGAAGTGAGGGAGCGCTTTACCAGAGTAGGTACGCGGATGTTGAAAGCGGTCACTGTGTAGTAGGTGTACTGTTATAGAATTAGTAACTGCTGGTATTCTAACTTAGTCTTGCGGTTGGGAACTCACCATTAGAGCGTGGATTGCGGAGTTAAAGCACACGAAGATCCAAATAGGAGTCGACATGTAACGCATACCAGCCCACATAGCCATCATAGCACCTGCGTGGTGGTAGGTCTGAAGGGTAGAACTCAGCTTGCCCTTAGCAAGGATAATCAGAGTATCGACAACCTCATAAAACTTGCTAATATAAAACAGCCAGCCATAGAAAGCTAGACCTTCGTTCCAGAGTCGTCCAGTTTCAGTCCGGCTGGGGAAACTCCCAGCTGCTAGAACATTGGAGCCAGTTAATGATTCCCATACTCTATGGTTCTGGTTGTAGTTGAGCGCATTGCCTAGGCCAGTAGGCCCGTGAAACTTGCAGAGGCTGTCGACCGTACCAGCCCATCCATCAGGTCCAGCCGGGCTCACGACCGTGCTGCGAAGAGCGTTGAACATGCCAATCCAAGTCCATGCTGAGTAAACGGCGAGAAAGACGTTGTGCAAAACAACGAAAAAATGGAAGGCCCTGGTTTTGCTGATAGCCCAGGGTTTCTTGCCGGTGGACTTGTTATAGACGTTCAACACTTTGGCAGAGATTGCATAGATAGCTGCGATCGTAATCGGGACTTTGGGGTCTAACGCGCTGACGTATAAGTTGTCCGGTATGGTGAAGGGCTGATCAAAAGGCGGAGGAGGGATAGCTTCCGGCACTGAATGCGGTGGGAATCTGAAAAGGTTGGCCGGAGGAGGCGAGAGGAACACAATCGGCGCAGCCATGTTTGTAACTTGAATCTTGGGCTTGATCTCAACTCCGGTCGGTGAAATTTGAGAGACTAAAGATAGCTATGAGGTAGTACAGACCGCACACGCGACAATTCCGTTATGTATATATGCACCAGCTCTAAGGTAAGTGACAAGGGGCTGATTCAGAGGTCTACGAAGACATCGAACGATGAATCAGAACGGTGAGTTCGAAGGATTCGAAAGAAGCCGTGATTAAGGATATACACCAAAAAAGGGATGAATGGAAAAGGGCAAAAAGGAATGTTTCCCTCCTCGATACTACCAAATATGTGTGGCTTTTTCTGCAATTTCTTCAAGTAGGAAGAAAAAAAATGAGAACTGCTGCTACACAACAGCTTTGTAGCTTGTAGCAATTGGACCGCGGCATAAATCTATCCCTGGAACGCGCTAGGGCTGGGTTGAGGCCAATGGCAATTGCGCAGTGATAGTCGCTACTAGGTAGCCACGCTAACCATTCCGCCGTTCAGGTGCCACAGGGCTCAACAGTTGAAGGGGTAGCCTAACCCGCTTCATTCTTATTGGTTCGTTCACTCATGGCCCTGCCAAATCGGGTATAAAAGCGCTGTTTTCGGGTTGGGCTACTGGAACTCAATTCCAGTGCCGTCATCCGGGATCTATTGTACATTGTACAACACAATATTAGTTCTGCAGTAGGAATATTGAATCTTGACGCGGCGTCTCCCTCCATCTTATTGGTATTGGCGTTGGTGTTGGTGTCACCAGAGCTAATTTCCTGCGATGCGTTAATAAGACAACGTTTGACACATTTCAGCAATAATTCGAGAACATCTCTAGATCTCCAGGGCTGTAGACTGTAGGAACCAATCTGCTTCCCCTGACCGACTTTGAAGTGGCATGTGCTCGTATACCAGTGTAGGTAGGATGCCGAGGAACTTCCTATGCCCAGTCCTGGTGGATCTATTAACAAACATCATCTAAGATCCAACTGGATAGCGAAAGGCGGCCTTTGCGGCGAGAGGCTCCCCGGTCCAAGGGACGTCTCAAGTTCCAAGCAAAGTCTGCTTCGGTGAGAGGGGGCTAGATTCCATGGCGATCACCAAACTCAAAATGTTGACAACGGGTGAGCTCGGCAGCTCGGGATATACCTTTGAAACCACGAGTGACGTGAAGTGAGACATGCTGGTGAAAATCATATAACTTTATATACGAGGAAGTTTCTGAAAATTTCAACTTGGAAACTTTGCTATGTAGGTGGCTGACTTCCAAAGGCGCTGTCTATATATCGCTTCGTGCTTGTGTGCAACAGTAAGCATTCTCATGTATTACTGAGATGGCTTTCAAAAACGGTGGGAGTCTCGATGTCTGCGATTGAGCTCGAGTCTCGGGCGATTAGCCGATATTCAACGTGAGGAAAGTCGTTCATCAAGGGGTTGTCGATGTAACCCGTTTGGTATGTTGCTACGTTATCTGGCAGGCAATCAAGCTTCGATTTTCCGAGATCCATTTCCCAACAAAACGCCAACCATGTCCTTCCCCTCATTGGCCCCGCGTGTCGTAACTTTTTTTTATCTTTTTTAATTCTGCTTCCAGGGTCCAATGCCAAGAAGCGGTCTAGGGGGAACCCAGCAGGCGGGATGACGCGACAGATTTAGGAAACGATCTTTCAACAGATACGTACCAATCTAATGATCATTAGGTTTTTAGATAAGCGGTTGCGATAGGTATGCACAGATCCAGAGAAGGAACATGACATGCTTGTACAACCGTAAACTTAAATAAAAAGAATTCAATGTTCAATATTCATAAGAACTGAAACCTCGAATTAGGTTCATAATTATTGTACACTGGAAGATACGTAATCAGCAAAAGTACCTGGATCAGTGTGGCGATTTTCGCTGTCTCCAATAAGTTTCCAATATCTTGCCCCTCCCCCAACAAATTTGTAACCTGCGAATCTTGGTCTCAGAGTCTTAGGCTTTTATGCGAATAACTCGGAGGCTATCGCTATCGTCTTCTGTTTTTCATACGCCAGAATTCCAACGATTGGATCCCGAATAATATCATCAGTAAAACTACGCGTTTAACACACCATGAACAATTATAAGGGCTCAGGTGCAACTTTAGGTAATTATAGAAGGTACGTGTATCTTCAATAGATTTACCATTAACAATTTAATCTTCGGCATATTCGGATGTACGCCTCATTTTTATCGTTTCTTTTGTCGATCTTCCTGGCATACAGGCAACGGCACATGATCAGTTTTGTGAACAGTTGCTACGATAAATTTATATGAAGTCTACTTCTATGTAACTGCAGCTGCGGCCGACCTCACTATTCAGGTGACAACTAAATAGCTCCAACTATTTGACTAATTCTAGCTCATAGGCGTCGGTAAAAGCAGCGAATAATAACTATGCCTCCAATACCCCGCAATGAGGCTACTTATAGAGGACCCGAGCTTTTCCCTGACTCTCGAGTTGACGATGATTGGCTATACCTACTATAAGGAGTGCGATGACTAACGAGCCGAGGCACCTTTCTTTATGATCTACCGTTGATATTTCAATCGGCAACCCATTGATGATTCAACACTCTTTCCTGAAGTCGTCAACTTCAAAGGTCCAAAAGAGCCTAGAAGTCAATCGTGAAATAATTATAATATAATTACGAGATTTAAAGATTCGATGATTGTTACATAATACGTACCATACGCGACGTGAATCTAGCAACATTGGACGTTTCTATATTGATTTATGAAATTGGATACCCCAGAGTCGATCTTCTATTACACCAGAATTGACAACCCCTTACATCAAATGTTATTGTTTCCGAAGTTTCCGCATCTATAATGGTTGCCACTCATCATCTTGCGGCCCCTATCCCCACCGAACTTCCCGACCTTGAATCCGATGAATACTTCTCTGAAACGCAATGGCAGGTCTTGTTCATGTTAATCGACGCCGTTATCCCGTCGATTGTTGCCGAGCCAAGCGTGACAGACCGGAAGGCCCAGTTGTGCATTTCCCAGTCCCAGTATGACGAAGCCTATGAACACACCCAGAGATCTCTGGAATATCCACCAAGCCAAGAGAAATTCCGTCAATATATGGAAGCGAGCGCGTTAGACAACATACGATTTGCACGATTGCTTAAACGCACCATACAAGGCCTCCCACTCACCAGTCGTAGACAACTAGGGCGTATCCTGAATATAATAGCGTAAAATATACCTACTTACTTGCCTCTCACTTCACCTTTCCCATAGCATATAGCGTAGCTAACGACATAAACAGGACCCATACTGGTAGTCTAGCTGCAACGGGCTACTATACCCCCGTGCAAGAACAGCCAGTCCATATCAGAGAATCAATCATCCGAGCATGGAACCAATCCTGGATCAGCGCCTGGCCGTTCCTCGCGAAGACCATCACCAAATTAGCCCGGGTATGTTTCGCTAAAACGGACCCCCTATTACACGAAATTAGCGACTACAAGGATGTCGTCGACGACTACAAGCCCGGGCCATCATTCGACTTTAACTTCATGCAATTCTCAGCCGGAACCGAGCCCGAAACAATCGAGACCGACGTCGTAATCGTCGGCTCCGGCTGCGGAGGAGCAGTATGCGCTAAGGTCCTCGCGGAGGCCGGCCACAGGGTCATCGTCGTTGATAAGGGCTACTACTTCCCCCCTCCCCAACTCCCGATGACCGTCGAAGCGGCCCATGAATATCTTTATGAGGGCGGCCCTGCCATGACGGCCGATGGCTCCACGAATGTGATTGCGGGGAGTTGCTGGGGAGGCGGCGGGACTGTGAACTGGAGCGTTTGCTTGCAGCCTCAGGGGTATCTGCGGCAGGAATGGGCGGATGAGGGACTGAGCTTTTTCACGACGCAGGAGTTCCAGAATTGTCTTGATCGCGTGTGTGATTTTAGTAAGCACTCTCTCGTTCATGACAGTTATTGATGAGCAAGACAGTTGGCATTTAAAACGTCCCGGTCTTGGCGTTTTGAAATAGGGGTTTGCTAACTATGACTGCAGTGGGTGTTAGCGATGCTCACATACGACATACTCACGGAGCACAAGTTATCCTCGAGGGGGCAACGAAGCTTGGCTGGTCTGCTAAGTCGTGCCCTCAAAATACCGGAGGTGCCGAACATTATTGTGGCAGGTGTTCGCTCGGCTGCGGATCTGGTGAGAAGCGCGGCACAACTGTAAGCTGGCTTCCGGCTGCCAGTCAGGCGGGCGCAAGATTTATTGAGGGGTTCAAGGCCGACAAGATACTATTTGATGAGACGCGCGGGTCTAAACAGGCAATCGGAGTGCTGGGGACATGGACATCGCGAGATAAGGATGGGAATGTCCATACCCCTGAGTCGGACAGGGTTCAGAAACAACTTCGAATCAAGGCGAAGAAAGTAATTGTAGCGTGCGGCACATTCCAAAGTCCAATGCTATTGATGAGAAGCGGATTGAAGGTGAGACCCAGAACTACGAATACAGAGAATCGCAGTGGACTCCGTCAAGCTAACCCATCACTAGAATCCCCATATCGGCAAGAATCTCCACATACACCCCGTCAGTCACCTCAATGCTGCTTTTGACAAGGATGTCAAAGGTTGGGAAGGTGAGCAATATTTATCTCACGTATAAATCACATGATATCAAGTTAATCATATTATGTAGGTAGTATTTTGACGAGCGTGTGTACTAGTTTTGAGAATCTCGACGGTAAAGGGCACGGAGTTAAGCTCGAGCCGAGTAGCATGGTTGTAAGGTTGCTCTACCCTTCGTAACAATCACCAGCTCACAAATATCTTTGAATTATAGCTAGATATGTTTTTATTTGAACATCCGTGGCATAATGCCTTACAGTGGAAGCTTGACGCGCTCCGCTGTCGACAGATGAATACCTACATCTCCATAGCTCGGGATCGCGACACCGGCCGCGTGTATCCGGACCCAGATGACGGTCGACCTATCGTCGATTATCACCCGTCAGCTTTCGACCGCAAGCATATACTAGCCGGTGTTGTTGCCCTAGCAAAGATGTGCTACATCCAGGGTGCGACCGAAATCTGGGCCTTCGTTCACAGCATGCCATCGTTCGTACGGCGTTCCAAGCCGACCGATCCTACTACGGAAAGGGGCGAAGACGATGACATTGATCAAGGGATTAACGACCCCGAATTCGCTGCCTGGATCGATAAACTCGAGCACACTGGGCTGAGCTCTCCGGACGCGACATTCACCTCGGCGCATCAGATGGGTACTAACCGTATGAGTGCACACCCATCACGCGGCGTCGTCGACCCCGAAGGTAGGGTATGGGAGGCGCAGAACTTGTATGTGGGTGACGCCAGTGTCTTCCCATCTGCAAGCGGTGTAAACCCCATGATAACTAACATGGCTATCGCGGATTGGATTGCCAGAGGCATCTCACGGGACTTGAAGAGAGAAGGTCGAATTCGTGCCGCGTTGTAAGATGTCTGACTTCTATCTACCTACCTAGTACCTTAGTACCTGGTACATATCTGGAGAAGGAAGACATTGCAACTCAACTCATAAAAAGTTACCAAAATTGTATATCCTTTGAGTTAGTCGTTGCAGTCTATACCTATCTGATTACGTGTACACATCTATGCGTACCATCATATGAGAGAGGCACATGTCAATTCAACGCAGGCTTACCTACTGGGGGCTTTCTTCCTTACATAATTATACAGGGAAGATTATAACGTGTGCACGCGGATAGAAATTCCCAAGTTTTCAGGTCATACTGAGTTGAATATTTTTAACACTCACATAGTATGACAATAGAATCCCACATGCGCCACATGTGTCACAAAGTCTCACATACATCGGCAAACCTAGAATTTGACAGGTCTCAAATCGTTGTCAGATAAGACCTCCAATGATCTAGGTCCTGCATGGAAAGTTAGATTAATCATCAGCCTGCTTTGCGGACCATTTACTCTCTTTGAGATAGCGCCTCGCCACCGGCGTTTGTGAGTGAGATTATCGATTCTAGGCCGGTAGCCATGTCGCGACAAGAGGGGTCGTTGGGAAACTTGACCAGGTTCCGCTTACAGGATGATCTTACAGTACAGTTGGAGAATCGAAAGATTCAACAATAATGCACTGCTACTCCTCAGCTTACCTTGCAGAGAAAAATGAGGGGAATAATGGGGATTAATTATCATGACTCCCATAGAACCTGCTTTGCCGATTCCCTGCGGTCCCTGCGGTCAAACTTCGCGATAGGGGTTGGGGGGCTGAGATCCTTAAAAACCACCCCCCGTAACGGGCTTCACTATAACGTCATAAAGACGCGAAACAATCAGGCTGTCGTGTCCCCCCAACCTCATGCTGTCCTACCCTCGCGAAACCTGGTAGCTTGAAACAGACATTTACTAGCCGGCAGGACTGAGTAAACTAGAGTAAGTAGGTGAGATATTGGGTGGCACGAAGAAGAGCCGGGGAAGGAGAAACTTCCGTCGAAGGCGAAAGCTAATATTGATGTCATACGCACATCCCGGAGGCTCAGTTATTAGTGTGGTGCGTCTTGCGTCCACCCCCCTTTTCTTCTAATAGCCATTCCGGGTAACCTTACAGATTGGGTATCAAGGCTGTCTAACTAGTAAGTAGCCCGGATGAAGTGTCGCACACGTTAGCATTACTTGTGCACCTTGTCTTTTTCTATTTACTTATTTTTACGATAGAAATTGAACCTAGCTTGTTGTCTTTGCTCAGCTGCCGATGTGAAGGCATTATGGTCGATCACTCCACACAGGATGCGACGGTCAGCGTCTCTTTCGGTAAGTAGGGCTGGCTAGAGGACTAAGAGGACTAACATACATGTAGATTACATGATCTAAATGATACCACGCCCCTGCCTAAGGGTCACGCCTTGCTTCGGCCACCCGTCCGGGAACACCTGTTCGTTGTTGTCCGTACATACATAACCTACCTACATATTCTATAGCCTTCGGATTAGCGGTGAATCATGTAGGACCTAGGCAGCTAGGTTGATATACTTCTAATGTTGGTTATATTGGACTTTTCCTCTTCGCGGCTACTGCGCCGTCCCCATGCGAAATCTAGATGTGACGATACTGACGCCACCTACTATACCTTATACGTTTTACGTTGTACTAGAAGACGAGGTGTAGGTAGGCAACGCCAACGGCTGCCATGCGGTGAAGCTTGGCATGCGGAGGTGCGGCATAGCCCCCGAAGCGCTATAGACTCAGGTGAGTTAGGTATCTGCTGAGCCCTAGAGCCTTACGTATTACTGCGTGGCACGCATGGCGCGCACGACGAAACCATCTAGCCCCCAAGTCTCCCCCCCAAGTCCCTGAGACGAATTAGCCCATAAAGAGAAAAGAAGAAGAAAAGGGGTTAAAAAAGAAAGAAAATGAAACAATCGACCGATTAAACTTTCCCGATAGTCTGGAATGAGGAGCGGCACGGCCGATTAACTTTCGGCCCTTCCCGCATTTCTATTTCCGGGCCCCTTAAATTTTCCATGGACTACCTAATAGGCAATAGCTCCTTCCCACATGTAAAGAGCATCCATATTAAATATTACATACCTGGTACATATCCTAGCTAGAGGTGCTACATAATATACTAAGCAGTCTAAGCTCTGAGCGATTCTGTTCGTACGATATCCAATAGGAATTGCTGACACCAGTCCTAGTCCGCTGCTGTGATCATATCCCCGAAATGCGGTTTTATGAAAGAAAGAAAGAAAAACCGGCCTAGCTCTTTGAGTTGGTCGATGTAACAGAAGAAAAGGAGGAATTCTATCTAGGATTCTAGTATCAGTAGAAGGGTATGGATGGGAACTCAGCCGCACTAACCCCCCCTAACGATGGCGACCAACAGGCTATATTCCATCTCCCCATCTTCCCAAGAAAACGGGAAGATGGCTGATAGGGCTGTGATGATCCCGCCTTGTAATATGCCTCATCCGCATGGGATGCATATGGCACACATCTGGGCATCTGGGCATCTTACGGTCAGCACCTTGAGAGAGGGTGGGATGGTAAGCAAGCATATGTATTATGCGGGAATCGCGCGAAGGTCATGAGATTTCCATGATACACTTACTCCGGACTCCTTCGCCAATTCTCTCATCTTTTTCCCGCCGCGTGTATTCGTTACAACACACCTGGCGCTTAGGATCCCGTGATATACCAGCCTGCATTACACAGCAGCACGGAAATTACAATACATATCGAGAAAGGGAGAGATGGTTTTCGCATGATGCCGAGATCTCGCGCCATATACCTGCTGGCTGTTTTACTACCGTCGTAGTCGCACCATGTCGCGGTGAGGAATAAGGAAATGCAGTCTTGGACAACGACCCTTATAGGGAATACGGCGCAGATTGTCATGCTAGATGCATACCCTCTGCCGCAGCCCTACATCCGCATTCATACCCCACCATGACAACCTCTTATCAAAGTCATTGTTTGGACCATGTTTTAGAGACAAACATCTCGGCAGCCAGCACCGCACCCCTTCTAAGGGACCTACTCTTTACGTCCGCGTGGCGCAGCGGGCAGAGAAACACATGTGAAAGTAGGTATTCCCCAAGAAACGTGAGAGCCACGCAGCAGCCCAGGCTGTGTACCTACAACACAGCACCCGGCCGAAAAAAAGGGAGTCCTGAAGATCCCCCACATTTTCCCCTAACGAAAATAAAACAGCACCTCGGCACCTAACTAAACAGAGTACCTACCTATTCGGTACATTGACTATGGGCGGGATCAGCGCCGCATCGGACCCACGGGCAGACGGATTTATATACGCGTAAAGAATCCATACTACTAGGTAATACTAGTATAGCGTCTATGGATACCATGAATATCATACCTAAGTATGTTAGGTGGTGTATCGCAAGAACAGGTCCTAAACATCACTACCTAACTAGTAGGTAGGTAGGTAGTAGTAAAACCACAGGATCAGTGACCGAGAAGTGGATTCGAATAATCCGATGTTTCCATACCTAGATACGTCGTAGTAGCAGTAGTAGTAGAAATGGTAGTAGAACCTCACCAACACTTGCTTGTCTCGACGTGAATTAGCCCGCCGTTGTTCCGGTATCACTCAACCCGCCATGGATACTCAGGTAACAGCGATCCTCGCGACAGCAACTCCGGGTAAACTATCCCCATGCCATCCCTCCCCGTGCGACAGCGCCCGCGCGCGCGATATGCAGTGTACCGTCGTAAAAAAAAAAACTCAAAAAAAAAAAAAGCGATTAGCAATCTGATACCTACCTAGTACCTAGTTATCTACTTTTCCCTCTTTTCTTGCGCATGTTTTTTACCTTTCCCGCCATGTTGCTGACACGCATGGGTATTATAAAGAGCTTACTACTTGGAGTCGCAGTACCACAAAACGGGGACCAAGTCGACCGGAAAGGAAAGTCCCAAACACCCCATCCCAACGGCCGAGTCGAAGCGGCACGGCGCATGTAACGAAGTGTTACGTTCCCTTCCTATTTCTTACTCATGCACGCCCCCAAGCATTAGAACCTAACCGTAAAAGATAGAGAGAGAAAGAGAAAGAGGTAAAAAAGAAAACAAGTCACCATCGGAGAAAGACATGTGGCACATCTTGTTATGAACTTGATAAATGTCCAATTAACTAGCTACCTAGTACTATATGTGACTTCAAACTAAACAATGCAGGGGGGAGCTTTTTCCACAATCGTCGACGGTGTTTGAGACTACCACCAGGGCCACCGCCGACATTACACCATAATCCAGCATCTCATGCCACCCGGCTGATACAATGCGCAGCAATGTATCCCTGTGTGGCTCACCTTCACTCTAGCCCGGGGAACACATTTATTCGCGCCGGGAGGATCCGGAAGTAGTGAGACGGTGCTACATTTGCCGCACATCATTCCTAGCCATCTACCCCACGGAGGAACAAACCATCTCCCTTCGTCGGCTATTGCGGCTTCCTGCATATCTAGCAGTCCGCGCAATGTATGCCCACTCTTGAGTTGGCAGAGCTGCCGCGTATTGCATCCAGCTCGACGCGGCGCTTAGTTAGGCCTCCAGGAGAGGCTATGTTCCGGGGTATGTCGTGATCGTCCTAGGAATGATGTGGGCAAGACGGCGAGTAAAGGGCTCCGCATATCCCCGCTCAGCGGGGACTTCCATATTATGCCCAGCTTCTTTTTTGTGATCGTGAGATCTTTTCCCCTCTCGCTTCCAAGTCCCAGCTATTGAGTTTCCGGATCGTCGCCGATCTTGCCACAGTTCGGATCGCGAAATTCTCAAAAACGCCTGAGCATGTCTGACAACCAGTGTCTGCTTTCATGTCGGTTTCTATGCGACGCTTGTAGAATCGACCGTGTAAGAAATGCAAGTATAGGACCCGGTCCTTTGCATTCTTCCTTTCGAATAGTCCGTCGTCGCTTAAATGAGATTTCGTACCTCGAAGAGGATGTTCAACGTCAAGTTGAACAGTGGTCCTTTCAGTCGTGGGAAGTCGTCATTAAGTCGGTTGGGAAATTATTCGTTATTAGGTCGTTCGTACAATCGTAACTCATGAAACCGAGGCCTGGGAAAAGAAAAAAAAGAAATCTTCTTGGAGCGAGCGCGATGACCGAAGGATCGAATTTAATCGTCCATATTGTCGCGTTTATTTATTCGGGGTATCTTTTCTTAGAAAGCCGCTTTATGCCGTATAACGAGGAAAAGAAAATTGTGGTATCCAAAATCCACTTGTCCAGTCCTGGTCTTTGCCGGGCGATGATCGGTTGCATTGCTGCGTATACCTCTTATTTTAACGTATAAAAGAAAATCCGACCTCATATATCTCGAGGCACTGCCCAACTTGTAAATGCAATCAGATAACCCACCCAGTCCCTGACATGATGAGGTGAAAGGAATACAGCCTATGACCGAGCTGGCGGTTGTTATATAGGGGATATATTTCCCAGTAAAAATCAGACGCTCGCTTGCTAAACACAGAGAAAATAAGAAATAAGAAAACACCGAGATTAATATATATGCCAAACGATCGGGAGTCGCTCCTGGTTGATGCAAAACGCCGGTATGCCTTGGGGGTGCGATAGGGTCTATGCCGCGAATCCCTTGTTTGGATTGGGGGAATCTTGAACCAAAATCGTTTACGAGGTTGTCACCACCGGGTGGTGATCCCCTGTGGTGGACGGTGGTTGTCATATGGTCGTCGTGTACTCTTGATATCGATCCCAACCAAAACCGCCGTATCCAACACCCACACCACATTGCGACGCCAGCATGCTAGGAAGCGGTAAGGCCGGAATTGGTGATGTTACCATCGGTGAGCTATAATACATCCCGGCCGTAGAAAACGGTTGGCTATATTGCATGGGAGGCGAAGGTACCTGAATTTCGTGTAGCGACATATTGGCCCATATCGGCGTATTTGACTCTACCGAAGATGTGACGTTAGGACTGGAAGGCAGCACGCGCCATGGCTCAACCGGTGCGGGCATCGCTGGCGAAGGGGTAGACTGTGACCAAATGTTTGCGCCTATGGGCGAGCTAGGTAATAATGGCGGTTGGCGGACAACATCGACGATCTTCGGCGGCGGCGGTAGCAGGGGCTTATTCAACAATCCCATGATGTTATTCTTGACCTCCTCGCTCTTCCCACAAAGCAATTCTCCAGCTCCCTCCTCTTCTAATCCTTCCAGCGCAGAAACGTGGGTCCTGAAAACAAATTTGTTGATGGCCTGGACAAAGTCTTCGTGTAACTTCTTAGCATGCTGCTCCTTTTCGGGCCAGTCATAAGTATCAGCCTTGGCGTTGACGCAGTAGATTTCCTTGTGATACTCGATGAGCGATTCTATCGAGCCGGGCGTCAACTTATAAGCGACTTCATTCCTCAACACCATATCGACGTGAACGATATAAGCTTCGACATGTATAATCTGGTAGTTGAAGATGGCCTCTATTAACGGGTTAGAATCCCTGCGCAATTCAGACTCGGGCGCCTTGTCCAGCATCAGCGAAGTCAGGGTCCAGATAGCATTCGGTGACGACAACGTCTCGGTCAAGCATCTTTGATGTTGCGGTATACTGTTCAACGGCCTCTTGACTCTGTTAATGCGCTTGAGAGTTTGCGTCAACCACGGTTCGACCTTTGATCCCAAGACAATATTGACGGATGATGCTCGGGGGGCGAAAGCGGCGGCCGAAGCCGGTAGTAGTTGTGGGGGCATCGTCTAAGTTTAGGGCTCTCGGAGTAGGGGGACAGAGATGGAAAAAAGTGACAAGGAATATTTTTGTAAAAGCGGTGGAGAGAGGTTCAGTCAGATGGGAAAGACGAATAATAATAAAAAAGACGGCACCCGGGACTAGGCGTTCCCAATACTGGGGAATTAGCTTGTACGCCTTGGACCGCAAATAAGAAGAAGAGAACGGTGGACGAGTATCTCGTGAAGAAGAAAGAAGGAGTGTAAGAAACTCGTGTTGCTGGGTGGTGGGGGTTTGTTATAGCAATACTCTTCTCCGGTAGTCTTCGGTGCTTTCTACCCCTTGTATGCCCATGTAGGTAGGTTGTGTGCGATGGATTATATCCTCCAACTGTCAGAAGCCCATCTAATCCCTCTCGGAGCATGCCTAGCTCTGTTCGATCAGGCCTGGTTCTGGTTTCCTATGGACGGCCCACCGTCGTGCATTAGGAACACCACCACCATCATTCAGACGCAGACGCAGATGTAGGTAGCATCCGCAGGCGAGGCACCGCAACGCACACACCACACGCTACGCATAGTACAGGGACTATGTAGCATGTAGCAAGTAGTATGTAGTATGGATGTAGTATGTAGCCTTTTTGGTAGGCATCCAGAAAAAAAAATAATCCACCGATACCACGGCCGATGCATCCTGACCATCCCAGTCATGCGCGGCAAAGGGCAAAGAGGACCCAGTGTAGCCCTTGGTAGCCCTTGTAAGTCTTGGTGCGGCCTTTGGCTTGCACTGCGACTTGAGTGGGCTGTGTTGCGACTTGCATATTTCGAACAGGTTGTAGACAAATAAGAGAAGAATTACTGAACAGAGAGAGCTGAAAACTGCTGCAGTGTGGCCAGTGCAGCGCCACTGGTCGCTTGTACCTAAATCTTGTACCGGTACTTGCCAAGGTACAAGAGGGGTCCCCTTGGAGAGAAGCTCGAGCCCGAAAAAAATGCCCAATGCCCATACCATGGATGAAGTATCCATGTAGCTTTTTTTCAATCCAATCCGGTACCCTGTACTTGATCAGGAAACCTATATCCATTTTTCTTAGTTTCCCCTATTCCTTTTGGACAGGTGTTAGCCATCGGCCATTCCATGCCGTGCCATGCCTGATACTACTACGTATGTACATACATACAATATTACAATACAGGCTCAACATTGAACTTCGTCATCATGAAACATGAAACGGCACAAGTTGTTGATTTCCCTTAGAAGCAATTCTCCTACTAAGTATACTTCTTAAGATTTTCATGTGATTTATTATGCGAATATACCAAAGATAGTAAGGAGACAACTAGGTACATATTTGAACTATATGAGAAGGCAATATTACTTCCAACATTGAACTTGTAATCCATCATTCGTATACCGAGGTACTATGCGTATGTACGTTCGTTTCACCCGAGAGCACGTACCGATATCGCCGTTATTCCATCGTCTCATATGCAATAGACACTAGTTCCATATTGAGACTCGTAAAATATTAATCCATTCTCTCGGTGATTCTTTTGAGGTGTGATATTCCACATATTAACGTCGCATTGCAACATACTAAGTAAATACATAAGCACATTAATAAATTCCGAGATGTGATATCGCTACTAGTCCTTGATACAAGGACTCCGCTGCCAATGACTGCAGTGACATTTCCACTAGTCTTCAACTTTAAAACATCATGAGGCTCACCCAAGGAACCGTAAACGTATGTACGTGCAGGGCTAGCCTCTTCCTACTCTTCCCCATGCAGGCTACGGCTATGTTGATGAGCAGAAGCCCTCGTAATGACCGAAGGGACCTTGCCGTTGCACTCATGCATGCTACCAGTTAGGAGGAAGAGCTATATACCCATGTGGTAGCCGGGCTGATCTAGGGGAGCGCAGACGATATGAAAAAGTCCAATTCGTTGCCGGGAGATTGTCTGGAGTTCTCCCATCATTACTGGAGATTGGCGTATCAATGCGACCTACGATTCCTTATCCATTGGAAGAGAGCTGAAACTAGTTGAGCAGGATGGGGAGATGGGGAGATGGGGAATCAATGGTAAACATTGCCTGATGCCGATCGACCGATGATATCCCTTTGATAATATATACACCCTGGTTATCGACCAGTAAGGAACACCAACATCCCGGAGCTGGATGTTAGTAACTGGGGAGCTCCTGATGACTTGCATACGAACGAGTAGGACTTAACTCGATAGAACGCCGCCTCGATTGAGATCCTGAAACCTAGCAGATGAGCTTTTACATATGCCTCAAAGAAGTAGACTAGCGCTTAGCTGGAGTCTTCCCCTTCGAGCAAGATGCAGACACGATGTTCACATCGGGTGGCTTGCCGGCCAGTATTAGAGAAAGAAATGGACCATTCGAGGGTTCTGTGCCTGTGGTACAGTATCAGCGAGTTCCAGGAACTGCAAGGGAAGAGAGTAATCTTCCAGTCTCGCGGAGGCGCTTACAGCGTCAAGGAGCTAGTCGATGGGGCGAGATATGAGGCATCATAAGATCGAGTCCACATTGCGCGTGTGTTTTACCGGATGAAGAAGAGCACAGAAGAGTGAATCCATCTGACCAGAACTAGAACGATGTCGAGATTGAATGAGAGCCAGTCGATGGCATATGTCAAGGTTGCAATCCATGTTAGCGGCAGAAGGTGAGTTGAGGTGTGTCGACGCAATTTGGCTTCTCTGGGCCTTGATTGGTTGATGCTTGTGAGCCGGAAAAGTATTAGGGTGGAGAAATTATCGTTCTTGGTTGAATTTCCATTGGTTCTAAAATCGTCAGAATCAGGGAACCACCAAACCGATTTCCCCGGGGATCTCTGCGTCTAGACGTGAATGAAACGAAAATTAAAGTAGAATCAAGCGAATGAGAATTTAAGAAAATTTAATTCGACTCGAATTTCATTAAAAGAGGCTCAGGGATTAAAACATAAAGGGGTCGTTTTTACTCTGAGATCTTTATCTGGTCATTTCCACATCTGGAATATGGCTATCGCCCGTTACGGCACCGACTTGCACTAAACTTAGTTCCCGTGCCGGAATATAGGACTTCCAAAGTTGGGGTGCGCTCCGAGTCCAGACCAAGCCATACAAAAGGCTGAACGATATCCTTTGGTTCTCTATCACCATCCCATGAGTCACTTGATGCAGTGCGAAACGACCTATCGTCTACTGGAAACCCCCCACTAAGCCGATCTTTGGCGAGTTGAGACTCCGTCATCACGTCGGGAAACGCGTCCAAGGGTGAACGGCTGTTGGATAACGCGGTATCTCCCACCTCGGCAGTAGATACTCCTCGAAATGCGGGCATCATAACTTGATTCGTGTTGCATATTCATATAATGCCGAGCCTAAGCTCCTCCTGCAGAGGATCAGTCATGTGGATGACGATTGAGAAGCCATTATCAAAGACAAGGCAGGATCAACACGGCCGATCTAATAGCCATTGGGAGATATTGACTACCTGGTTCGGTCAATCGAGGTCTATGGGGATCCGATACAATTGGCCGAAGAGGCGAGGTGTTTGACTGAAGTTAATGATTGGGGGTTGATGCACGGAGCAGACGGAGACACGGAGACACAAGATACTGGGGAAAGAGGTTCAAGAGAGAGGGGACAGAAGCCGAAAGTCACTTGACTGATGCCGTAAGGTCCGGATACTAGGTGTACCTAGGTACCTACTACCTACCCATGTCTGTGGTCTGTGCATTTAACTTTTCTAGATCCTGATCCCGGGTATCGGTACGTATTGCTACACCCTGTCTGCCTGTTCTGCTGCTTGTGCAACTTGCAAGCGCAGGTTAGAAACGGCCTCTCCGTGATCCGCACTTTGCCGCCTCACTTCAATACTTGGAACTTGGAAGTTCAAATATTCAAATGTTTCTATCATTCTAATACTTAGGTACTTTGGTGGCAGCAGGCCACGTCGCTTATTATTCTATGCGCGCTTATCCGCTCTACCATTGAATCCGCCCCGATGTTTAATGGTAAATGAGCTCTGTAAGCTGTTAGGAGTGCAGATGGCTTAATCAACAAAATATCATTTTAGAGCCTACAGACTCCGCAGACTATAGAAAATGCAGACATGAGGCACGAAAGCCTGCCGGGAAAAGAGGCAACCCAATACCAACGGCGAAGCCTTCATGACCCGCATTGTCTATCCCATCTAGCGTTAGACTCAGGATTTAAGGGCAGATTGCTGCGAGTTTACATGTGCATATGTACATGCAAGTTCTATCATGCATTAGTGGGGATTCGGGACTTGTAAGAGCAGCCGCCAGAAGAGGTCAACTGTTCAATTCCATGAGAGCTTGGATCTTGGGTCTATGAATGGCATGTTAGAACACCCTGAACACCCTTTTTACCGCAGGGACGCGCAATACGAACAATTATTTATATGGTACATGGTATGCGACAAGCCTCTAGCGCTCGCGCTCTGGGCGCAACATCGCGTTTACTAGGAAGATGATGGCCTGTGAATCTAGTCGCATTACAATAGGTAATACACGCGTACGTATACGAATAAGGGGAATTAATTAAGGGCCGAGTAGAAGGTCAAAATAATATAATTCTACATACGTACAATATGACACATCCATATGACTTACCGCCGCTCTTTACCGAGCTCCCGTCTCCCGAGGTGATGACAGTTACAAGGTGAAGCCTCGTGCAAATATCTTGCATACTTTCCGGCAATCATCGCTTGCCCCGTCTCAAAATAGTGACTGGGCGGACAAGGTGTTAGAACTTAGAAAACGTGGAGTTGTACAGCGTAGGGTTGCATCAGTTGTGGCTTGTTCGCCTGCCGAGCCTCTTTCGAACATCGATAAGAACACGAAATCGACTAGATCTTTACGACTGTGGCGCAAGCTCGGTACTGATTGAAACAACCGGAAACAACGAACATTAAACCCTTGCTTTCCCTGTAGGGATATTTCCAAGATCATGGAAGCTTGCGTCAACGACTCCGCACGTAAATAGAATCATAGAATCAGATAGCGTATGTAGTTACTACCGACCCGTGGGAATTGCGAGTTCTGGTAAGCCACATGGGTGACGGAATGCCCAGAAAGGAAACTCGGCTACCAATAATCTTGCCCTATCTTGCTTCTTTTCCAGGATCAATATGTTCCGAAACAAATGATAGCGTACCTAGG